AATATGTAGCTTCAGATTAAAAATTATGTGGTACAAGACAAATATGATGTTGACTAGTGCGTGTCACGTGTGTGTGCGCGCGTGCACACGCACGCGCGAGCGTGTGTGTTAAGCCTCGGATCTTCTTCAGTCCTAAATCCGCCCCCGCTCCACTTCATTTTTTTCGGTAAGCAAAATTATATTTATGTATTTTAGGTCACTGCCGAGCTGAGCTTAGATTTTAACATGTACTGTTTAACCATCTGGGTAAAACCTCTGTGTTCCACCCGGTTTTACCCAGCGATCAGCCCGGCGTATCTCTGACTCAGAAGCTCTGGTGTTGTGCACATTTCACTCCGGTGGTAGCTAGGTAGCTACCTCTGTTAGCTTAGCTCCCATCTCCGCGTTAGCTTTGGGTTAGCTTGCAGTTCTACGGGTGTCGTCATTTGATCCCAGTCTTACAGCCCCACCCTCAGCTCCACTTCTTTTCCCTTTTTTGGAATCGTCTGGGCTTGACGGAACCTGTGACACGGTCAAAATGGCGGTGGTGGCCACCTCCCATTTTGGCACAAAAACTTAGAATTGGAGCCTATGTACATGAATTGTCCAGTATGTATATGTCGATGTCCTGACCCAGCTACTCCTTTAGAGTTAGCTTAGCTTAAAATACAGTAAGTTAATGGCTCCAACTAGCATTGAGTAAAAACATCCTTAAAATCACTCAGTAGTGATTCCAGTTCTGCTTGGTGACATAAATAATCAGACTGCAAGTGAAATTAATTGGTAACAAGGAATCACGGGCACCATTGTAGACGACTTTATGATGAAGCGTGTCATTTTAATTCACTGTCATAAAGCTGAAACTGAAACTCCTCCTCGCTGTGCGTTTGTCGTTTTAACATTAATCTAACAGATGAAGCGTCTCCTCAGCCTTCATTAGTGTCTGCAGGAGCGGCTCATCACTGAATCAAACAAATCAGCAGGGTTCATGATCTAAAACATGCAGGAAACAGACTCCAGCGCCAGGCATGTCGGCTCCACTTTACTAAGTCCAACAGGGACCGGCGCGGCACTCTGAAGTTGCAAGTGCAATCTTCTGGCCACAGAGGGCGGTGGGAGTTTGAGTTACCTCTCTAAAGGGTATTTTTAGCACATACTGGCTCAAGAAAATGTCTTAAAACAGGGAAAACTTGCACAGCATGCCTCTAAACACATTGTGAGCCGTTTTCGGATCCATCCTTTTCTACTCGTGCGAAAACTCCGGGAGCTAAACCAGGAGCTTCTGTCCCAGCTGAGGTAACAAGGATGAAACCGCTTTGGACTGGTTTTCTGAACCAGAACCTCAGCAAGTGTCTTAATTGCGCCTCAATTTGTTTGCGATTTGGTCTCCGTCTCTTCCCAAAGCTTCCTGATTCATGGAAATTAGAAGCGTGCTCCGAGCTCTGACACTATGGAAGACATTTGTTTTGTGATTTTTTTTTTAATTTAGGATTTAGGATGCTGCAGCTCGAGCAAGGAACCAGAACTTTGGCAAAATTCCATAAAAGTTCATCATAAATCAGCAAATCAGATCTGTTTGAGTTCCACATATTTCCCGTTTTAGTTGTGTTTTTATTTTTATTAATCCTGGAAATTTTCTAGGTAATTGATGATGAAAACAAGACAAAAACAAAAACAAATGAGAGGTTTTAATGGAAGTGTTGCAGGGCCCAGTTGGTGTTTGGGGCACAGATGGATCTCCAGAGACGAGCAGAGGAGGACAGATGTGATTCATTTATCTTTTATCTCTGGGAAAATTCCCACCTTTTATCCCACCAGTTTTGCTCTCCCACAGGAATGTCATCCCGTCCGCGGCCTCGTTTCTCTGACACTCGCAGCAGAAGATCAGGAGGATCAATGAGCAGAAAGGCGGTGATTGGTGGAAAGTGTCGATGAACACTGAATTTTGGATGCTTAAACTGCGAGGAGACGGAAAGTTTCACTTATCAAAGCGTCAACGAGGAAAAAAAAATCAACCAGGGGATTAAATAAAGATGGTAAATGGCCTGTATTTGATATAGCGCCTTCTAGAGTCCTGGAACCCCTCAAGGCGCTTTACAACACAAACCAGTCATTCACCCATTCACACACACATTCACACACTGGTGGGGATGAGCTACGATGTAGCCACAGCTGCCCTGGGGCGCACTGACAGAGGCGAGGCTGCCGAGCACTGGCGCCACCGGTCCCTCCGACCACCACCAGCAGGCAACGTGGGTTAAGTGTCTTGCCCAAGGACACAGCGACAGACTGAGCGGGGCTCAAACCTGCAACCTTCCGATAACGGGGCGAGCACTTAACTCCTGTACCACCGTCGCCCCATTTTAAATAAAAATGGCATGAATCCAAGACGGGTCATGAAGGTCGATAGGAAGTATTCTGAGGTGTTCCCACACCAGAGAGGACCAGAAGTCCCTCCAGTGGGACCTGGGTCTGCTCCTCCCAGTGGGACCTCAGTGGACTCCCTTTGGTGAGGAGGAGCAGCAGCTCGACTCTGGGTTACTGCTGCTCCTCCTCCTCTCCTCACCCAACCCACCTTTTCCAGATTTTCTTCTGCTCAGGATTTCCCAAACTTCTCCTCTCTTTTTTTCTTTTTCCAAATGAAGCAGAAATCTTCTAGCCTGGCCTGCCAGACTCGTCCCGTTTATTCCTACACAGAGAACTATGGGGCTGGCTGGCCAGGCTAGAAATCTTCAGAGAGGAGATCCACCAAACAGTAGCAAAAGAAAACAGCAAAGAATACTAAGTTTATTTATGAAGCACATTAAAAACAGCATGGCAGCTGACCAAAGATAAAAAACTCAACCAAAAGTAGCATAAAGCACATAATCGCTCATCAATAAGAACGCGTAGCACTAGCTAGCTGTTGTTAGCCTCAAGGGCAACATGCCGATTATCACTTGTAAGTCGCTTTGGACAAAAGTTTCAGCTAAAAACATAAACACAATAAATGATCGTCTAAATCAGTGATCTGCCCATCAGAAACTCAAAAATCCAATTTTTTTCTCCTGGTCCACAAACGCAGCATCACTAAATGTTAGCTCACACAAGCATGAGCTAACCCTCCATGTGGAAGTTTCCACTTTCAAAATCACGAACTTCAAACTAATCAGAAACATTTTTCCTTTTTTATAGTCGGAATCGGACACAGCGCGAATCATCGGGTCGGGGTAACTGGTGCTCGGGGAACCCGAAGTTCATGAACACATCACGATCAAGCCACATTAAAAAAATCTAACATTTTCTCCAGACCATGAACTCACCATGCCAGTGATAAGAAATTCTCTAAATCTTTACCTTTTACGTCATCAACTTAAAATTCCAAGAAAAATTCTGATGACCAAGGTGAAATGAATCGGAATCGGTTCTAACAACCGGAATCAGTGCCGCCCCACTTCTCATTGTGTGTGTGTGTGTGTGTGTGTGTGTGTGTGTGTGTGTGTGTGTGTGTGTGTGTGTGTGTGTGTGTGTGTGTGTGTGTGTGTGTGTGTTTTGCTGCATCATATCTGAGCTCAGACTGGACTCTGAACTGTTGCCTTCAGCCTGGAGGCTCTGCACCTGCGCAGAAAGAACCAGCTCACTCAAGAACCATGAAGAACCAGGTCTGCACAATTAGAACATTAAATTCATGACTCGGTTCGGTGACTAGAGTGTTCGTGTTGTTAAAATCCACTTTTTCTTCTTCACCAAAATCTGCATTTTCCTCTTTAGTTGTGTTAAATTCCAGGCAGCGTGGAACTTTTTCCTTTCCCTGACTCTTGGGAATTCTCCCAGCAGCGGAACTGGTCCCAGGAACACACAGGTGAAATTAATCTCTCTGGGTTAAACTGCTGCAGGAAACGCTGCAGCAGACCCGAACCGACATCCAGCCTTAATTTTATCCGTTTGGACCCACTCACACCGGACCGGTCCCGCAGCACCATCAGCAGGCTGTCAGGCAGAAACGCGGGACTGTGCGGGACGGACCTCCTCCTCCAGCGGCTGTGCGTAAAGACGCGGAACAGACACCAGGACAGCCCGGTTCTACTGCGTCCTGCAGCTCCAAGAAGCCCAGAACCCGAGTCTGATTCCAGAGTCTCCCTGCCGCACAGCAAGTTGCGAGTTTTGTTTTTCAATTAAAGGAATGAAAGGGGTTTACTCACTGAGAAGCAGCGCAACAGGCAGGAAGAGGAGGCACGCAGAGTTCAGCAGAGACGCCATGTCGACCAGAAAGTTCGTCCTCTGAAGTTTCAGCTGAGCTTCGGAGCTCTGCGGCTCGTTTCTCCGCAGGCAGAAGGAAAAACCCGCAGTCCGGCGGCCGGTCAGAAGGTTCTTCTGACTGCAGCGCGGTGCGCCTCTCAGAGCATCCAGAGCTGGAGGGAGGCGCGTCCGGAGGAGGAGGAGGGGGAGGAGGAAGAGCTACAGCAGAGTCCCTGATGATCCGCACTCAAACCGGATCTCTGCATCCAAATCCGACTCAAATTAACGCGCAAAACCATCTCATTTGCGCTTTTTTATTTGCGCATTTTAGTTTTTTTTATTTGATTAATTGATTTGAAATTTCTGATTAATGCAGATTTATTTATTTTACAATAAAAAACTCATCATTAGTGTATTTTTCTTTCCAGACGCCTCTCTTGTACCGGAAGTCATGAACTCTGGATTAATCAGGGATAGAATAAAGCTCCTGCACGCAAATGTTGGGCCACAGATGAACTCATTAAAGTATCAAAACAAACAAAAAAATATGGTTTTCATTTGGAGCTAGAGTTACATGATAAAGCAAATTTAAATATTTAAACATATTTATTATTTTCAAGAATTATGTTTAAAGGTTAATCCTTTAATTATCTTTATTATTTTACTCGTTTCTGACCTCTGATGTGTTTTATATTACGCCTTCTTTGTCGTGTTGAGGACTTTTATCCTCTGCGGATGTAAAACTGTCCTATAAATATCTAAATAAAAGTATTTTGTAGTGATTAGAAAACAACAAATCCAGATAACTTGAACATTTTTATTCCAAAATGTTGAGGGTAAAATAAACTATGAACAGCACAACATAAACAACCAGCAGGTAAACAGGGTGGAGAGACCGAGTTGTGGGAACGGGACTTTTCCTGGATCCTGATCGACCGACACCAAAAACAAACGTTTCCTCCGTCGTGGTTCTGTTTGAGTCTTATTGTGAAAACTAGCTGAGGGGTTAACCTTACAAGCTGACAGGAACAGATTAAATACAGTAAGGCACTTTCTAAACAAATCCAACAGTTACTAAACACTGGACTCCAACCAACAGCTGTTTTCATCATTATTATTATTATTTTACAACCGAACGGCCGGCCTGTAATTTTACTCAAGTCAAAGCTTCCATCCTGAACACAGAAGTTCTCCTTGTTTGATGAAAAATACAGAAAAAGCAATGATTTCCAAAACCTAAAGGCGGTTACAAGCCTGCTGTGCTGCCCCCTAGAGCCGAAGAGGGGTTACTGCGCCCTGCTGGGAAAAGAACATCAGTAACAATCGTGTTTTTGTTTTGAAACGAGCTATTTGACAACTTTAAAGCAACTATACAGGGCTTACGAAGGCCAAATGCTTTTATAAAAAGGGACTAACACAAAGCTGTAGACATGGACGGCGGCCATTAGTGGACTCAAAATGTTCCACTTTTTAAAAAGAACAAATGCCAGTTCTAGAAATCAGATCTTTTTGTTTATTATCCTGAAATTTTCTCTGGAATTAAATCTGAAAATAAAGCCAGTCGAGTAAAATAAGAATATTTTTGTTGGCAAGAGCGTCGCCTCCAGCCTGTTGAGGAATAGCTGAGAGGGAAATGACGCCGGCAACAGAACAAGGCTGTGGAACGTACAAACTTCCGGTTGCCGGGCTAAACTTTAGAAACGGACACGGTCCTGCTGTCTGCGCTGAAGGACAAAACGGAGACGGGACGCGCTTTCCTCGTCTGGTGGGGGTTTGGCCAAACGCCGTAAAACCAAAACAAAGATTTCTTCGAGCCCCTGTGGAGGTCCGGTAGCCGGTAGAAGACCAAAGGAGTGTCGGGACGACCAGAACCAGCTGTTGTGGTACAGCAGGTGTCTACGGAGAACATAATCGTTTTTGAGCTGGTCTAATCATCCAGCAGCAGAAAGATGAAAGAATGATGGGAGGAGGCGGAGCTGCTTTCAGAAACTGGTCTCTGAGTCAACGGTTCAGTAGAAGCAGGCCAAAGACGTCTCCGTCCTCCACGTTTGTGTGTAGGGACATGGGGACACGGTGGACAGACGCAGGACTAGTGGTTGACGAGTCCCTGCAGCATCATTAGCAGGCGGCGCGCCCTCTTGATGAGCGGACTGTGGGGCTCCTGCTGCAGGTAGGCAATGAGCTTGGGTCTGACCTGGCCCAGGATGGAGGCCATGTGGTCTCGGGTCAGGGGGTCGCTGTGGTCCAGGTTCATCACGGCGTCCTCCAGGTAGCTGAAGTGGACAGGAAAGAGGAGGTCAAGTAAAAATGATGCTTTTAGATGTTTTGCGGTAAATGTTCATGTCTAAATGTTTGTGAATGAACTCCAACTTTATTCTGGGTTGTGTTGGACCGGCGTTCCGATGTCGGACCGGTACGGAGACTCTCCGCTGCCGGTCTCAGAGTTAACCCGCTCTCTCTGTCGCACCGCCCGTCCAGAGGGACAAACGGCGATAAAAAAAAAAACATATCTAGCTTTTACAGTTTTTCAACTCTAATTAATCGACTCAAAATTAAACAAATTAAAATAACATAAAAATACAATTAAATTAAAATGTAAAATTTAATTTTAAAAAAAGAAAACAAATTAAAGCTGCAAGCAGCGTCGTTCGGCCCTCGCAGCTCCGCGCCGCTCCGGCCCGGCCGGCAGCCAGGGGCACCAGGGCACGTCCCCGGAACAGAAACGTCGACCACCCCGACACATGAAACCGCTAACGGTCACCTCGTCTGCACCTCACCCTGACTCAGCATCCCCTCTGAGCCCACCATTATATTACACGTCTCACCACTAGGGCATACCCCATCTTTGCCACACTGGTGGTGTGATGACAGTGACCAACTTTAATGCTATTTTGACCATGTTTTTTAAAGTTACCGAAGGTTAAAGTTAACTAGGCGGCGCTGTGACCAACTACAGAAAAGTCCCATTGAGGTCAGCTTTGGTGACATTATATAACATTCACCAACCGTTTGTGCCTCACTGGCTAAAGGGCATGATTGTTCATTGCCATGTTCAGTCTCGGGCAAATTGGAGGCTGTTTGTGGAAGTTACAGTCAAACGTAAGGTCATGGCGTCATGGCAGCATTCGCCATTGCATCAAAGCCCCTCCCTTTCTGGAAATCTTTCAAGTCTGAATGGTAATTACAACATTATGAAGACAGTGTATGACCTTAGTGTCATGTTCACTAAGTTACAGGTGACAAATATGGGCATTTCACCATAAAACAATAGACTTCCTGTTGTCAGGGGGCGGGGCTTAGGTGATGTCAGCTGTCCACAATAATGTTGCCTTGAGATGTGGTCAGTGATCACACAGACAAAGTTTGAAATAGATCTGATTGTGCACATGGGAGTTATTAAGTCAAGTAATGTAATGGCGAAAGGTCAAACTTTGAGGCTTAGCCACGCCCACATCTTTATACTTATTTAAAATCCGACGGTTGAATTTTTTCCTCTATGTCTTAAGAGTATATAGCAGAAATTTGAAGGTGATTGGTGAAAAGGGCGATGGAGCATCACTCTCCAAACAACGTGTGCGAAAACCACTAAATCGAGTACTTGGACCAAAATGGCCGACTTCCTGTGCGACTTTGCACTTGGCTCCAAGAGACTTTTTTGTAGGTCCTGAGACACCACATTAGTGTACCAAATTTCGTAATCCTCAGTCAAAGCATGGCTTGGGGCTGACAGTTTTAATGGTCCTAGGGGGCGCTAATTCAAAAAATAGGCCACGCCCACAAACTTAAGCTGACCATTTCTATTGGGGGTCAGACTAGGATCACTCACAACAAATTTCGAGGTGATATCACGATAAATGAAGAAATGAGAGGCAAACGTATTTCCATGGCGTGATGGCGAATTTCACCATGCTCCCAAAGCTCCGCCTTTTTTCAAAACCTTCCAGTACTGAAGACCAAGTGACCTCAACTTGTCTGCTGCCTTTTACCAGAGATTCCTGGTGATTGGGTAAAAGGAGTCCAATAGGGAGCTGTGAAAAAAAGAGTGGTGTGGCGAAAGGTCAAAGTTTGAGGCTTAGCCACGCCCACACCTTTAAACTTATTTAAAATCCGACGGTTGAATTTTTTCCTCTATGTCTTAAGAGTATATAGCAGAAGTTTGAAAGCGATTGGTGAAAAGGGCGACGGAGCATCACTCTCCAAACAACGTGTGTGAAAACCACTAAATCGCGCACTTGGACCAAAATGGCCGACTTCCTGTGCGACTTTGCACTTGGCTCCAAGAGACTTTTTTGTAGGTCCTGAGACACCACATTAGTGTACCAAATTTCGTAATCCTCAGTCAAAGCATGGCTTGGGGCTGACAGTTTTAATGGTCCTAGGGGGCGCTATTTCAGAAAATAGGCCACGCCCACCGGATCTTCCAATCAGATCTTTTGGGGGGCCGGACTAGGATCACTCACAAGAAGTTTCGTGACGATATCTTTAGAAATGACGAAATGGGAGGCAAACGTAAGGCCACGGCGGTACGCCTGAATTCGTTGCGCCGCCACAGCCCCGCCCTCTGCCGAAAACTCCCATAAAGTGACGCAAAGCAACCCCCACTTGTCTTGAGTTACCAGCTACAAATTTGTGGTGATTGAGTGAAATGGGGCCATTTGGGACCTTTCACAGTAAAACTTGACCTTTTTGGTCCTGAGGGGGCGGGGCTTGTGTGATGTCATCATCCGACCATTCAATTTACTTTGTGGGTGGATGACAAATGACGACAGAAAGTTTGGTAACTCTATTCCATACAGATATGAAGATATAGCAATTTAAATTTTTTTGGCGAGTAGTCAAACTTCGAGGCCTGGCCCCGCCCCTTCAACATATACGAAAAGTCAGAATCCTTGTCTCATTTTTTTCACCCATCCCTTCTGAGCAATTTTACACAATTTTTGAGACGATCGTGCGAAAAATGATCGAGCAATCCAATCAGAAACGGACCCTGAAAACGGCAAAAACGGCAAAAAATTGCCATTTCAACCCAAAATGGCCGACTTCCTGTTTGATATTGACCATGCTTGCAAGAGACTTTTCTGTGCGGACTGTTGAGTACTACAAGTGTACCAAATTTCATAACTGTACGATAAACTAAGCTTTATGGAGAGGGGTTTTTTTCACTTTCTAGGGGGCGCTGTTCAGCCATTTTCTTTGCGATTTTTTTGGGACCTTTAAAATATCAAATTTTTCACCAGGCCTGACGAGTGTGCAAAATATTGTGAGTTTTGGGGTATGTTAAGGTCCCCAAAAAGCCATTCAAAGCGGCACCGGAATAATAAATAAAAAAAAGAAAGAATAAACGGAGCAAAAACAAGAGGCCTTCGCAGCGCTTTCGCTGCTCGGGCCTAATAAATGTTAAATTTAAAATCAAGTTTCTATAAACAAAAAAAAAAAAAAAAAAAAAAAAAAGGTAGAAAATAAAAGGAGCCAAAATCCATAGATGTGGACACAGGGCTCTAGGTTAAGGGGGCGGGCCAAAATGGGCCAACAACCAATGAAAATGCAGTAAACAATACATTTAGAACTCAGAGTTTTTTTATTTACCTGTTTTGTATTTACAACTCAGTCAGTTTATGGGTTGATCTGATAAATTTGGGTTAAATGTAAGGATTCCGGTTCAGAAACGCCACCAGCTGCTGTCATCTGCGACATTTTCGCAGGCAAACAACGCGGAAAATGTTGAGAGATCGGCCGTGAAAACCGGCAGTAGAAAAGCCCACATCAAGGTCACGATAAGGTCGTCGCTAGCTCGTGTAATCAGAGAAAAGTTCTTCACTTGCTGGAGCAATCTTCAGAAATTCAAAAATACAGAAAATAAGAATTTGTAACCATTAAAATGAACACACACTCGTTCTAACGTCCGACCTGGAAAATAAAGTTTCACTCAAACACAAAACCAGAAAAGGGTGGCTTGCCAACTCCGGGTCGGGAGAGAGGTCCTACCTCAAGTGGAGGAGTTTAAGTATCTCGGGGTCTTGTTCACGAGTGAGGGTAGGAGGGATCGGGAGATCGACAGGCGGATTGGTTCGGCGTCTGCAGTGATGCGGACGCTGAGCCGATCTGTCGTGGTGAAGAGGGAGCTGAGCCAGAAAGCCAGGCTCTCGATTTACCGGTCGATCTACGTCCCAATCCTCACCTATGGTCATGAGCTTTGGGTAATGACCGAAAGAACGAGATCACGGATACAAGCGGCCGAAATGAGTTTCCTCCGTAGGGTGGCCGGGCTCAGCCTTAGAGATAGGGTGAGGAGCTCGGACATTCGGGAGGGGCTCGGAGTAGAACCGCTGCTCCTCCTGATCGAAAGGAGCCAGTTGAGGTGGTTTGGGCATCTGGTCAGGATGCCTCCTCGACGCCTCCCTGGGGAGGTGTTTCGGGCATGTCCTGCCGGCAGGAGGTCCCCGGGTCGACCCAGGACACGTTGGAGAGGTTAAGGTTGGTTTATGCTTGACGCGCCCGCGAGGTCCGCACGGAAAAGTTGCGTCATTTTAACAACCACGCCCCTCCACCGCGTCTCCGCACGGCCCAGAATTTCCACACCGCGCACCTAGGAAAATTTCTAACCACGCGGACGGACGGACGTGGAAAAACATGGCGGACCGGCAAGAACTAGTATGGCAGAGGTTCGTAAATACAGACATTTGTATGATTCAGCTCTCAGAGATCACCGTGATCAACATGTTGTTAATAATTCTTGGAGAGAAATGGCTCACACTGTCGGAAAAGACGAGGACGCTGTTAAAAATGCTGGAATGCCATGTTGTAAACAGTAATTTCTACTTCTACTATGGTGTAGTGTTGGATGGATGCCGTAGAGCTCCATGCTGCCCCCTACAGTTTCGGAGAACATTGGCTCACCGCAGAGACGAGCCGCATGAACCATAAACGCTGCGAGTTGTGAAGCGTGTTCCATCCGCGAGCCGCATCACCGAGCGGAAAGTGAATGCGTCAAGCATAAACCAAGCTTAACATCTCCAATCTGGTCCGGGAACGCCTTGGGGTCCTGCCGGAGGAGCTGGTGGAGGTGGCCGGGGAGAGGGCGGTCTGGAGCTCCCTAGTTGGGATGTTGCCCCCGCGACCCGGATAAGCGGAGGAAGACGACGATAAAACAAGAGCAGCTCTCATCTCTTTACTACTTTCTGTCCTCCGACCGCTCTGCTCAACATTCAACTCCTTAATGACTGGTCTGAGTGGAACATCTGGTGGCCGGAGTGGCCGGCGGTCCAGGACAACGTAAATCTGAGTTTAGAGATGCTGGTTTGCTGCCAGGTCACCAGAACACACTCAGCAGGTCTATTAAACCCCCCAGCCCTGCCGACACACACGTTAGAGAGGCGGCAGACCCCGACTGTCCTCTGGTTAGTTAATAACGCCAGAAAATCCTCTGCCTGAAGCTGCATTTGCCTTTAAAACAAACAGAAAGCCTGTGTAATAGCTGCTCGCCTCCCTTGCCTCACGTCATCTCAGCTCCATTTTTACAACATCGTGTTCGCCGCAGTCGGCTAACGATCCGCTAAAGAGCGCCGCTGTTGTGGGTAACGACACCCTCTGCAGTCCCAAACATCCTCTCAGTGATGGAAGATGAAATCTGTCCAATCAGAGAGGCTCTCTTATCAGGAGGCAGAGGCGTGTCATCAATCTTTTCATCCGACTGTGATTTACTGTCACAAGCTGAGCATCTCATCACCCGATTTCCATCTCGCATCACAAAAATGAAGCTTTTCTGCTTAATTAAAATCCTGAGAGTCCCTTAAGGTAGAAAAAAAAAGAGAAATGGATTTTCCTTTAAAACAAACTCATCAAACACGCCTCCGCATCCTCATCAGTGTAGCACCACAGGGGCAGATTAGCGGCCGCTACGTCGGACTGAAACACGAACCTCGACGCAAACAAACTCAAAACTGGGAAAAAATAGACTTTAAGTGAGAACGTGAACCAGAAACGAGAAAGGAGAAAATGTTTGTGGGAATAAGACCCCGGACAGGAAGCACGGCTCTGCTCCGGGGCCGGTCTGAGCTCCCCAGACAGTCGTGCAGCAGACGGAGGAGAGCGGTGGGGTCAGCACTTCCGCACCACTCCGCCCACAGGAGGTGGTGAATAATGGCCATACAGCGGAGATTAGATGGGGAGTAATAGTTTATTACTGATGGAGTGCAGCTCCGGCGTGAGTGGGAGAGAAGTCGTGACGCGAGGACTTTCTGCTCGTGGCGTCGTTTACGGGTTTCTGATTAGCACCACGAGTCTCCCACAGAGCGCGTCAAGCAGCTGACATGATGTTTTACACTTAGGTTCACGCACACCTACAGCACTGAGCAGAAACCCGACCATCACCTGATTTTGAGCTCGGAGCGGGTGGAGAGGTTGGAGGAGAGCTGCTGGATGAGCGACAGCAGCACGGGCTGGCTGAGGGGACAGGGGCTCTGACCGAACACCTGCTGGGAGTCAATGGTCTCACACACGTACAGAACCAGGTTGAGGTCCGTGGCCGACAGCGCCTGCGGGAGGAGGCGAAAAGCCGATGTTTAAATAGAAAATATGTTAAATGCAACGTTAAACATTTAAACTCTGTGATGTTTCTACGGCAACAAAGGCTAATCAAAAGAAATCTGATTAGAGCAGCAGGGGAGCAGGTGTAATGAACACCTGCAGCCCACGCAGGTCACTGGTGGGAGGGGGATAAATTGCTCTGTAACGGTTCCCCGAGCCCCCTGGTCTGTGTTGGTTAGGCGCTCACCTGCTGGAAGGCCTGGTTGAGCTGGCCCTGCTGGAGGAACTGCAGGATGTTGGCCTGCTGCGTCTGGTAGTCCAGGTGCGCCGTGGGGACAGGTGTTCCAGCTGCTGACCGCATGGCCTGCATGATGCTGGAGGTGACCACCGCCTGCTGCTCCTTCATGGCCAGGCTCACCTCCCCTTTGACGATCCGCTGCATGTGGCTGAGAATGGACTCCTGCAGACTGAACAGGAAGTTATCCTTAGATCCGCGTCTCGGTCAACCGGTCCCTAAGATCTTAGTTTTAATTGGCCAGCCACTTCCCCCTCGCTCCACCCCACACGGTCTCTTGAGGCTATGAAATTAATTGCGCTGGGAACAATAGACTTGAGCAAATGTATGCTCCTATATTAGCCTCAGGATTAAAGCGTTGCTTGTTTTTACTCTCCGGTCCAGTAAGCAGCTGCTCGGAGTGCGGCCGCACCGCTGCAGCAAACATCTGCTGGTTTACATGCCTGATGTTTAAATTCAATTCAAAAATACTTTATTGATCCCAGAGGGAAATTGATTGCTGTAGTAGCTCAGAATAATAATAATAATCAAGTCATCAAAGAGTTGTTGTATATTACAATGGCTGTTGGCAGGAAGGATCTCCAGCAGCGGTCAGTGTTGCAGCCAAACTGAAGAAGCCTCTGACTGAAGACACTCTTCCGTTGTCGGACAGTCTTGTGAAGAGAATGCTCAGGGTTGTCCATCATTTTCTTGATTCTCTGGAGAATCCTTCTTTGTTCATCTCCTCCAGCGGTTCCACAGTCGTCCCCAGAACAGAACCAGCCTTTTTTATTAGGCTGTTGAGCCTTTTCAGGTCCCTGCTTCTGATGCTGCTACCCCAACAGACGATGGCTGAAGAGATTACACTCTCAACAACAGACTTGTAGAAGATCTGCAGCATCTTGCTACAGACACTGAAGGACCTAAGCGTCCTCAAGAAGTGCAGTCTGCTGCGTCCCTTCTTGTAAACGGCTTCGCTGTTCTTTCTCCAGTCTAGTCTGTTGTCCAGGTGAACTCCAAGGTATTTGTATTCCTCAACCACCTCCACTTCTTCTCCCATGATGGAAACAGTGTTTGACTCCACCCTGTTTCTTCTGAAGTCTAAAATCATCTCCTTTGTTTTGTTCACGTTCAAGGTCAGATGACTGTTTCCACACCATGCCACAAAGCGCTCCACCAGCTCTCTGTACTCAGCTTCCTGTCCATCTCTGACACACCCGACAACTGCAGAGTCATCTGAGTATTTCTGTAGATGACAGGTCTCTGATTTGTACTGGAAGTCTGAGGTGTACAGGGTGAAAAGGAATGGTGAGAGTACAGTACCCTGTGGCGCTCCACTTAAAAAGCCAGTCGATGCTTTTAAACCCGACTCTGGGAGTTAAAATCGGTCACCGGCAGGAGCGTTTCAGAAGCAGCTTTCTGTACATGTGAGCAACAGATTCTCAGCCCGGTTTCACACTGCAAGCATCAGCGGAACGGAACGGCAGCGAAGCGGCACCACTTCAAATATAATCCAATTATAGTCAGAGTGTGTCAAACCAGCCGCGACGCGGCAATTTCCAGACGCATCCCAGAAGCAGCATGCCGCTAAAGATAGGATCGAGTACTATTTTTTTCAGCGAGCCGCTTCTGGGACGCGTCAATTTCCGCAGTCCACATAGTGCGAGACAGGAAACCACACGGTTTCAGTATAAAATCCCCAGTTATTTTCAAAATAAAATGCAACGTTGCGATGTTACGTATAACTTACTTCAGTACGTGTGGTCGAACGACTTTGTTTACCACCAGTTTCTTTCGAGAAGTGCAACAGTGCAATTCCTCGCGGGGGTTGTGATCTCTCGATGAGGAAGGTGTCGGAAGTCTGGAGGGATTTTAGAATCTCGCGAGTACAGCGAGGCGCAGCGAGAAAGCCGTGCCGCGGCCGAGACTCTCCCGGTGTGAAAAGGACCGCTTTGAAGTTCGCGAGTGAGCCGCTCCGCTGCCGTTCCGTTCCGCTGATGCTTGCAGTGTGAAACCGGGGTTTCACGCTCGGCTAACAGAGCCATCGACGAGGGAACGGCGCGGATACATACTTTCCCACCACGATCTGCATCTGCTGTTGGACCTCAGCCCGGACCGTGGCTGTGATGCTGCTGGCCAGCTGATCCGTGGAGCTCTGGAAGCTGTCGATCATCTGCTGGAGCTGCCCGATCACGGGGTCCCGCGCGTCCTGCTCTCTCTGCTTTCTGCTCTTCATGTGGGTCTCAAGCTGCTGGATGTCTGCAGAGACGAAAGTTAAAAAAGTATTTTCCTCCCTCAGCCCCCCCCCCCCCACACACACACACACACAAACACACACAAGATCAACACGGTCACAGCTGCAGGGCTGAGTCTCTCCATCCAACACACACACACATGCACGCACGCACACACATGCACACGCACACACATGCACACGCACACACACACGAACATGCGCACACACACGCACACACACACACCCAAGAAACACTGGTGGTTTAGAGGAAACGTGTATTAATGTCCTAAAACGTGTCGGACAGCCTGTACACACTTCCTGTATCGTTAAAGGCTCTTCAGTGAATAAATGGATAAAATATTTACTGCACTGGTCTTTAGTCAAGTCTGCACACACACTCGTGCACGTATGTGGACCGGACGGTGAGCGAACAGGCGCAGCTGCAGCCACAGACTTCAGTACGAGTTGAAGCCATTTTCATGGTAAAAGTAGGATCAATAATATTAATAATAAATAAAAAATATCAGGATTTCATCTTCTGGAAGAAAATTTTCACAAAGTCTAATTCTTCCTCTTCTCTTCGGGCTTTAAGTGAAGCAGCCTAGCAGAAGCTCACAGGTGGAAGACGAGGCCATCTCACCTGGCTGCTCGGCGCAGGTGAGCGAGGACGTCTGTGTGAGCCGACGATGCTCCTCTCAGAGATAAATGCATCGTACGATTAAGTAACTCGTGTGACAGGCCCGGTCGCTACGCAGCGGTGCAGATGTTAACGCGGCACTTCCAGTCAATATTTAACGGCTAAACCCGGAATGTGATCGTGGATTATATGTAAACAGGACGAAGCCTCCGAGTTTAGTGCAGACGCCTCCACTCTGCACACGTTAGATTAGAGAACTGACCAGATTTACAGCTTCAGAGAAGAACCAAATAACTCTTCCTCACAGGATTTCCACTTGAAGAGAATCTAACCCTCAAACGGTCGCTGAGCAAATATCCGAGATGCTCACATGAAGAAAAGCCTCCAAGTAAAGTTTTCACTTTCAAAACGACCCCGTCTGTAAACTAACTTCACCGGATCGGCTCCCCTGGGTCCGAATCAACATCAGCCTGATAAAAAAATACCAGTTTTCAGTGTCTGAGAAGGACGATTTGGTATCTGGTCGTCTTACATTCGTGCGTTCCTTGCTTGAAGCTGTCGTTGATTTGCTGAAACATGGACTGGCAGCCTCGCTCAAACACCGGCAGCACGATGCTCTGGAAGGCATCTTTGTAGGCCGCCTGGATCGGACCCTGCATGGCTTCGGCTGCTGCTCGCCCAATCGCATCGGTCGTGTTCTGATGAAGCAGAGAGACGGTTCTGACGTACCCGGACGTGGGAAAATGCGGCAGCAAGAACACAAACCACAACGCTTTACCTTGGATTTGACCACCTTGCTGACATTGTCCTTCAGAGAGACCTCCACAGCCGTCAGCTTAGCCGCTATGGTGCTGTTCAGCTGACCCGTCACGGGCTCCAGACTCTTGGAAATCGCTGGAGGGGAAGAAGAATGATAAAAACAGATGAACAAGAAGAACTCCTCTATAATTACACAAGAGACAGTGGAGAGAAGAAGATCAAAATGTTTTTAAATCAGAGGGCAGGAGAGGCGAGGCAGGAAGACATTCCTCCAGAGGCTGCTGCGATCAAGACACCTCCGCTGCCTCGGCTATTTTTAATTTGTTCTGCCTTGAATTATCTGAAGCATTAAGACATGTTTTATTGATGCACAAGCTGCTGTACTCGTTGACTCTGGGTATTTAAAGGGACAAAGAGGCAGTTTATCCATACGGGTAGGGCTGCTCAATTAATCGAATTTTAATCACGATTACGATCTGAGTTTTGAACGATTATAAAAAACAAAACAAGCCGATTATTTGCTCCTCCCGCTTGCGCTGCCCTGAGTTGCAAATGAAGCGCTCCTCCACAGTGTTGCCAACTTAGCGACTTTGACGCTATTTCTAGCAGCTTTTCAGACCCCCTTCTTGACTTTTAAATCTTAAAAGTGCCTAGCGAACACCTCAGAAACATCTCTGGTAACCCTTAGCTACTTTCTGGATAACTGTCGTCGACATTTCCTGCAGGTTAGCTAAACACTCCGCCTGCGCTCCGGACCGTTCTTCACAACATTAGGAAAGGGAATGATGTAGTGATGTGTCGGTCGCTAAAGACAGCTCTCAGAGCCGGATCCCTGTTGGAGTAACCAGAGTGAGTGACACACACACCGCACCTGCGGACTCCTGAGCAGCTAAAAACAGCTAAATGTGCGCGTGCGGCGAGCTAAACACACGTGCAGCTTGCCCGATTGCTGTGAGACCGGGTTGGGGGGTGGGGGTGCAGCTGTGGTTGGGACAATTATTACATTAACTGATGGACTTGTAAATAAATAGTTTATAAATAAGGTAGAAATAAGTTTCTCACGCTGATAAATAATAACTAATCTCTCTGGGGACACGATGCTAGTGCACTCTCCTACAGCACCTTGACACGGCTACATAAATGTTATGCAACATTTTGTGAACATCAATTTATTTGCATTTATTTGTTATAAATGCCACTGTATAATTCTTGCTGGCAGTATTTGCAAGATATTGGTATTTGGGTCTGTACTGGTTAGACTTAAATGAGTTAAACCAAGGTCTATAGCCCTTGGGTCATAGACTATGAGCTATAAGTATATTGGTCTTTTTATACTGGGAACCAGGAGTTATTTTAGTGATCATCTTGTTTCTTATTTTTGTCCTGATTGTGCCCTGAGCAATTTTATGACTGAATAGAAACAAATAAAATCAACATAAATTGAAAAATCGTCTTAAATAATCGTGATCTCAATTTCAGTCACCATAATCGTGATTATTATTTTTGCCATAATCGAGCAGCCCTACATACGGGTGAAACTCAAGATGTTAGAATCTGGTGCAAAAGTCCGTTTATGTCAGTGATTCAGCCTGGAAGGTGAAACTAATCTCAGTCGGAGATTTCAGCCTTTATTTGTTTTATTGTCTTGACTTACAGCTGATGAGAACCTCACACTCAACATATCAGACAACTAGAATATTGTGAAAAGGTTCACTATTCTGGACTAGGGTTGTCACGGTAACCGGTGTAGCGGTAAACCCAGGTAAAAAAGTTGACAATAATAATAACCGTCTTGTTTTTAAAAAAACAATATTATCTCGGTGGGTTACCGTGGCTGCGGTGTAGGCGCGGTGACCCTTACCAGCCACAGTATCATCTGCTGAAGTTGCCGGCGGCACATGCGCACTTTGTTGTTTACAACCAAAACTTTCTTGAAGCTAAAGCTGAAATAATGGCCAAAGGAGGAGACGGCAGCACTCAGGACATTTATTATCCCTCAAAGAAGACAAAGTGGGAAGTACGGGCATTTTTTGGATATTTGAAGAACACCGAGGGACAGCTGATAGAAGACGGCTATCCTGTTTGCAGCACGAGCAGAAAAAGTGTCTGTGAAAGGCAGCAACGCTTCAAATCTCATGACACATCTGCGTGACCATCACCCACAACTCTACAGTCAACGCAAGGCAAGCTAATGTTAGCGTTTTAGCTGAAATGCGTGATCCGAGGATTTGGGTTGAGGGAGAATGCAACGAGTCGCTATATAAAGCAGCCGCAGCGCCGCTACCTGCATATAAACCGTGTCGCGGACACCCTCATGTTGAAATGACGCTATGCATTACGGGGCTCCCAGGGGCAGATAAGAGTTGGTCTCTCTCCGAGAATAATTATGAATTTAACAACGATTACTGCCTGATGACATTTTCCCACATCTGCAAAGCTCACTGGAAGGACACAAACCGAGGACAATATTTTCCTGATATACGGGGTTTATGTAGTTGTCTGAAAATGTAACATGTTTAAAAAAATACCGCGATAATACCGAAAACTGTGATAATTCTGGTCACAATAACCGTGAGGTTACATTTTCACACCATGACAACCCTATTCTAGACTCAAAGTGTCACGCTGATGAAGGTTCCTGAGCCTTTAGATCAGGGGTCCTCGACTAATTTTGTTCAGGAGCTGGAGTTTTTTTCCCCAGCGGACACCATGAGAAGAATCGGATATAAAACAACAAACGTCGCTTTTTAAATTCACCCGGAGAAAATTTTTTTCAAACAGAATAATAACGGCTTAGTTAGTTTTAAATTTAACAAGTTCCTCCATCAGTATTCTTTGCTTCACAAGTCACGCAACTTAAGGTAGTCTGGGAATTCACGCACCGCAACATGTAGCAGTTAGTTAACACAGCATAGTTGTCACCTTAACCCGTTCACTGTTTTTACTGTGTGGGCGTCGGACGAGCCCCCGCACCGTGAGAACAAACATCTCCGCTCTAAAGCCGATCTTCATCCACGTACGTCACACGTCACGTGATCAGGAAGCAGAACATCCATGTGTTAGGAGATCGTTTTTGGGCCGCTGCTGTAAAAAAAAAGTGAGGCGCGAACCGGAAAAGCTTCTGCCGATCACAATTCAACAACGGATTATGAAAGAACGGATAACGCTCGAAACGCGCGGATTCTTCCTGATGTAAGAGGTGAGTCTCCGCTTTGTTTTGGTTGTTTTGGCGTCGACATCATCCTAGCGCGCAACGTTCTGTGACTCTTAAAAAAACTGTAAAAACGGTGAGAAATGCTGGCAGCGAATGAGTTATGAGCAAAAATGTTTGTAATTTGAATGTTTGTTTAAATGAACAGCAAAGGGAGTGTAATAAACACGTGTAATATGTGCAAACTGGGTATTTAACGAGGTGGAAAAGGTAGTGCTGCGTCTGATGCCCCACCTTAAAAAACTGACTGCTCAGTTTGCTGCAGTAATTCAGCCGACACTAAAGGACACATTAAGAAACCACAGCAAAAGTGCCAAGATGGCAGCACATTTATCAGATGGATGAGCGTCTGTGGTTGCAACCGTCGGTTCTGCGGTCTCGTTCCGTCGCGGTGTGATCTGCTTTCTCGTACAGGTGTTTCGTAGAAAAACATTAACTCTGCTGCTGACCGTCATGGCCGTGTCATCCATGTTGCTGAAAACAGCCGCACACTGATTACTAACTATTTAAAATGCGAGCAACAACAAGGCTACTTTTACATTTATTCTTATCAACACATTTCTTATTAACGTACTTCCTAAACAAGCGATGCTTTATGGCAAAACAACTAAAGAAATGACAAATACAGAAAGTAAGAAACGCATTAATGATTAAAAATAACTTCAAGGACAACTCTAGAGTCTTCTCCTTTTCTCTTAATGCATTTCTAAAGTATCGGATTGGGATTTAGAGTCAGATTGGGAGAAAAAAAATTAAACGTGATCGGAACGTCCCTAATTATTGATATTTGCAACGTGAATTTTGCTGCAAAACTTCAAAGTCCCCCAACAGGGGGACGTTAGGACCCGCAGACTTTTGCCCCATATTCTCACTTGAACAGGTTCACCCGTAGGTGTAATGATCACGATTTATACAAAACAACCTAAATCCATGGGCGGCACCAGGCGGTAGCAAAGGGTTGCTAAAGCAACGGCAAGACTGGGCCAAGCAACAACTTTGTTGCTATGGTAACAACTTTGAGATGAAAACTGGATATATCAGAAACTGCTGTTATCAGAGTTATGGGGGCAGGCCAAAAGAGGCCAACAACCAATGAAAACGCAGCAAACGATACGTAGACAAACCGATTTTTTAAATTTAAAACTCCATGACTTTATTGGTTTAGTTGATAATTTTGGTTAAATGTAAGGACTCAGGTTCAGAAACGTGCACCAGCTGCTGTCAGCGGTGAAATTTTAGTGACATGAAGTTTGCTGCTAAGCATTAAGCCGGGCGGACACTGTGCAACTTTTTTCAGTCGTAGCACTCCGCTTCAGCTCAAACTGTAGGACTTCCTCACAGGGCAGATCTCACGAGTCATGTGCTCACACTGTACGTCCGGTAGCAACACGTCGGCCCTGAAAATATGCTAAAAATAGCAGTTTTTACACAACATGTCAGATTTTTTTGTCTTGTTTTGCCTGTTGTCCTTCGGGAGTGCTGCAGGAGGACACACAGGGATTTATGGGGGTTGGATGAGGAAAACGAAATAAAGAAAGTAAATCTGTGTTTTGTGATCAGTTTAGTTTGACATGAACACGACGAACACGCTTTCTTGACAATCTTTGTCATTGTGAGTAAAAAAAAGTGTAGAAATAAAAACGAACAACGTGTGTTATTAGGGAAATAGCGGGCGAGCGGTGTTGATGCAGGATTGCGCATGCGCCGTGAGCGGTTCTGGTACTTTTTGGGTCGCAGTGCCGCTTCAACAGTGCGATATCCTCATGAGGGACGAGCAAAATATTAAACACGCCAGAAGTCCGTGCGAGCTCACGATTGCTGATCGGTAGCTGGTCACGTGGTGTTAATCGCCTCTCGTAACCCCCTGTACACCACGCTCGGCGCAAAACTCGCCCCGATCTCGTGGATTCTCGCACGAGTGGAAAATCGGCTCAAAAAAGTGAAAAGTTGCACAGTGTACGCCCGGCTTTAGTGCCCAGAGGGTTGGGGACCAAGTGGAAAGGCTAAATAATCCCGTTGCTATAGTAACTGAGAACTTTACATAACATCAACTAGTTGATCGTCATCGAGGTAGTGGACACACCTGTCCACGGTTTGTCTTTGGTTTTTATCCAAGAGTCATTTTTCCACATTAGCGTTCATCTAGTCGTCTCAGTGCTACAGAGCTGTGACTGTGTGTGTGTGTGTGTGTGTGTGTGTGTGTGTTTACTTTGTGGGACGGTCTTCTTCAGCTCCTCTCGCAGCACTTTGTCCATCCTGTTCGTCAGCGCCGAGCCGAGAGCGTGGCTGAGCTGCTGGCCCAGTTGCTCCTGAAGTTGCTGCTGATGGTTCTGACTCTCCGCCAGAACCCGATCCAGTCTTCGATCTGAGGCAGCAGTGAGTCGAGGCACAAAACACAAAGAACAGATCAAGACATGGGCGTGTTTGGATGCTGACCGCTGTGGAAGGCTTCAGCGCCTGGAGACCACGGGGTGAAGGATACGTTCTTGTTCCTGCTGCTTCAGCAGCACGTGCTCAACCTGAGCCACGACGGCGCTCGGCATGGTTTCAACCAGCGACCACAGCTCGGACAAATCCCTCTGTTGGGCCCGCAGCAGCACCAGCAGCTCGTCCTGAGCTTCCACGTGAAACTGAGGTACGTGAGGAGCAGAGAGGTCAAAGGTAACCCGGATCAAAGAGTTAAGGGCTGCATTAAACAACAAGCTCACTTACGTGGTCCACGTGTCTGGACTGAGAAGATTCACTGCAGGGATAAAAGCAACATTCAGAGTCTTCACGTATATTTGCTGTTAATCCGTCTACAGATTATCCAGCCTAATCTGTAGACGGATTAATTACCAAAGACAAACATCAGTTGTTGTTTGGGTGATTTTTTTTAGTTTGTTGTGTGGAAAACAACGTTTCATATTTGGGAGAAGTTAAGACTTTATAGAGCTGCTGAACATTTGTATTACGAGTTGTCACGGTGGGAAAATTTAACCTCACGGTTATTGTGACCAAAATTATCACGGTTTTTGGTATTATCGCGGTATTTTTTTTAAACGTGCTACATTTTCACACAATAAAATAAACCCTGTATGTCAGGAAATATTGTCCTCAGTTTGTGTCTAAATTTTGCCTTCAATGTGTTATTTTGTAATTATGTTGTTTATTTGTTTACATTTTTTCTCTTTAGTCTTTAAAATACCAATATTTGCCCATAACTTCTTATTTTATGTCTGTTTGATGTCATCATTTTAAAAATATTAGATCAGATGATACTCAGTACTCAGGTAGCCTTCTAATCAGATACTTTTTTACCCTTACTTGAGTAATAAACCCTATATCAGGAAAATATTGTCCTCGGTTTGTGTCCTTCCAGTGAGCTTTGCAGATGTGGGAAAATGTCATCAGGCAGTAATCATTGTTAAATTCATAATTATTCTCGGAGAGAGACCAACTCTTATCTGCCCCTGGGAGCCCCGTAATGCATAGCGTCATTTCAACATGGGGGTGTCTGCGACACGGTTTATATGCAGGTAGCGGCGCTGCGGCTGCTTTATATAGCGACTCGTTGCATTCTCCCTCAGCCCAAATCCTCGGATCACGCATTTTAGCTAAAACGCTAACGTTAGCTTGCCTTCCGTTGACTGTAGAGTTGTGGGTGATGGTCACGCAGATGTGTCATGAGATTTGAAGCGTTGCTGCCTTTCACAGACACTTTTTCTGCTCGTGCTGCAAACAGGATAGCCGTCTTCTATCAACTGTCCCTCAGCATTCTTCAAATATCCAAAAGATGCCCATACTTCCCACTTTGTTTTCTTTGAGGGATAATAAATGTCCTGAGCGCTGCCGTCTCCTCCTTTGGCCATTATTTCAGCTTTAGCTACAAGAAAGTTTTGGTTGTAAACAACAAAGTGCGCATGTGCCACCGGCAACTTCAGCAGATGATACGGTGGCTGGTAAGGGTCACCGCGCCTACACCGCAGCCACGGTAATCCACCGAGATAATATAGTTTTTAAAAAACAAGACGTTATTATTATTATTGTCAACTTTTTTTACCGGGGTTTACCGCTACACCGGTTACCGTGACAACCCTAATTTGTATCTTGTTGCACTTTGAGCTGCACGATAGGGCTGGGGGTAAACGATTAGTTTTAAAACGATTATTCTGACGATTATTTTATCGAATAGTCGACTATTCTAATGACTATTTAGACGATTAATCTAATGAATATTTTTCTATTGCACATTTAATAAAAACCAAAAAATCTTTAATAAATTCCTCAAAAAAATTGATAAATTGTTACTGTAAGAGAATAAACACTACAGGCCTTCCATTTTGTATAACACTGCTTTTATTGTGTTGGTTGGTTATGTTCTGGTGACGTGTAGAACTTGGGAGTGCAGGCTGCTGCCTGAGAGGTGGTTGGAGACGGAGTGTCTCCATGCTGCTTTGTTTTGGTCACTTATGAGCGTGAGGCGAGTGGTGTTACGACTCTTCCTGGGGAGTTTGGCTCGTGTGCAAAAAGGAAGGGACAATAACGGGATTTAAAAGTTAAAATGATGATCAGGTTTATTTACAACTACAAAAAGCATAAATCTTTCCATCCACAGGTTGGGAATGATAAAACTAATTCTGTCTGTGGGGAATTAAAACAAAAGTACAAATAAGTAGGGATGTCCCACTGGGCAAAGATTACTGGGTTCTGGACCAAAATAAGGATCTCCAAAGGTCCAAACTCTGAACTGGGCGGTTAAACCAAACTCAAGGTGATATTTTAAACTAAACCGAAAACCCGCAACACTCTAAATGTAATAAAAGGGAGATCTGCACCACAAAAAAGATGAACTCTAAACCAAAACGTAACAGCTTATCCAAACGCAAGAAGCTGTTAGCGAAAATGCTAACAGTAGCTTTACCAATGTTAAGTTCAAGTTACCAAGTTTAAATAAACAAATGGGCCATTCCCATCTGTACCGGGTCGGCCCGGGCCGGGTAGCCCCAGTCGGCCCCAGCCTGGCCCGGTTGATTCCACACATCCTTGCCTTAAGCCCATGTGGGCTGATTCTACCCACCAATCAGAGGCTTGCTCTAATGGAAGGTGTGAATTTGCTGTCAGCAGTGGGTGTGTTGGCCCTGGTCGGCCTGAAGCAGACCCCCTCGAGAAGAGGGCTGAGAATGGGCCTTGGTTGGCCTGGAAAAATACCAGGCCACCCAGATATGTAAACAACCTACGCTACCCGGCCCGGGCTGACCCGGTACAGGTGGGAATGGCCCAAAAAACACCCAGCAGCAAACAGACCAGCACGGAGGAGAGACTGCTAGCACCAAAACAGCTCTCCTAATGTCTGAAAGAAGCTCCTTTATGAAGGGAGAAACGCTCCCGGTGATTTTCTACATCTGACGAAGCCGCACATCTGACCCCGGAAGTTGTTGTCCGTTGCCGGGAGACGAAGGCGGGCAAAACAGGAAAGGAATCTAGTAGCGGACGGACATTGTTCCGGGTCTTCGGTATTTGGCGGAGATGTTAGTGAAGGCGGAGAAGAGGGCGAACTAGAGGAAAAACAGGCAGATTCCTTCTCTATTTACAAACTCCTGAGGATGCAACAAGTGGGCGCGGTGCGTCGACTACCGGATCTGACGTTGACTAATTTTTTTTAATCGAGCCGTCAAAGTCATCGAGGCTTCGCTACAGCCCTACTGCACGACCAGAGTTTAAATAAAAACATACCTGTCATCCTTCTTGGTCCTCCTCTTTAGTTCTGGCGAGCTTCGCGGTGAGGACTTCCAGTCTTTAACTGGTATTCTGTGAGAAGAGCGAGAGCCACAGCTCCCAGCCGAAGACGCCAAAGCAGCGATTTCATCGTCGGGATCGCTGAGTTGGGCAGAAAGAGAAAACTTGAGATGGCCGCTGAAGCCGGAGCAGGACGAATAAGAGGCCTCTAACGGGCCTTTAGTGAAGCGCGGGCCCTCTGCCTTACCTCTGCTCAGCGCCGGTGTCCTGATTATCATTGGGTGTGAGGTGAAAAGAGCGTCGATGGAAAGGTGATCTCAGGAGCCTCTCCGAATCATCTCTTGAACTATGAAACATGTAAACACGTCTGAGAAAGGAACCTGAATAAACTTTACCTACAAAAACAACAACAGCTTGACTACTGACCACTCCCCCAGACCGTTGTCCCGGAGGCTGTTCCTGGTCTCCCTGGTGATGTCAGGAGCAGCCGGCCATGCCGTGTGACTGATGTTGCCATCGGAGGATCCTCCAACCACCCCAGGGTTTTCCTGCGACAACGCGTTTTCCAGAAGAGACGGCTGGTTTCCCAGTCCGAGTTCTGGCTCAGCTGGTCCACTTCCTGCCCCATCTACCCCTCCGAGCTCCAGGGCTAACAAACTGTAAGAGAGGTTTGATGGGTCGATTTCAGAACAAGATCTCCAGTTTACAGGGTTAAACATAAAACACACATATATGAAGAGATGCACTGAAGCGCATAAGACGTCTTAAACACTCATCAGCTCCTCGCTTGTACCCGTTATTGCTAGCCGTGCGCGGTGAGGTTAGCATGTGCAGCGCAGAAGCGGCAGATGCCATGCTGTCCGTCTGCAGAGCAGAGAGAGGGAGCGTCTCCAGGGAGGTCACGTGTCCCCTCTGCAGCTGCAGGGTCTGCGATGCGATCTCCGGCATGTCCTGAGAGAGGGCGGTGGAGGCTGACGAGATGACATCGGGGGAGCGGGCCCGGGTCGGGGAGGCCATGGGGGGCAGCAGGGGGGAGTCTGGGACCTGAGGGCTGTCCAGAGACAGAGGACCAGTTGGAGATGCAAGAGCCTGGAGAGGAGCAGCAAGATTGAGGGAATATTTATTTGGAGCCTTCAGGCATACTTTTTAGCAGCCGTATCCGACTGGAACAGAGAGTTTGACACGAGAGCGCCGTTTCCTACCTGCAGGCCGTCGAGTCCGGGCAGCAGCACGGCAGAAGCAGCTCTTGGGCTGCTGGTGGAGGCAGAGAGTCCCAGACTGCTGCTGTTGTCTCCTCTGATGGGACTCTGGCTAACATCGTCCATTGCTCTGCGCGCACACACACACGCACACAGTGTCACAAACACAAAGAAGAGAAGCATCTGATGATCTTACAGAGAAAGGTCACCTATTAGTTGAGTCCGAGTTGCTGCTGATGGCCGTAACGACGGTCAGGCTGCTGGCGCTGCTGCCAGGAGACGCAGGAACCTGACGGGTAACAAAACAAATAACATGAACAGGAAGTAAATATAATAACAGGATTACTGCGTCTAAACAAGAACAATACTGCGTTTATGTTTAAACAGCTCAATTACTGGTAACCCACATTGTATTAAAGTAAAGTCGTCCTCAAACGAGACTTACAGACCGACGGTGTCATGTGCTCCTGTCTGTTTAGTGTTGCTAGCAGCGCTCAACAAAAATGCAGGAGCAACTAACAAATCGTTGCTGGGTGACAAATAAAAAGGAGCCCGGCTCATTCTTGTGTTCTGAAGCTTTACAAGGAATTCCCAGTCAGTACCGAGGTGCTTGGTGTCATGAAGGCATCGGGGGTCATCAGCTTGGGCATCGCTCCGCTGACGTTAGCCGCGTTTGACAGGAAGTCCGAGGGGACAGGAAGTGGAAGAATCTTTCGGAGGTCCGTCTGTGAGCCGCTTCCTGAATCCTTGTCGGAGCTCTGGTCTGTGAGATGGTCTGAAAACCCGGCTGAGGAACACGACAGTGTTTTGGATGTGGGGCAAAGAGAAAATAATCAAAAAAGCACATTCTCCAGTAAGAAAGTTAAAAAATGTATCCTATGCTTCACATTTGTTTAAGCCTTAAAGATTAGCATCTTGTTTATTACACGGTGGCGTAATTCAGCAAGAAGAGAAAAGTCAGGAACACAAACAAGAATCAGAAGGATTTCTGTCTCTGAGGCCTTTCAGATCCACACAAACAACCATAAAAACATAAACACGAGCTTTAAAGTCACAAATCAAAGCAAACAAACCGAGTTGGAAATGAAGAATCCACAGTCAACAAACGCTGACTTTTTACTGTAAACTCACCAAGACCTTCCTGGGAACCAGAGTGAGAGAGAAAACCTGCCGAGTTGGAACCGAGGTGAGGCTGAAACCAAATCTGGACGTCCTGCAAACTCCTGGAAACGCAAAGACGCAAAAAGACTAAAACAAAAGTCTGCAGAACGTTCCTTAGACGTAAATGTCAACACGTAAAAGCTGTTTGTTAGTCCCAAACCAAGTCCAGGCAGCTTTTAACACAAGCTCTGAGATGGAAAGAGACGCACAACAAAGCCTCCAGAATGACACCGAAGGGGATGCAAAAAGGGTAGTAGAGGCCGACCGATATAATCCATTTTTTTCCTATATCGGCCGAAATTATTTTTAAAGGCCGATAAAAAAAGTAATAAATCGGGCACCTGTGGCCAACTGCTGCTACTACTAGACTGAAGAAATGACCCAAAGGACCCCAACACATCGATTTTAGTTTGTTTTATATTTGAAGTTCTAAATATTAAGAGATTTATTGACTTATTTCATTTAGATTGCACACAATGAGTGATCAGTTGTCTGTCACAATTAGGGTTGGGCATCGTTTGATTTTGAACGATTCAGATTCCAAATCCTTGTTTCGATTCCGGTTCCTATCGATTCCCGATTCCTTCAAGACATGACATGTTTTACACGAGCCAGCTAACCACAGGTCCTACTGGATGAAATAATCTCAACTTCAACATGAATTTTAACTCTATGAACAACAACATCACCTTCATTTAGACAAAAACGTGCTTTGGAGAGAAAAAGAAAAAGACTTGCAGCACAACCAGTGTGTTTGTTTCTGACCACAACCAAAGTCTGGAAGAAGCCTCTGGGATGAGAGGCTAAATGTCTCCAACATATCCAGAAACGTCCAGCTGTTTTCAGCTAAAACTCTCAGGATGATCATGTCCAGGATGACTGAGAGCTACACCTCCATGCTGCAGCAGCGTTCAGTCAGAACAGAAACTTAAACGTAGCTGCTGTCAGTAACAATCTAACAGATTTTAAACATTAAAACTCAACAGAAATAGTTCAGAAAGGAAATTAAAATGTTCACAACTTTGTGTGTGATTTATTATAATTATAATTATATTTATTGTGGCAGAAGCTGGTGTGGTCGTTCACAGAGAAGCTGCTCTAGCATGATGACTTTAATTATTAGGGATGTAAGAAAATATCGATATGGCAATATAATGTGATATTATTTCCAGCAATATTATATCAATATTCAAAAGCCATGTATCGGAAATATCGATATGGCAATATATCGTGATATTTTTTCTTGCGATTATTACATCGATATTCAAAAGCCGTGTATCTAATTCTTGAAAGAATTTACATGCAAACATTTGTGTATTTTCTTTTCGTTTTGTGCAATTCAATCGCCACCCGCTGGTTGGCAGCAGTGTGCAACGGGTGTCGTTTCCACCATTTAACAGTAAATCCCTCCATCATGGTTCAGATACTTCATGTTAAACATGTTATGTATCAGTTTGGACTGTTTATTGAACATTCTTACAATAAATTCAGTAAAAAAAATTGCTTGTAACGTCTGACTGAATGTATCGCAATATATCGTGATTTATCGTATCGTCTCCCCTGTATCGTGATATGTATCGTATCACCAGAATTTCAAAAATACACATCCCTGTTAATTATTCTACAAGTTATTGTTCAGCCATCTGACACTCACGCTCACACACACATACACACACGCACGCACACACACACACACACACGTGTTGGTGAGCGGCTGCGTCTGACTGCTGACGCTCCGTGTGTGTTGTTATTTCTGCAGTGAGACAAACTCACCTCACACCGTCCAGAGTTTGTTCTTTAAGCTTCTATTAAACCCACCGTGTTGACGTATTTAACACGCTTCCTCTACGCTGCGGGAGTTAAAGTTTACATTACGGAGTAAAAGTTCGGCAGACGCGTTTGTTTATTTCTGGGTGGGGGGAGGGAGGGGGGACTCGGTGCTGCACACAGACAGCTGGTGTGATCAGCTCTGAAAAGTGATCGGCCGCAGGTTGTCAGCAGTTGGTTGAAGCCAGAAAAGGTAAACAAGCTGATTTTTCAGGCAATTTTTTTTCATAAGCTGCTTTTTTAAAAGCTGTTATTATGTGTGTTATGTTGTTGTTTTAGGAACAGTGTTTGTTACTCAGTTTGAGCGGTGATGGTCCAAACCAACAGTTAGGCTTATGCCATCATTTTTAAATTAGTCTTGGTAATGCCATACACCGTGGTAAAATGTGGAGGCTAGACGGTATTATTTGGATATCACCCAAGCCTCCTGCAGAACGGGATGAATAACAGTAAAAACAGCTTCTCCTGTTCATTAGAACTGATTTTTCTACATGACGAATTTAACAGAGGACAACTTTTCTATAAAAAACGGTTTCAGACTAACAGATTTGTTCTAAACCTACAACTAAGCCAAGACATTGAGAAAACTCTGGGTTCTGAACAAACGGATGGCTGAAGGAAAACTTACTTGGTGTGAACACAGTAGAGCTTAATCTGGATCCCAGATCTGGACTCTGTGGGTCCTTGAGCGCCCTCTGGAGGACAAAAACACAAAGATTACCTTTTATTCAAGAACAAAATCTGGCTAACTCTGAAGTGCCTTTTTTTCCCTCCACCTGAACCAATCCTCATGTAACCCTCTTATCTCTATTAAGGTAGCGCGACTCGGGTTGCGAATGACCACAGTCACCAATTCTTGTCATGTGTCTTGCCCATGTATGTCTGATCTCTGAATTGTGTGTACTGAAACTCTAATTTCCCTCTGGGATTAATAAAGTATTGATTGATTTAAGATAAAGGCTGCGATCAAACCACTGCGGTTTAGGATTTAGGCCTTCATCCCTTTGCTGCACCACCTTACTTCCTTTTAACTCATCCAGAGCTTCCCGGTTCTTTTAGGCATGTTGTGAGTTTGTGGTTAGACTTATGATAAACCAGTTTACCACACTCGGGTGTTTAAAGAGCAAGTCACCACCTACCAGAGTATTACTCCACTCCCACTTTGTTTGAAAAAATGCAACAAATGCTGTTGCCTAGCAGACCGAGAGGGCGGAGACGCTAATACACACACACACACACACACACACATTGTGACATCATATGGTACCCATTGTGACATCATATGGTACCAGCGAACGTTCTAGGGTACCTCTTAGCCAATAGCAGATTTAAATTCAAATGCAGTGCAGAGTTTTTACCTGACAACGGCACACCACTGACAGTTTTAGGCAGAAAATTTAAATTTAAACTAAAATGCACTAAAATGCAAAACTATTGACTACACGTGTCTGCAGCACGATTAGACAGGCATTTATATAGTTTATATAGTATATAGTTGGGGGTGCCTTGCTCTTTAATTTCCTGGTAGTTTTTGTGTTGCATTGTTCTATATTCCGTTACCCCTTAAAGTTCTATACTAGTATTTTTATTTTACGTCACTAAAACATGTTTCTGCTAATCCATCCTGAAGCTGGCTGATCACAACTACAGAGAACAGCAGGATGGAAATCAGAAGCAAATATCTGATTTTCGGTTTTAATTCATGATCATTTAAAATCCCTTCATGGTGCGAGGTCACCACAGAGAGCTGGGACTGGGTCGTGGTGAGCACCTGCTGACATGCTCTCGCTCTCTTCCTCTGCAGGAAGGACCTCGGTGTGTCGTAGTCGGCTGTGGCTGACGTCCCGGACCCCGAAGCTAAGCACAGGGTGAGTGAGCAGGAACTCCGACACCGCCGTGAAACTGGCTTTCCCCTTCTCCAGGTCCTGTCGAAGCTCCATCACATACAGAACCTGTTGGAGGACACCGACAGCTAAATGTGGGAGGAGGCGGAGCTTTGTGAAGCACAGAGAACAGGTTAATCAGAGATCACCACTGAACATCTCATGTTCTCCAAGTGAACGTCTGTGAAGAACACAGCTGACCTTTCTCTGTACGTCTGTCAGAATCAAATATTCAGCAGCGAGATCCAAACTGGCCTTGAGGCTCGGCAGAATCGATGAGTTCAGCAGATCTGGAGAGAACCTAAGGGAAGAACAGCAGTTTGTATCCGAGTGGAAACATAAAAGCGATAACACAAACTTCAGGCATCGTCACCAGAGACGGGTCTGAACCAAGCCCCCACAATGCGGCTCAAATATTGAGTCCAACCCGGAAGTACCAAAAATTGCAGTTCCACCCTCATCCACTAGGGGCTGGTGTCAGAAGCGAGCAAATCCTCATTGACTCCCATGTTAAAAATACCAATTTCACAGCAGAAATAAACATGTTTACAGCCTGGTACCAAAACATGTTTTTGGTTTAAATGATCTAGTTTACAGTCATGACAACTCTGAGGGGGGTGAATTATTTTCTCACTCTTCTGTTTAAGTGTATTAAAAGCCTAAAATTCTGTATAATTAATGAGCATCAGACCCACGTGACCACAGAGCTAGCTCAGTGGAAAGGCCTCAGTAGAGCCTCGGTCTGGCCTGGAAACTGCTCCGGGATTTTGAGTCTCTGTGTGTGTGTATTCTGTTTGGATATTATTTGTGCAATTGTTGGACAAAATGACTTGCTGTGGCATTAATTGCACTAATAGAGCGTCCAAGGAGTCTCCACTTCATTTTTTTCGGTAAGTAAAATTATATTTATGTATTTTAGGTCACTGCCGAGCTGAGCTTAGATTTTAACATGTACTGTTTAACCATGAAATTTAAATGTAATAGGGTAAAACCCAGTGCATTTAACATAATGCTGCACTTTAGAAAATGGGTTGAAATATAACATGTTGGTGGAGCTGGGTTCCCACTATCGGCTTGTGGAGCTCTCTGGAGACTGATGCTTTCCACCCGGTTCTCCCCTCCCCACAGCTCGGCGCATCTCTGTCTGATCGCGGCTTTTGTCTGCCGTGCGGTTGCCGGCTTGTGGAGCTCTCGGAGACCTCTGTGTTCCACCCGGTTTTACCCAGCGGTCAGCCCGGCGTATCTCTGACTCAGAAGCTCTGGTGGTGTGCACAGTTAACTCCGGTTGTAGCTAGGTTGCTACCTCCGTTAGCTTAGCTCCCACCTCCGCGTTAGCTTTGGGTTAGCTTCAGGTTAGCTTGGAGCTAGTTCGACCGGGTGTCGTCAGTTGATCCCAGCCTTACAGCCACACCCTCAGCTCCACCTCTCTTCCCTTTTGTGAAATTGTCTGGGCTTGACGGAACCTGTGACACGGTCAAAATGGCGGTGGTGGCCACCTCCCATTTAGCCTCAAAAACATGTTATTGTAGCCTATGGAAATGAATTGTCCAGTATATATGTCGATTGTCTGAACCAGAAGGTTGCCATTGCGACTTTAGCTCAGGTTGGTCTAAAATCTCTGCATAAGCAGCAAATAAAAAAACAAATGAAAAACCTGATGGTTTGTAAACAAGTCCAGGAAACGGTGCACCACATCTTCAGCTCCTGGTTCTGGTCTGCTCCTGTGATCAGGAAACGCCAGAAAGGAACCCTACGAGCAGAACCGGAACAGGAGAAATCAGACCAGCGCCACTCAAACTGCTGTGGATCTGTCAGTTTAACGATCACTCACTCTGGGTCCTGCCTCTTGTGGTTGTCACAGAAAAGAAGGCAGGAGACAGGACGTCCTCCATGAGGTCGCAGCTCATGGAGACATCTGGACAACAGAGAAGACAAAAAACTGAGAATTTAGAAAATATCGGGAGAAAATGAGTAAAACGAACAGTTGTGTACATCAGGGATCTAAAACAACACCTTGCTAGTTTACCTGGGCTTGTCCTGTCCACCTTCTATGTAGATCTGCCAGAACTTGATGTACCCATCATGGCTGGCTGTGGCTAACACGGTTCCATCAGGAGACAGCGCTCCTTCACTAACACGCTGGAGGAAGCAACATTCAACAATAAATGTCCACCATTTTCTCTTTGTTTGGCCACAACTCGTCAATGTTTATGATGGAAAAATAGACTGTTTTCTTTTTAACTAGTCTCCTTATCCTGTTGGGTAACAGCCACAAATATTCATGAGGAGAAAATTACAGAAACAGAAAAAAAAAAAACGTTTCAAATGGTGTTTTTATAAGAAAATAAACATTTGACATTAGAGCACCAGTAAAGGATGATGATAAAACAGCATTTTAGTATTGTGACTAAACACGTTTCAACCCCAGTGTGCCCGTTTGTGCCGAGCAGCAGCAGCAGCAGCTCAGGAGCTAGAGCGGGTCGTCCAGTAATCTGAAGGTTGCAGGTTCGATCCCAGCTCCTGGCAGATAATGCTGCTGCTGTGTCCTTGGGCAAGACATTTAATCCTCCTTGCCTGCTGGTAGCGGTCGGAGGGTTGGTCAGCCTTGACTCTGTCAGTGCGCCCCAAGGCAGCTGTGGCTACATCGTAGCTCATCACCACCAGGGTGTGAAAGACACACTGTAGCGCAAAGAGCTTGGGAGTCCTCGGACTATGAAAGGCGCTACACAAGTGAGGGTCACTCCTCTCTTCAGGAACTAGAAGTGAGCCACATGAAAGCTGAGCTGAAGACGACAGGATTTGGAGTCTCATCTCTCCTCTGATTGGCTAACAGCAACATGGCTCTACCACTGACGGTTTGCTCTGCAATGCTGATGTTTTATCTCCACAAATAACACGAGTCTGGAGGAGTTCTGCTGTGCGGTGGAGTTGCTAATGCCAACAGTTCGCTTGTACTAGTCGAGACTTTCTCTGCTGTTTCCTGGATGCTAGAAGTCAAGATGGGTGAGTCCATGAATGTTACCCCCAAATTCCACTACCTCCGCTCCGGTCCGCCCCCGCCTTCCGCAGCGGCTCGCTTCTGAACTCAATTTTTACTGGTACGCGCTCTACAACGGCTCCGCTCCGGTGCGGAGACCTGAGGTGGGCAAACAAGCATGCGCGGGATTTTCGAGATCTTGCGATACAGTCCGAGCAATAAACGCGGAAGTTAGATCCAAACACCCGTTGTGTGGGAGAAGCATCGGCATGAACTGTTTAATCTGCCCATCATTTGTGTTGAGAGATCAGCAGTGTTTGGATCAACAAAGTGTGACTACTTTGATAGTGGAAACTGTATTTATGGCTTATTTTTGTGCGTTTAAAGTTCTGCCGCCAATGATAGTTGTTAAAAGTTGTTAAACCTGTGCATATGAAATAAAAAACGCCTTTTGTTTATCGATTTATTGTGAAAAACGGAAGTTGTGCTGGCTCCTTTTCCTGTTGGGCCGTTGTGATTTCTGTCCATTTACTGCGGAGGTGCTCCGGCGTCCGGCGAAAATAGGATCGATTCTATTTTTGCCGGACGCCGGAACAGAGGGCGGTGCACTGCCGCAGCACGGCCGCAGTAGTGGAATTGCTCTGATTGACTACAACGGGACCGATTTTGCTCGGGCGTTCGTGTCGGAGCGGAGGTAGTGGAATTTGAGGGTCAGTGACAGTGTGACGTAGATCTGTCAGGCTTTTCTAATCCTAGAGTTTCACCGTCTGTTTTCTATCAGAAGCTACTGCAGGAGGTAGATGTAGGAGACTATTTTCATGTTCAGCCTGCACGAAACACTCAAGAGTGACCTGTTAGAATCAGAAATAATCAATAAAAGTGTTTTTCAGTGAAGGACCACTTTAATTCTTATAACAATGGTGGTGAGCAGCACTTGTTAATATTCTAAGGTGTTACGTAAAACGCGGTTGTCTCAGTAATCTGGAATACCAAAACCGAAGCCGTTTAATCTTTCAGGTTGACAGTAGATCGTTCCCTACCTGGGTGTGACCCTTGACCGTGATCAGACCTTCTTTGAGTTCTGTGGCATCAACAGGCCAGATGCTGTGGTTGGCTCTCAAAACCTCAATGTCCCAAACTTCAGCCTTGATGGGGGGGGGGGACAAGTAAAATGTTCATGATGCGGAAAAGAAAATGTGGAGTGTAATAATCCACGATCCAAGGATAACTCATTATAAACGTCTCTAGTCTACAGCTTAAGTGCATTTTCAGGAACAGATGTGATTTGTGTAAAACGCCATCATACCCTGTCTTCGTGCAGAAGAGCCAAAGTCTGGCTGACATCATCCTGGTTCTCCTCATTGTCATCCAGGATGAAGGGGCACCAGATGAGGCGACGGTGGGAATTCAGCGGGGTGTCTTCTGGACGCTGGACATGAACGACAATCTGATCTCTGAGGGAACTTCGGTTAAAGAAAAATCTGACTTCGCAAAAGAAGAAGGCCCCAAAACCTCACTAGACCTAGACAGAGATGATGTGACCTAAACAATGGAGGCTCGAGCCACTGAATCCACCTTTTCAGGATACAGTATTTTGCTGCCAGTGAGAGTGAGCTGCCAGACCATCAGGTTGCCCGCCTCGTCCACACAGCCCAGCAGAGAGGAGTCGAGGTGGGCAAAAGCCAGATCTGTGACGGCCCCCGTGAAGCCCTTCAGTAGGGTGCGCTCATTAAAATCCAAACTCAGAACCCGAATCATAGCATGAGAGTTGGCTCCTGAGGAGGGAAAAACAATAGAAACCATGCAGGTTCGGACAAATGCTGTTATCTCCAGGGGCGGATTTAGGACTGAAGAAGATCCGGGGCTTAACACACACGCGCGCGCACGCGCACACACACGCATGCGCGCACACACGTGACACGCACTAGTCAACATCATATATATTTGTCTTGTACCACATAATTTTTAATCTGAAGCTACATATTCAGCATATTCAGGGCAGAGTATTGTTCCTGTTAGTGTTTAGTGTGAGATGATAGTGAATATTCCCTTTCTTTCTCCAACAACTTTACCTGATAGTAAGCTAACTTTAGGCAAACCAGCAGCACAACAAATATTTTCAAATAAGACTCACAAACCTGAGTCAACACCAGTCTCATCAGAGCTGGGGTTCTGTCGTTGTACTTTTGGTCTAAAAAAACGTCCTTATATCCATCTTCACTCATGCGTTTCAGACAGACTGCAGAAGCCAGCTGCTGAAGGGCTTCTCTTCAGTCTCAGGTAAACTGTATACTGACTAAGTAGCCTAGTGGTAGAGTGTCTGCCCTGAGATCGGGAGATCAGGGGTTCGACTCCTGGTCGGGTCATACCAAAGATTTTGAGAAAAATGGGACCCAATGCCTCCCTGCTTGACACTCAGCATTGGATTGGGGTTGGATTGGGGGGTTAAACCACCAAATAGTTCCCGAGCGCGGCGTGTCTGCAACTCAGGGGATGGGTCAAAATCGGAGAATAAATTTCACCTGTGTGTGTGACGACTAAATGGGACTTTACAAACTACTGCCAGCTGCGCCCTCTCTGTGTGACTTTGGTACTGCATGTTACTTCCGCGATTTAGATCCGGGGCTTATCATGAAAGATCCGGGGCTTCAGCCCAAGTAGCCGGGCCTAACGCCGCCCCTGGTTATCTCCATGAACCTGGTTCTGAGGTGGGACTAGGGCTGAACGATTTTAGGAAAAGACTGAATTGCATTTTTTTCCAGCAGAAATTGCGATTTTGGTTCAATTCACGATTTCTGCAAATAAAGGTCCAACACTAGCCTGCCAAGCCATCCTGTAGATGAAGTGAAAAGATGGTCTAGATTCTAATCTAGCACAACAAATCACTCACATTAATATTTACTATTTAATCATCCAATAAAAACAGTTAAAGCTATTAATATTTTCTCCCATTATTATCCTTTTTTTATTTTAACGTGTTTGTGAAGCAGCTTGTGCTTTTTACCTAGAGGAGCTTTATAAAAACATGTTCTACTCCAAACATGCATGGAGAAAATCTGTGGGTGGAAACAGCTTTTAAATGTAATAAATAACAAATGCACACAGTTTTCCTGCGTCATCGCGGCAGGCTGAAGCCGTCACTAACATCAGCTCCGTGAGAGAGGCGCACGCATTCTGACACCTTAGCTTGTTTGAACTAACGTGCGACGTCAGACACGTTCAAACCATTTTTAAAAGAGAAGTTGAGCTTTCGAGTCAGCTGAAGTGCGCGGCTCCGCACTCGCGCTGATGAAGCGTAAACCAAGCTTTAGAAATCAGCCTGAACCTGCTGATGTGGGAGGAGTCTCTCTCTCCCTCTCTCTCTGTCCCGGGCCCACCTACGGTGCCATCATCATCGGCTCTAGCAGCGCTGTGTGTGGGAACATAAAACAGGGAAAATAACCTGAACATGCAGCTCTGGCAGCTGTGGAGTTGGGCTCGGCTCCGAACGGTACACCCCACCCCATCCCACGTGCTGACTTTTGCCGCCGCCATAATACAGGGGGAAACCCCGGATGTAAAAAAAAATAAAATAAATAAATAAATAAATAAAGTTACACAACTGATCCTGGATCAGTCAAAACCGCTAAAACTGCAGTTTTGACGGTCACGTGATCGTGCTGTTTAAAATCGCTATTTTGGTCCAAAAACGATAAGATCGTTCAGCCCTAGGTGGAACCGTAAAATAAAACTAAACTGTGATGTCAGTTTTGAATCCCTTATCAAAAACATGGAAGGCAGGACAAGGAAGACCTGCAAAGTCAGGATTAGACAGATTCTGAGAAACATTTTCTACTAGCAGAATGCTTTAGGAACCTACAGAAACATCAGAGGGTTGCGTTTGTTTTAAAGCCTAAACGACACAAATAACAGCTCTGGGATTCACCTCTGATGGCGTACGCCAGGAAGGAGTTGGACACGGCTATCAGCCTGCCGTAATAATACTTGTGCTCCCAGTCATATTTGGCGACAGGCTGAATTTTAACCTAAACATAAATTATTTTGCAGTTAGAAATGTGACGGATGTCTCACTGAGGCTTAAAGTGACCTTTTCCAGCAATACGACACGGTCACTGTTTTTATTCTGGCAGCGTTGCACCTTGTTGCTCCCTCGTGCTTTGCTGTTGATGCTGGAGTCCTGACTCGCCACAATCTCCACGTTGCTCGAGGTGATGGGGATGCAGGTGGTCCCATCGTCACCTGTGAGGCAGCTGACACATGTTTTTTTTAATGCTCATGTTCGTAGATAAAAAAGGACTGAGGTGGGTCAACACTCACATCCTCTGACTCTCCTGAACACTGCTGAGGTCTGTGGAGATGGGTCTGGTGGATTCAGACATCACTGAACGATCGGCGCTCCCTAGCAGACCTGCTCCCAGCAAGCCGTTCAGCTCCCCATTAAAGGACAGTTTTCTCTGACCATCGCTTGACTGTGCATCTGAAGATGGTGACAGAAACAGTAAAGTATGCTTTTATTGTGAAAAAAAACATGCTTGTAAGGTGATGAGAGAGGTAGGTAATAGGTTTTTTTAATGTAAACAACAATAACAAAATATAACATTTATCATGGCAGCATGATTGTTGACCACGGCAGAGAACATAGTCCTCTTTCATCTAGCCAGCCACTTAAAATTGCTGCCATTTGGAAATGAGATTGTACACAAATATGAATCGAGATCGCGATTTTTTTTACGATTAATTGTGCAGCCCTATTACTGAACACACTCTTGTATTTTATAACTGTACAGAGGTTGTTTAACGTCAGCACCGAGTCGCAGCAACCAGAATTAACGCCCAAATTTACAAATAACTGAATAAATAGTTCATACATTCAGGTCACAATACATTTTTTGAGCCAAACAGTTAATCACGTTGAATTAAGAGGTGACAATTTAAGTTTGTGATAAGTTTCTCCGCTTTTATTTATTTAATCCTTGTTTCACCAGGAGACTCTTAAAATAAAGAGGACACTAATATTTATTTTGGACCTCCTTTAGCTTTGATTACGACACACACTCGCTGCGGCTTTGTTTCCATAAGCTTCACCAGATTTATCTCCATCCAGTGTTGCATTAATGTCTCACCAAGATGTAGTATTGATGACGGTGAGTCTGATCGCTGCACAAAGCCTTCTGCAGCACATCCCAGAGATGGGGTTAAGGTCTGGACTCTGTGGTGTGAACATGATGTCTCATGCTCCCTGAACCACTCTTTCACTATCTGAGCCCGATGAATCCTGGCTTTGTCATCTTGGAATGTGGCCGTGCCGTCAGGGAAGATGGAATAACCTGGTCATTCAGGATATTCAGGTAGTCAGCTGACCTCATCCTTGGAGCACTTCCTGTTGCTGAACCTAGACCTGACCACCTGCAGCAAGCCCAGATCATAGCACTGCCCCCACAGGCTTGTACAGTAGGCACTAGGCATGATGGGTGCATCACTTCAGCTGCCTCTCTTCTTACCCTGATGCACCTTCACGCTGAGACAGGGTCCATCTGGACTCATCAGACCAGTTTTAATTAAGCCTTGGACAGTTCTGAACCCAGTTTTAGTCGTTTCTGCATCTCCTTAGATGTTTTCTCTGCTTGATGCCAGTGACCTGACCCTTCTCTCACAGACTAACACCTTTTCCACCACCACCAGGTGTGTCTTTCCACTTGGTTGTTTAGGAACTGAGAAGCAGCTCGTTGCACCAGTTGTGTTAAATAACTTGTTGCAGCTGAAAAATCATCGCCCTGCAGTAAGTATCCATTAGGAGGCTCCTACCTATCTGCTTAGGTAAATCCAGGTGGAGACTTGTTTTTAGCCAGGTAGTGTATATTAACCAATGATTTATTGCATTCCTGTTAGTTGTCAGGGGTGTACAACTCTGGTCCTTAAGAGCTCAACCCAAAAATTGTTTCCCAGCTCCAACACACCTGTTTCTGTGGTTCAAGCACCTGTTCAGCTCAGCAGACGTATGTTAATCACCTGATTACAATCAGGTGTGTTGAAATTTTAGTATATTGTGCAGCTATAATTGTAACCCTCTTTCCACCGGCCACTAAAGCAGCGTTTTCCCCGCAAGCTTCCTTCCAAACGAGAGCACATCTGACGTGAAACAGGGGCAATAGTGTTCCACACAGCTGATGCTGTGAGATCACAAGTTTTCACAAGAGAATTGCAACACCACGCGTGATTTCAGAAGTCCCCACAATTAAAAAGCAAGGAGAAAGACAGCTTCATGTTTTAAAAAAAAAAGTATATGGTTTAATTTTCTGTTCTGGTAAAATCGGCTTACGGGGGTTTCACAAGAAATGACAAACACGCAAATTATTTTCCAGATATTTTACACTAACACTGCTTTTGCATTTGACTTCCTGTCTGGCTCATTCTGAACTGAAGAGCTTGACGTGTTTCGGAAGCGTAGCTTATAAAAAAAATAGCCCCATTCCCAATACTCGCACTGCGCCCTACGGTCTTCAGCGAAGTGCACAGTAAGGCTTCGAGTGTGTAGTACACAAGTGTGTCTGTGCTACTTTTTAAAAAGATCTTTATTAACAACTTTCAAACAATTTCTTGACAAAATATACATTCACTGCTGTTCACATTAAATCTTATTCTAAACCATGCAGAGAATAAACACATATCATCATTAATTGTCTTAAAATCAAATTATTTTATTTGAAAATATATGGAGCTAGGATTGGGACAATATTCAGCGTAACTTGTACCAAGTTTTGTAACTTCGAACATGTTTCATCACATGTAACTTTGGATTTGTAACTTGTAACTTTAGTTTTCTAACTTGCAATTCTCAATTCGTACTTGTATTTCTTGTTTTGTAACAGGAACGTTGTATTTTGTACATGTATTTTTTATTTTGTAAAAACAAACTTTTATTTTGTACATTTACTACTCATTTTGTAACATCAAACACTGACGCTAGAATCGAGGCAAAAAGATCCGTAACTGTAGATTTGAAGTTTGTACCTGTAGACTGAAATGTGTGTTTTGAGAGTTTTGATTTCAAACTTGTACCTTGATTTTTTCCATTTGGAAGTCTGCTAGTTACAAAACGAAAGTTTCATGTTTCTGAATGAATGTTTGATGTTACAAAATGAGTAGTAAATGTACAAAATAAAAGTTTGATCTTACCAAATAAAAAAAATACATGTACAAAATACAACGTTCCTGTTACAAAACAAGAAATACAAGTACGAATTGAGAATTACAAGTTAGAAAACTAAAGTTACAAGTTACGAATCCAAAGTTACATGTGATGAAACATGTTCGAAGTTACAAAACTTGGTACAAGTTACGCTGAATATTGTCCCAATCCTAGCTCCATAAAAATACATATTTTCAGAAAAGCCACTTGAACCACTGTTTTGCCTTCTCAAAATTCCCACACAGTAATGGATACGGGTAACACCCCTCGCTGAATTTGCATCAGTGCAAACTTGGGCAAGGATACAAGGGACAAAAGAGTCACGGTCAATTTCCACAATTGAGGATCGGGATATCCCACACCACTGCTATTCAATTTCGGGCCTCAAGGGCCGGTATCCAGCACGTTTTGGTTTTAACCCTACTTCAACACACCTGATTTCCATCAGCAGGTGATTAACAAGCTTCTGCTGAGCCTGCTGCTGCATATGTGATTACAGTACTAGATTACATCCTATGTGTATATATACATGTACCTTTGTTTTTATTTTAATTATCCTCTGAAGTGTGGGTGCTGCTGTAACAAGTTAATTTCCCCATCTTGAGATCAATAAAGTCAAGTCAATTCTACTCAACCACTGAATAAGTGTGTTGGACTAGAGAAAACACTAAAACGTGCTGGATACCAGCCCTCAAGGCCTGGAATTATATAGCTGCCCTACACACTCGCACCCCTGGACTGGAATGCGTAATTAAGGGGCGCAAGTGGGAGTATTTGGATTGGGCCATAGCCTTGAAACAGAATGATAGCGTCCCTTTACTTCTGGGACGTGTCCACAATGTCACACTTGGCTGAATTTGAAAAGGAACCTGTCCACTATAACTGTGGCTAATTGCCATGTAATACGTTTTGCAGCCGTTTTCACAATCAACGGAAAGAATGGGTTATGCAGGTCCAGGAGGCACTATTGAGCATGTTTTGTTTCTCTGCTTCAACACACCTGATTTTAATCAGCATGTGAAGCTTCTGCAGAGCTTGATAGGCTGCTGATTCAACCATTGAATCTGGCTTTATGGAGCAGGAAAACAACAAAACGACTCAGTGTTGCTGGCTATATACATTTACACATACATATAATGCTTTAATGTTAATTGATACGCATTTTTAAAACCTTTTTAAACAGATTAAAGTACTTGTTTTAACGTTTGCACTGTATAAAACATCGAGGTTTATATAGCAAAGTCAGTGGCGCCATGAGCAAACACAACAGTAGCTGAGAGAAATCGAAAGCAGTGACCTACGCAGTTTCAAGAAATAAGCGTATTACCAGTTCATTAAAAATTGCATAGAGTAAACATAATACAAAACGTTTGCCTCAGAGTCTAGACAGCGAACTAAAAACTGACCCACTTTTTCATTGGCTAGCAATTTGTCCCCACCAGAAAATACTGACAGAGGCTAACACCCATACGTAGTCGGCGAACAGAAAAAAAAACAATTAGCGGCTTCGCAGATGCCTCTGCGAAAACGTTTAAGACCTAAATACGTTTAGGTGGGTGTTGTCTACGGTCGGCACTTCGTGAAATGGACAAGAGGGCGATTCTGCTCCGGAAAAGTTCACATTCCGGAGCTTCGCCTGTGGATGTAACATGTTAGCTCTAAGTTAGCTTCCGCGGCCTGCTGGAGCGCAGCAGTCCCACTTACCGGCGCTGCTCCCGGGACGGTCGAGCTTCAGGATGTCGCGAAGATGCTGGGTCGCTCCCTCAATGTCGATGTCAGAATTCGACGCCATGGGTGAGGGAAAAGGAAAACGGGGTAACACTGAGGAGGGAGTTCACTTTAGGTTTAAGGAGACGCTCACCATTCACCCACAGCAACCGTCTAAACTTCCGTTTAGTCCGCGCCTTGCGGGTTCCGACTCACCATCGTGCCATGCCAACATTGGTTCCTACCTCAGAATGTCCATCTTCCATACACCCACGCGTACACATTTACTGTAGTAAAATATATATATTTACAGAAACTACATTTTCAAAACAACCCGTTATTTAACCACTAAGAGCAAGAACTTTTGCAATCGTTTAGTGGTTCAGGCTTTCTTTTTCAGACTGGTATTTGACCATAGTAGGATATTTTTCAGTATATGCTTAAAATGGTTAAAGAGCAAGTCACCTCCTACCAGAGTCTTACTCCACTCCCACTCCTGGCAGACTGAGAGGACGGAGTTGCTACCAAATGCACACAGGGTGTGTATATGCATACTTGTCCGAACTCATGTTCTTTGTGAAATGTCATCAGCGAAGTCCCAAGGACTGTTCCAATCCTGAGTATGCATAAAGGTGAGTTTGCTCAAAGTTCCCCAATGTGTTCTTGTTCCGCCCATTGGATCGAGGATGCATCAATGCATCCTTCTGCGGACTTGGGATAGCAAAGTTTCCCATAATGCATTGCGTCACAAACTGTTAAACTCTGAACGTCAGAGAAAAAGCTAACGACCAATGTTTTATATTACAGTTACAAATAAAACAATATAAAGTTGTGTGTTATTGTAAATGAATGTGTGTAACCTGTACATTTTGCTATGTGTGTTTGAGTTTTACTCTTCAAGAGCCCTGAAAATGCTAATTAGCAAACCCACTATCAAAATAAAAGCAGCTTAGCTCAGTTCTGATGAAAAATAAACTATTTATTCACTAGACTGCGGAAAATGCTAAAATTTTATCAGTTTTGATCAAAGTGGGTCAAATATCATACAAATAATAAATTTAATACAAGTAATATGTTTTGTTGTTATTTAAGGAACAAACTAGACTTTTATTTTTATTTTTTTATGTTCTTTTTTTTAAAGAGCAAGTCAACCCCTGCCAGATTCTTACGTAACTCCCACTTCCTGTTTGAAAAATGCAACAAATGCTGTTGCCTAGCAGACCGAGAGGGCGGAGCCTCTAACAAATACACACACTCACGACATTGTGACATCATAATGTACCATCTAACATCATAGATTACCTTTTAGCCAATAGTGATGGCAGATTTAAATTCAAATGCAGTACTGAGTTTTTGCCTGACGACAGTGCATCGCTGACAGTTTTAGGCAAAATATTTAAATTTTAACTAAGATGCACTAAAGTGCCAAATTATGGACTACATTTGTCTACAGCACAATTGGACACTCATTTATTATCAGCAATAAAAATGGTGATTTGGAGTGACTTGCTCTTTAACTGTAGCAAGAAGCAGCGCTTGTTGCCAGGACACAACAGAGTATGGTTCTGTTCCAAAAGCCGTCTTCGTCCTCTACTACTTGGTAGAACAGACTTTCTGGTGTCCTTGCCAAGAACATACTTTTCTAGTACACAAGAATGTACTAGTGTCCTTGAGTATTGAGAAACGGCCACAAACAGGCTCCCAATGACATTGTGCCATCATAATGTACCAGCTAGTGTACCTCTTAGCTAATAGCAATAGCAGATTTAAATTCCAGTGCAGTGCAGTTTTCACCTGACGATGGTGCAACACTGGCAGTTTTAGGCAGATTATTTAAAGAGCAAATCACCCCAAAATCAACATTTTTTTTTTTGCTGAAAAACTATACAAATGAGTGTCTAATCGTGCTGTAGACACATGTAGTCAATAATTTGGTACTTTAGTGCACCTTAGTTAAAATTCAAAATTTCTGCTTAAAACTGTCAGTGTTGCACCCTCTTTGGGTAAAAACTCTGCACGGCATTTGAATTTAAATTTGCCATCGTTATTGAATAACATATGATATGTCACATCAACTGGTACCATATGATGTCACAATGCCGTTGTGAGCTTGTGTGTGTGTGTTGTGAGATTAGCGCATGTCCTGAAGGGGCTGCCGTACCGGGGATGTAGCGGGAGGCGGAGTAGCAAAAAGAAAGTGTTGCTGGTGTGGCTGACTAATAAAGAAAGTAACTGGACAACTAACACGACGTGTTGGTGGCGTTTCGTGACATGGCGTCAGAAGTAAGGACTTCACGCTAACCCAGGAGGCTATGGCAAAGTTTGGTCCCCCAGAGCAGTTTGATTTTGCCCAACCGGCAGAGTGGCGGCAGCAGTTTTCCCGCTTCCGAGTGGCGTCGAAGCTGGACAAGGAAAGTGGAGAAGTGCAGGTCAGTTTGCTCCTGTATGCGATGGGGAGAGATGCGGAGCCCGTATACAGCTCATTTGTGTTCCCGGCTGCCACGGAGGCTAACCCACACCCCGAGTTTGACTTTAAGATGGTAGTGGAGAAGTTCGATGAACATTTTATACCCAGGCGGAATGTTATCCATGACCGCGCCTGTTTCCACAAGAGGACCTAAAAGGCGGGAGAGACTGTGGAGGCATTCGTCTGGAGTCTGTATGAGCTCGCACAGCACTGCGAGTTCAGCAACAGTAAGGATAAACAGATTTGGGACCGCCTTGTGAATGGAATATTGGACAAAGAGGTCTCACAGAAATTGCAGCTTGAAGCGGACCTAACGCTGGAGAGGGCGATTCAGCTCGCACGGCGAAGCGAGCAAGTGAAACAACAATGCGCAGAGCGTGTAGAAACTGGAGTGAATGAGGTGAGACAGAAACAATACGGCAACACAGGACACAGACACGACAGGTCACGACAGCCACAGGGACAAAAACGCAACGATCCTAAACCAAACTGCCATGGATGCAATAGGATGCACGAGAAGAAAGAGAGCTGTCCGGCCCATAGTAAAAGGTGCAGGAAGTGTAACAAAAGGGTCACTTTGAAGTAGTGTGTAAAACTAGGATGTTAAAAGAAGTGAGGACTGAGGCTGAAATAGATCAAGAGGATTCATTTTTCATAGGAGGACTCTTCCTCTGAGCTGTAACAGAGCAAACCATAATAGAGGAAACAGATTCAGACACAGATTGGGATATTGAACTGATAGTAAATGGGGATACTGTTGTCTTTAAGATCGACACAGGTGCTGACACAACAGTTATGACAGAAAAGACATTCAGTAGGTTACAGCAGAGACCCAGACTGATCCTACCCAAAGGGAAAGTATACAGCCCGGGGGGGGGGGGGGGGGGGGGGGTAAGTGTGTTGGGATATGTCTTGCCACCACCACACATAAGAAACAAAAATACAGATATTGGATCACAGTAATATCTGGGCAATACGCCAGCAACTTACTGGGTAAGTCGGTAACTAAACGTATGGGGCTAGTTGCGAGGATTAATAACATCAGCAGCTGTCCGATGGGAGATGTGTTTGGAGAAATGGGGTTACTGGACTGTGAGCCAGTTAAAATAGAACTAACCCATGACGCAGTGCCACACAGTGTAAGCACACCTTGGAGTTCCCTTCCCACTCCTCCCTAAAGTGGAGAGAGAGTTAAAGCGCATGCTTAGCTTGGGGATCATAGAAGAGGTCACAGAACCTACGGCTCCCAAACGTAACAAGGAAGAAGTCAGAGTGTGTGTGGACTTAAAGGGGCTGAATAAGGGAGTAAAGCGAGAGCATTACATGCTACCAACCCTGGACAACATAATGCCCAAACTAGCTGGAGCTAAGGTGTTTTCAACTCTAGACGCCTCAAGTGGATTCTGGCAGATCCCATTGGGTCCTATCTTCCAGAAACTGACCACATTCATAACTCCTATAGGGCGGTTTATGCTTCAAACGCTTGCCATTTGGAATTACCTCAGCACCAGAGATTTTCCAACGGCTGATGAGTATGCTGCTGAAGGGCCTAGAAGGGACAGTCGTGGTGATGGACGATATCTTGGTTTATGGTTCTAACAAGGAAGAACATGACTATCGCCTGGACAAGGTGTTGCACACAATCAAAGCATCGGGCCTCAGGCTCAACAGGGCAAAGGGCCACTTTGGAAAGTCTGAACTCCAGTTCTTCGGACACGTGATCAGCACCAAGGGAGTGAAGCCAGATCCTAGCAAGGTGGAAGCCATCACTAAACTGCCCAGCCCTACTAATGTGGAACAGCTACGCCAAGTCTTGGGGCTGATCAACTACGTGGGAAAATTCCTTCCTGGCCTGTCCACCATGCTGCACCCACTCACGTGTCTTCTCAGGAAAGAGGCTGCGTGGGTATGGGGTGAACCTCAAGAAACCGCTTTCAGTGAAACAAAGGCTGCATTAGCGGCAGCTCCAGCTCTATGTTACTACGACGCAGGGCGACAGACTGTAATCAGTGCGGATGCCAGCAGCTACGGCCTAGGCGCGGCCCTGCTACAGGATTATGGAGGGGAGCTTCGAGCCGTTGCCTTCTGTTCTTGCACCCTCACAGAGGTGGAAAAAATATATCCCCAGATCGAGAAGGAGTGCTTGGCGTGTGTGTGGGCATGTGAGCGCTTCGCCCGCTACATCCAGGGAATGACCAAGGTTAGACTGCAGACAGACCACAAGCCTTTGGTGCCACTGATCAATACGTACGAGATCGATAAAACGCCACTGAGATGCCAGAGATTGCTCATGCGCTTGATGCGGTTTGATTTCATCGCCAAGCACGTCCCAGGAAAACAGCTGGTAGTGGCGGATGCGCTCTCAAGACAACCACTGGCTTGCAGAGCACAGACAAGAGACAGAGAGGGAAGTTGACACATACGTTAACACTATGGTGACCAGCAAAGCAATCAAATTTTCAAAACTAGAAGAAATCTGCAGAGCCACGCAAGTGGATACAGAACTACACAAAGTGATCCCTTCAGAAATGGGTGGCCGCAGAGAATAGTTGGAGACGCACCACTGCTAGGATTTCATGCAGCTGGAGCCCACCTTTCAGAATCAGATGGACTGGTGTTGTACCAGGATCGCATAGTAATCCCCACGGCACTCAGATCAGATGTTCTTAGTCAGCTGCATGAAGGACACCAGGGACTAACCAAGTGTCGAGAGCGCGCCAGGCTAACGGTCTGGTGGCCCAATATCGGGGCCCAGATTACCAGCAAAGTGAACTCATGTGACTTCTGCGTGGAGCACAAACCTACACAGAGACGCGAACCGCTGGAGGCAACTCCACTACCCGGGGGCCCCTGGCAAAGGATCGCAGCTGATCTGTGCGAGCTGGATGGAAAGAATTTCCTCATTGTGGTGGATTATTTTTCAAGAGACATTGAAATCACTCCTCACGACCACGACAAGCAGGAATGTGATTGGCAAGCTTAAGCATGTTTGTGAGATGGGGAATCCTATTGGAGCTGATCAGTGACAACGGCACACAGTTCACATCTGCTGAGTTCCCGCATTTTAAAAAGAAATATGGATTCACCCATATAACATCCAGTCCCTACTTAGCCTGGCAAGCTAGACTAAATAAATGTATTATTTAGTCTGGCAACGCTCCATTGACGTCTCTCGGTTGTGGGGCGGGTTCTACCGTTGTCTTTCAAATGATCTCCACATTCCACTGGACAATGAATGTGACATACTCTTGTTTCACTCTGTTGCATCATCCCACCCACCAGGCATATAGAGTGCCCTGATTGGCCCACAAAGAGGATAAAGCTCTGTGATTTGTTCACTAAGCAGATAGAGCACTATGATTGGCCCACCATTATGGACCAATCACAGCTCTTTATGTGTTTGAAACCCCTCTAGAGAGCTGTGATTGGCTAGCCAGAGTCCTGGTAGGAGCTGCTGAGGTTCCAATGGAGCGTGCCTAGACCAAACTTTGCAAAGCAAGAATTTGGTCTAGTTCACTAGGCTAGTCCCTACTAGTACTACCCACAGGGCAACAGAGCCGCGGAGAGAGCTGTTCAGACAGCCAAATGCATTCTCAAGCAGCCAGACCCATGCTTGGCTTTGATGAGCTATCGTTCAACGCCGATTGCAGCGACCGGAGCGAGCACTGCTCTACTAATGACTGGTCAACACATTCGAACTACGGTTCCAGCCTTAGAGGAATCACTACGGCCTCAGCCGGTCAGTTGGGATTGTGTCTATTAGAAGGACAACACGGCCAAGGAATCATACAAGTATTTCTACAACCGCAAACATTCAGCTCGTCCTCTTCCAGAGCTGTGGCCCAGACAGGCTGTCCGGGTTAAACTGGATGCTAATAATGTGTGGCAATGTGAGTATCCTGTCACAATGTCCCGATTGATCATGCACCCTGGCTACTTGGCCAAGGGGATGTCCCTTTGGCTGACTGGTTAGAGCGTATGACTCTCACCCGGGAGTCTGGGGATCGAATCTCGCCCGGGCCCTCGTTTATCCACCTTGCCACAAATGGATTGAAGACCCCTGCCGGAGTCATCGGCAGGTCGGGAGACACAAGATCCTATGTGGTGAATATGGACACGGGGACCGTAACTCGCCGGAATAGACGTCATCTCAAAGCGGTCCTCGAGACCGACGATCCAGGGAAGCAGTTGCAACTGGATGGTGCGTCAGCTCAATCACCACAGAGCTTCAGTTCCTAAGATGTGATGGTGGAGGTTCCCCAAGAGCCACCACATGATCAAGAATCGGCATTTCCTGCTCCAATGTCCCTCCCTCAGCCCACTCCCAAGAGACTGACCTCAAAGGGGCGTGTAATAACGCTGCCTCTGAGGTTCCGAGACTGATAATGAAGGACTTGGACTTCTCTCTCTAGGGCAGAATAATCCCTGCTGGACTGAGGGTAGTCCACCCCTAGGACGTCCAGGTTGAGAGAAGAGGTATTTGGTTATCTTGTGTGAAAGATTAGGATAGAGGAAGTTAAATGCTGACATTTTGCCAGCTGTGTTTGTTTAGCAGAGTTCTTTTATAACTTTAGTTCCCATTTCTAGTTAGCACTTACAATTCTCACTTCTAGATAAGTAATGCGTTCAGAGATGAGATGTTGCTGTTCAGCAGTCGGCAACCGTACCGTTTGTTTGTAATGCTTTGTTTTATTTTGAAAGGGGAGATGTTGTGAGATCACCGCATGTCCTGAAGGGGCTGGCATACCGAGGATATAGCGGAAGGCGGAGTAGCAAAAAGGAAGTGTTGTTGGAGTGGCTGACTAATAAAGAAAGTAATTGGACAACTCACACGACGTGTTGGTGGAGTTTCATGAGTGTATTTGTTACTGGCTTCGCCCTATCGGTCTGCCAGGCAACAGCATTCGTTGCAGTTTTCAAACAGGAAGTAGGAGTGGACTCGGGAAGGGGTTACTTGCTCTTTAAATTTTAACTAAGATGCACTAATGTGCCAAATTATTGACTACAGATGTCTACAGCATGATTAGACACTCATTTATAGAGTTGATCAGCTCTTAATGGGGAAAATACGTTTCCCAAAGACACAAACCTGTATTTCATGGATTTGACTGAAGAAACCAAAACAGGTTGTTTTTGTGTCAGAATGCTGATAACTTAAGTGCGTAAATGTTCATCTTTATTGTGTGTAATGTAACATCACACACCAGTTTGTTACTGGAGCCTTTTCCTTATGAGCTGAGTGGTTCAAAGGTCGGTTGTAAAAATAAAAAGGTTTATCTGAAAATAGTCAGGTACTGCTGGATTGAATTTCTGGAATGGAAATTAAAGCCAAACGTACTGCTAATATCGGAGATTTATGCAGTCCGATAAAATCCAATAGTTTTTTTGGGACGATATCAACACCGGAGCGGGACATCCCTACTCAGTGTGAACCTGCTTTCATCTGTGAAGAGCACAGAGCTCCAGTGGTGAATTTGCCAATCTTGGTGATCTCTGGCTAATGCCAAATGTCCAGCACGGTGTTGGGCTGTGAGCACAACCCCCACCTATGGACGCCGGGCCCTCACAACACCCTCATGGAGTCTTGTTTCTGACCGTTTGAGAAGACCCTTGCACATTTGTGGCCCACTGGAAGTAATTTCCTTCTTGCACAGAGGAGGAGGTATCGGTCCTCCTGCTGGGTTGTTGCCCTCTTATGGCCTCCCCCAGATCTCATGTACTGGCCTGTCTCCTGGAAGCACCTCCTTGCTTTGAACACTATGCTGACAGCCTTCTTGCCACAGCTCACTTTGATGTGCCATCCTGGATGAGCTGCACTACCCGAGCCACTTGCGTGGGTTGTAGACTCCGGCTCATGCCACCACAAGAGTTAAAGCACCGCCAGCATTCAAACGTGATCAAATCATCAGGCAGAAAGCTGAGAAGTGGCCTGTGGTCAACACCTGCAGAACCACTTTTTTTTATTGGGGATATTTAGCTAATTCCCTGTAATTTCCAACTGTTATTTCATTTCTACAACAGGTGAATCTGGTCATCAATCAGTGTAGCTTCCCAAGTGGACAGTTTGGTTTCACATAAGTGTGACTGACTTGGGAGTTACATTGCATTCTTTAAAAGTTCCCTTTATTTTGTTTTAGCGATGTATGCCACCATCTTAGAAGGCTGCGTTTAATTCATTACTTTATCCAAGGTATCTGCAGGTTTAAGGGAGCCAAATTTAAGACTTTTTAAGACCTTTTTTAAGGCCACTTTGACCAAATTTAAGCTATTTTTTAAATTAAATTTAAGCTATAATTTCCAGCTATTGCCTGGAACCGGTGCTAACCATGTCGTGAACGTGGGATTAGCCATCCAGTTACCATTAATGTTGCACTTCCCCATGGCGCAAACTCCCACTAGCTTAACCAGCTAATGTGCTCATCTAAAAATAGCCCCCTTTCACAAACCAACTGAATGTGTACGGTTCCGCTTACGCCAACATCGTACACAAAAAACGCTGAACTAACTAGAAATTCACAAAAATTTTATAGAAATAAAAGAATCTTGTTTATTGGGTCTTTGGACATTTAAGGCCTTTGGAAACTGTATTTAAGGATTATTTGTCATTTTTAAGGATTTTTAAGGCCTTAAATTTGGAAAAGCAAATTTAAGACTTTTTAAGGATCTGCGGATACCGTTTATCACTGGCCATTTTTACACACCGCCGAGTTGTTTTACGTGTACGTGAATTTTTCACAATGAAAATATCTTGAGAAATAAAACGTAAACAAACCACAGCGGCAGCTGCGGTTCGAGATCTACTGGTTTTCTTTTGCAGCTGCAGCTGACGAGCCACACGGTAACTTAGTTAGCGCCCCCGCTGTCACTCCTTTAGGCTTCAGTCATGTAAAAACATCTGATCAGACCTCACTAGGACTAAAACACAGATTCATGGCACCAAACGTGAAAACTGTTTATTTTAGCACACTTGGCCAAAGTGCCTTCAGCCAGAGCAGAAATCCAAACCTCCGTTAGTGAAACCAACCAAAAACAAGCAAAGATACTTTAAACCAGTTCAAAGGAAGTCATACTCTAAATGAATAAAAACTGAGAAGCTACAAAATAACAGGGGGGAAGGCGACACAATTAAGAAAAATGTCCAGGATTTATTTTGTATCGTGGCTGTAGTCCATTTTAACTGCCAGACGTGTGAAAGAAGACGATGGAAAATGCAGGATTAGAGAAGAGCACAGTGAACCGACGTCCTCCTTTGGCTTGTTACGCCAAACTTAGCATCTGAACACAGGAAGATCAAACTGAAGTCAACACACTAAAGCAAGCTAAAGCAAGACATGAGTGGCATCTAAAAACAAACCCTAAATCAGAAAAGAGGCGGACTGAACCTGAACATGGATCTATGAACCAGTCCACTACAGTGCTAACAGAACCGAGTCGGCAGGGGAGAACGGTTGAGATGAAGACGAGCTGAGAGCAGAACAGACTTAATGGCATCAGTCAGCTGTTTGTCCTTCTGGCGGCTTGAGTGTAGCTTTTATAATGAGGGGCTCCCAGCATCATGCAGGTCAGCGGAGAGGCAGACAGGGGCGTCCCGACTGGTCAGCCGGCTCTCAGAGAGAGAAAACAACAACAAAAACAACGCAGTTCTACTTGCTGGGCTGGTCAGAAAAAACCCACCTGGACGAGGTTCAGTGACCGACATCTAGAATCTGGCATTTGCTCGGCTGTCAAACAGGCGTAAATAAGACGGCAGGAGGGAGGGGCGAGTGCGTTCTCTTCTGCACAACCTCAGCTTCATCTCATGAAGGCCTCCCGCTATGGCCGCCCCTGCCCGCCGGCGTAAACAGGCAGCTTAACTAAAGTTGTGAATTGCCAGCCGGAACATGTCATTGGTGCACACCCACGCGTCGTTAATGTTCTTCAGGATGAAACTCTGATGGAAGCCCATGATCGGGTCTTCATCTGCCTGCAAACACAAAAGCGTTACAGATCCATCGGTTTTAACACAATCCTACAAACAAATTCTGCAGAAAGCTTAATAGGGTTTATGCCACGAACCCCCGGCTTGATGCTTCCGGACCTTTTAACCAGCTGAATCACTTCGAGGTTGCAGTACCCTCTGTATACGTTATTGCATTTATTGCCAAAGATAACTGTCAACAGGATAATCCAGACCACATTCAAATGAAGACCAAGGTTTGTGTCCACCAACACTCATTTTGAATGCGAGTTTACAAATCTCTGCTTTGGGTTGCTAAATGATGATACATGCTAGCTGTTTACTAGCCAACGTTAGCAGTGTCGAAGCAACGCTAACAATGTTATCAGAACAATAGCTTAACATCAGGAGACTTTTTTTTTGTTTCTGAAATGCTAACTCTCTGCTAACATTGTTAGCATTGCTTCCTCACTGTGCTAATCAATCAGATTGTATTTGTAAAGAGCTTTTCACGCAAAAGTGCGACTCAAAGTGCTTTACAGAATTAAAATGATTTCCATAGCAGTTTAAAAGCATTAACAGTCTCACTCACTCACTCACACACACACACACACACACACACACACACACACACACACACACACACACACACACACACACACACACACACACACACACACACACACACACACACACACACACACACACACACACACACACACACACACACTAACACCAGTAAACATTATATTTTTTATATTTTGCTGAGTTCAGATGAGCTAAGTAAGGTAAGGCAAGGAAACGCCATCAGAGGAGCCGTCTGCCCCGGCAGCATCAGGTCAACCACAGCAGCCGAGTCAGGGCGCCCTTGAGGACGGAGGGCATAGACCCCCACCACCACCCAAGCACTACCCGTAGAGCGCCCAGGCAGCAACAGCCGACCACCGCCCCTGGGGCAGAGGGCCCCCACAGAAGAAAAACTGGATTAAGATTAGTTAAAATATAAAAATAAAAGAGCTAATATAAGTGATAAAAGAAAATAAATAAAATCATATAGACAGTAATAATATAATTAAATAATGAAACAATGCTAAAATCTAATCATGTACAACGAATAATAAATAATTAGTTAAAACTAAGCTAATACATGAATCTTGAGCCAGGTCTTAAAAACATGAAAGTTCTCTGCGGCGCTGAGGTTCTCCAGCAGCTCTTTCCAGAGACGAGGGCCGTAATGCTGAAGGACACCTCGCCATGAGTATGTGTCCTGACTTTAGGGATAACCATAAAGAGCTAGCATGTATCATTTAGAAACCTAAGGCAGAAGTTTGTTAACTTACCTTCATAATGAACATATTATTTAATCGTGGCATCCTAGATGTGGTCTATATTATCCCGTATATGTTGTTGATAGTTATCCTCCGCAGACCCTGTTCCAGGTTAGAACACTAGCGCTACTGTGATCCAGAAATGATTCAGCTGGCAAAAAAAATCAGGAAGAGTTCAACCGGGGGTCGGGGGCATTTAGCATATTAGCTTCAGGACCAAAAGCGTGTTTCCTAACCAAGTTCTCTTAACGCCACTAGCCACTATATGCATGGGGGAAGTGAGGAAGGAACAGAAAGGTTACTTACTTTCAGCTGTCCTACAACCATACTCAAGATGCAGCTGTCTGGAGTTGGCTGGTGGTCCTCTGCTGTTATACTATGGGCTATTTTTGTGAAGGGGAGACTCTAGCACACACACAGGAACAAAAGAAACAACAAAATTAGATGCATTAGACAGGACCTTCGATCCATCTTCAGCATCTTTAGCCGGCTGCATAAAGATGAGGCCAGTTGTTAATTAAAGGGCCGTCTTTACCAGAAAACATCCAAACACGAGATCTTCTACCAACATCTTCAGATGTTCAAGATCTGAGGTTGGATTCTGAATTATTTCACTAGGGACAGGTCAGGGCGATGAATCAAAAATGCATGATCGACATTTCTGACTCGGACCAATATTTTCCCATGTCAACAAATTTTATAAAAAATAAAGGGTGTGTGTAGGTTGGCGACATTCATGTCTCTTTTAAGAAGCTGTACCACCTCAAGTCACATGACAGACAGCCCCCTCTAGTGGATAACTTTTGTTTTTGTGCATACGTGTAGTTATCATCCATTTATTGTCATCTCCTTAATCTACCATGATATTGATTTTAGGCCATATTGCCCAGCCCTAGGTCAGGCCCATCCAGAACCCATCCCCTCCTCTTCCTCAGAACCAAAAGTGGTCTTTAGACTTGGAGGCAGCAGATGCTGCATTAAAACTTTAGTTCACTATTGCTGCCACAGAAGAACCCTGATTCACGCCTGCACCATCAGTGACTTCAGTCTGGATGCTCCTTTTCACACAGAGGCCATTTATTCCACTAAAGATCTGGAACACTAATCTGTTTGACCACAATCCACCTTTCTTGGATTATTTCTGTATTATTTTCTTCAAGAAAAGAAAATTTCTTGTACTCTTTTACATTTCGCACCAAGGGTGTGGCATTGCAATTTTGCTGTACAACAACAAAAATGGCTATTCTGTTCTTCTGTGATGGTGCCTCCAAGCAGACATCAGGAGATGACAACCACAAAGAGGGGTTCCCATTCCTCAGATTCCTCAAACTCTTTCATATTGAGAACTGAATGGAAAAGTAAGCAAATCCCTACAAAAATATCTAATTGTAATCTTTATTAATGGTTTTTATTAGGGGTGGGCAATATAAACGATATAAGGTGGAAACAATATAAAATTGGGTAATGATAGAGTTTTTGGCTGTATCGCTAGCGATGGGTACCGAATTTGGTACTTTTTTTGGTACCGACCGAATTCCATAGTACCGACTGAGCACCGATTCACGTCATTTCAAACGGTGCCTCGTTTCGGTACCCGTCCTTCATAATGAGAACTTGCCTAGACAGCTGCGCATGTGCAAGAGCGTTATGTCGTCGGTCGCTGCGAGCCAGTTGTAAACAGAGCAGCATGGTAGAAAGAACGCACGCTAACGCTTGGGTCCACTTCACTAAATGTGATGGGTAACTGGGTGATGATGAAACCAGCGACAACGATCTAAGTGAGACATCCTCATCTTAATCTGCTCCGGTAGGTACATAAAATGTTTAAGGTAACGTTAGCTTGATATGTTAGCTTCCGTTTCGCTAATAGTGCGTTTGCTTTCTCCTCGGAATTCTCCGACTAGAAGAACATGAACGCGCTCTAAAGTTTGGCTTCACTTTACTAAATGCGACGGGTGATTGGGTGAAGATGAAACCAGTGACAACGATCTAAGTGTGAGGCATCATCATTTTAATCTGCTCCAGCAGCTAAATAAACTATTTAAGATAAAGTTAGCTTGATATGTTAGCTTCCATTGCCACCATTGTTATCAGCTAATGGTGCGTTCGCTTTCTCCTCGGAAATTCTAACTTCCCAGTAGGAAAAATCAAATGAAAAAAGACGGCAAAAGGAATGAAGATACACAGTAAATTTAGTTCACAGTAAAGATGTTTGCTTCAGTTTAATTATCAGCTTATAAAACTACAAGGACGATGTTAAAATACAAACAGTTGTATGTTATTTATCGTGATATTTATCAAATATGGTTATATATTGATAAAAATATATATTTAATTATAAAAGAGAATTAAAATATTAAACACTCAAAAGTATCTAAAATTGGTACCGTTAAGTACCGGTATCGATTCCTAGGTACCGGGAATTAGTACCGAATACAGTGTTTCGGGGGGGAATTATGACACGTCTCTAAATAAAGTAAAATTTTCCAGTGCAGATTGGAGACAGCCCATAGAAGCACTAATTTGATCTCATTTCAGAGAAAAATAGAACAGGTCAGATGCACCTAATAAATAAAATTACTAACAAACTCAGGAATCTGTTTCTTTGCTTCACTGTTCTGGTGCTGAGAATATCACTAATGCGGATCAAAGGAGATACACAGATGAATGCACCTCTTATTTATTATTTGGAGACTACATTTGCTGCAGCTGGCAGAGGCAGAGATTGTTTCTATTGATACACGGAGTTTACAGAATCATTTTAAATGTTAATAGGGGAAGACTGCAGGAGGGAGCGTTAAAATACCGGGGGTCCCCAGCAAAAACAAGAAACTACGAGTCTGATGAAACCCGCTGGATTTCCATCAGGCAGTCACGGGGCAGCTCCAACGACCCAGTGGCTGTGCTGGGGCAATGTTATCGAGCTCAGTCCGGCTCGGCAGAGGGTGAACGAGCCGAGGCGGGGTCGTGCTCTGCTTAAGAAGCGTTATTTTCCCGCTTCAGAAGAAGCGTCCAACGTGTTTTTACGCTTTCTCCGAGACATGTAGCGTCGCTAAGTTGTTAGCGCCGCGCGCTAACACGTCAATAGTGCAGCGTAGCCTGCTGGAGGTTTTAAGGGTTCAGATGAAACACCCGACCTCTCAGGCTGCTCACACATCGATCTTAAGTTGTCGCTGTTGCGCTCACGCCGTAATACAGGATTAGATGCGGTTAAAGTCAGACACGAAAAAATAAATAAATTGTACATGAATAAGTGATGCTTAGCCTGGTGGGGGGAGGAAACCCTGGCCTAATAAGCACTGGAGGAAACCCTGTCAAGATCGTCAACACTCATTTATCTTAATGCTATTGAAACATGTAAACCACAAAGCATTATATCCACTGCTACCTTTCTAATTTTAAACTCAGTAACTTATGCTATAACTTCACCTTGCCCTGCCTGCTCCTCCTTGCTGCCTGCCGGCTGTGATCACAAGCCACAACATAGTAGTTCCTGCTGCTTCTTCGGGAAACAGCGCCAAAAAAAAAACACTTGGGATCTTGTAGGCGTGGCGGTGGGATTTCAGCCGTGGCGGGCCGCCACGGCTACGCCTATGTAAGGGAAGCCCTGGAATCAATTCAAATGTCAAAGGTACCCATCCCTACATATCGAAATACCGCGATAACTCATGACGTCAATAAGATTTGCACCCTGCTGACATTGAGACAACAGAATGGCAGTGATTGCAAGCATGGAGTGGGCGGGGGAGGAGGCCTATATGCCTCAAGTGGCATACCGTATTTTCCGGACTATAAGCCGCTACTTTTTCTCCACACTTTGAACCATGCAGCTTATAATGAGGTGCGGCTTTACTGAAGATTTTCCTTCACCTGCAGGGGGCGCTTTAGCAGAAAGTGAAACAGGTGGAAGTCAAAAGTGGAAATAGAAGAAAGTGCTCCTTTTAATTTAGCACATGCAAGCAGCCGGCACGACGGAGAATTTTTTTCAAATCCATACCCCCTCATCATGGTAACTACACATATGAGTTCATATGATGCCACATTTAAATTGAAGGCTATCGATCTGGCAGTAAAGGAGGGAAACAGTGCTGCCGCACGTAAGCTTGGCATGAATGAATCCGTGGTTCGGCGCTGGAGACGGCAGCGGGAAGAACTCATCCAAGCCAGCTTCACCCGGGGATGATGACAGCGACACTGACATCGCCACAGAAAAGGTATGTGACGAAGCTCTTCTGAGGCTGTTCAACTCCGACACTGAAGAAGAGGACTTTAATGGCTTTAGTGCGCAAGAGGAAGATGAGAGAAAGACTTTTTCTGGTAGGCAAGTGTGTTTTATTTACTAACCAGGCATGTTTTGTGTGCAGTTTTTATTTTCTAATCATCCGGGGCTTATTAATGCTGTCAGCTGTTCTTTCCTTCTAAACATGCAAATTACCGGTAATAATGTGTCAGTGCTGTTTTTATTTTATAACATCCAGAAATATGAATGCTATCAGTGCTGTTTTCTTTTCTAAACTTGCAGGCACGTTCACCCGTGTTTAAAATTTGTTTTGTTGAATTAAAACAACAACGAAAAACCTCCGTGTAGCGTCTTTCTGTCTAACTATCTTATGTTATGGCCGTACATGCGCTGTGCGCCGGAGACCTGCATGTGGCTGCTGCGCCAGGGCTTGTATTTGAGTGCAGCATGTGTGTGTAGAAAACCTTTATTGTTGTTGGTGCGGCTTCTATTGAGGTGCGCTCTATAGTCTGGAAATTACGGTATATTTGCCACATGAGGATATTTAAAAGCATGTCATTTTGACATATATAAACAGAGGAAAAAAATATATCGCAATATATAACGATACCGCACATGCTTCAGATTATATCGCAATATAGATTTAAGGCCATATCGCCCAGTTTTTATTGCACTGAAATGACTCAGCTCATTGTCATTACCTTCAAGATTTCAAACACCTGTTATTTAAACATCATAATGTATTTTTATTATATCCTAACAAGCTCCAAACAAAATCCTTAATGTCCTGATGTTCTTCACCAGAACACAGTTTCTATCACACATTAACCACACTTCACCTCTGCATAGCAACCAGCAATACTCACAGTGAGTTTCTCGACAATTGCTATTTTTCCCTGGTAGGGCTGTCCTTCCCACGTAAGGCATGACGTATCAATCTGTGAAGTGACAGATGTAAAAAACAAATAAATAAATAATTAAATTAAAAAAAAAAAAGAATTAAATGGCAGAAAATAATCTACACATGAAGCCACTTCACATTTCTCATGATGGAGAAAAACTAACACTACAATCAGTATTTAATTAGATTTACAAATTTCATCGAAATATTGTCAGTAAATATCATATTACTTATTAGACCAGAATAGAAAAAGATTTGTTTTCCTGAACATTTCCAAAAATGCTAAGATCACTAAAAATAAAAAAAGCTACAACAAACAGGAACAAAATTAGGCTTCTAGAAAAAGGTCATCAGAGGAAGCCGAGAAGAAGTCACGTTCCACCTACATATATGGATCCAAGCTGTGATCTGTCAGAATCAAACATCTGATAGTAATGCCGCACGAAGCTGGATCCTATCTGCTCCCACAGAGGCTGCTCCGCCATCCTGAATCACCCTCGAACACACGCTGCAGAGATAAAACAGAGAGGGTCAACACACAGAACGCACCAGGACACGGCAACAGAACTGTATGCCTGAAACTTAAACCCACAGAATGTATGTATGTTAATATTCTTCAGTGTAAAAGGATCATAAGGGATTTTTAGTATAAGATCAGCTTATGTGTCTGCCCACATATGATGAACTCTGCTTGTTTTTACAGTAATTATAATGTATATGATTAACACCTGTTATGTTTTGAAATTCGTGTTAACATTTCGTATTATTACTATTACTAGTTGTTTTTATCACTATAGTGGTAAACTAAAAACACACTTTTAAAACGTGATAACATTAATAAATAATAAAAAATACGTTGACCCTTTCAACTCCACGTAAGTGAAATAGTTCCTGAATCATATTATAATACTGAGATTTTATAAATAAATACTACTCCCGGTTTCCGCCGACATAACAGGTCACGTGACTCCCATAACGACATGGTTGACACTGGAGCAGTGAGCGGGCGCGCTAAACGTTAGCATTACTAACTATTGCGGTTACCGACGGGACATGAGTATACCAGTGCAGAGGAAACTAAGGTTAACACAAGAGTAGGAACGTGGAAATGAGGCAAATAAGACAGTAAACCTCTTTCAGCCGGTGTCGGTACAAGATCTGCTCGCCGCTGCTAGCTTGTGAGCTGACTTGTTGGTGGCCCAAACCTTTTAGCTTCCAGCCAATGCTAGACTTCGGGAACATGTATTTTCCAGGTGTTGAGTGACCGGCTGGTGTTCGCAGCAGGATCATGCTAAAAATACCCAACCCCTGTGAATACCGACGCCTCATGCGGGCCCGCGCAAACAGCCCTGGAGCCCCCGGAGCAGCTAACCCCTCACATAGGCGTGCCCGACACTAGCCTTCCTAAACTGAGAGGAGCTGCCAGTAAAACTGTCGATCCTGTCGTTAGTTGTTTATGTGTCTCACGAAACGACTGACTTTTGTTTTCACTTAAGCTTTGTTTCACTAATTTGTAGCAAGACTCGTTTCAAACAAGTACCACAAACTTACCTCTCACTAACGCCGAGGCCGGCTGCACGACAGAACAGTGCAATGTCTCCTTCGCTGCGACAGCACGTAACCAGAGACGTGTGCGCAAAGCATTATGGAGAATGTAGTCTTTATCACAGACATGCATAGTTGATGTTTATGAAAAAAAACCGCCACATTTTTGTTTTTTTCTATTAGTGTTTTTATGTTTTTCTAATGTTTTTTATTAATTTCCATTCTGATATTTGGTGGAACAGAAGACTGAGTTACACAGTTGCTTCACTTTGACGTCATCAACCCCAAAATCACCTTCCTACCACTGCGTTCTGCACGAGCACGTCTGCGCCCCTCCCATTTTGCCCATCACTAGTTTCTGATGACAACCAAGGTGGTATACATCTGTTTGATCAAGAGGACACAACTTTCACCTGTTTTTCTTTAGATGGAAGTGTCAACATGTTTCTGACATCACATGGGACTTTTGTTTCTGATGATGCTGGGGTGCTAGCTTCAGAGAAGGGTGATGATTTGTTAGATTTGTTTGGAGAGGAATACAATGTTCTGGAGTTGCTGCTTTGTGCTGAGAGTGAGCCCCAGGATTTATTGCGCTTAAAAGAAAGTTGGAACTAACAAACAAATTCGTTATTTTCACTGGATGGATTCGGTGAGGATAGAGCGGAAACATCACCCGCTTCAGGCAATACTGACAATGATATTTCCTTACTTCTGATGATGACATTTGAGTTCTGTTGGCTTCACAGGAATGTTTGGGATGAATTGAAGCTCAGACATCATTAGCTTCAGACGACAGTGATATTGACTCCACTTTGATCTAGAGGACGATTGTGTCTTTAGATGGAAGTGTCACTGAAACATCTGCTGTCACAGGAAAATTTAGCTGAGGATGAAGCTGCAGATTGTATGGAAGCCCATACCCGCCACTCAGAAAAAAAATTATTATCTCGTAATCATGACTTAGCTATCTCATAATAATGAGATACTATCTTGCAATACTATCTCATTATTATGAGATACTATCTCATTATGATGACTTAGTATCTCATAATTACGAGTTAACTGTCATTACTGGTTGTCCAGTAATCGGAAGGTTGCAGGTTCGATCCCGGCTCCGGACAGAGAATTCTGCTGTTGTGTCCTTGGGCAAGACACATAACCCACGTTGCCTGCTGGTGGTGGTCGGAAGGTCCGGTGGCGCCTGTGCTCGGCAGCCTCGCCTCTGTCAGTGCGCCCCAGGGCAGCTGTGGCTACATCGTAGCTCATCACCACCAGTGTATGAATGTGCGTCTGAATGGATGAATGATACACTGTAGTGTAAAGCGCTTTGAAGTCCTTACTCTGAGAAGCGCTATACAAGTGCGGGTCATTTATCATTATTATGACTTAGTATCTCATAATTATGAGATAGCTAAGTCATATTTATCATATGGGGGTGACTTCCTCTTTAAGTCTCAAACAGAAAAAGATCTGAGCAACGATATTGTGACATCATAATGTACCATCTAACGTCATTGTGTACTTCTTAGCCAATAGCGGTGGCAGATTTAAATTCAAATACGGTGCAGAGTTTTTACCTGACAACGGCACAACACTGACAGTTTTAGGCAGAAAATTTTAATTTTAACTAAAAGGCACTAAAGTGTAAAACTATTGACTACACGTGTCTGCGGCATGATTAGACATGCATTTATATAGTTTATCAGCAAAAAATACTTGGTTTGGGGGTGACTTGCTCTTTAAAACAGTTAAAGGTCAAAATGAGCTGAATCTACAGTAACCTTCTACTTGATGTAATAATGGTGGGTTCAACATAAACACTAATCTGTTTCAAGTCAATGATTATTCAATACTTCCCTGAAAAATGGCATGTTGAGTTCTTTGTTTTGTCTTTTAGTTTTGTATTTGTATCCTACTGAGTATTTTCTTATCTGACTCTAAATGAAATCACATTTTAACACAACTTTTTGATTATTCTTACTGTTAAAGTTGGGCAACAACAAAGTATTTGATGTGCTGATCAGGTCTTAGGAAGAACCTGCTGTAGGGAGACCTAAACAAGTCTATAACTTATAATAACAAAAAATGTTTATTCTTGTTTTATGAACATCAGCTAACAGTTAGTTTTTTAAAAATCTGACCTGTTTATTAAAGCACAATTCAATTCAATTCAAAAATACTTTATTAATCCCAGAGGGAAATTGATTGCTGTAGTAGCTCAGAATAATAATAATCAAGTCATCAAAGAGTTGTTGTACATTACAATGGCTGTTGGCAGGAAGGATCTCCAGTAGCGGTCAGTGTTGCAGCCAAACTGAAGAAGCCTCTGACTGAAGACTCTCTTCCATTGTCGGACAGTCTTGTGAAGAGAATGCTCAGGGTTGTCCATCATTTTCATGATTCTCTGGAGAATCCTTCTTTGCATTATCTCCTCCAGCGGTTCCGAAACTGCCGAAACTCTGGCTGAGTCCTTGAAAGGGCTTGGAGTTCCTCCATCTTGTTAGCCAGTGATCTCACATTGCCCATTATGATTGATGGAAGAGATGGTTTGAATTTCCTTTCTCTGTCTCCGTTTTGCTCCCGCTCTGCACCCACGCTTCTTGCGTTTTAGCTCATTTGGGATTTGTGGCTTCAGTTGAGGTATTATTTCAGCCTTTCCAATGTTAATCAGCTGCTCCCGATTGTAAACCAGCTTGTTGCCATGGTTACGCATCATAACAAATGCTCAAAAAGTGAAAAAAAAAGCAAATAGCAGTAAAAATCCTCCAAGCTTCACAGCACCAGAAACAGAAAAGTAAAGTGTCCAAAAAAATACAGTTTTTCTTGAGAAACTAAAGAAAAAATGCCCAAGAAAAGGCTAAACTTACATATAGTCAACAGAGCTACTCCAACATGCAGCCACCCAGAGCAGTGCAGTTCCGGATAAATCTGGGGTTTTAAAGGGTTAAAAAGACTCCAACAGCTTTTTGTAATTAAATAATACATGAAATGGATGAGACAGTTTTACCTTTAGGTTTATTCCTTTTTAATAGCAGGAAGTAGGGTGTGCTAAAGTCTGTATGCATTGATGAAACAACCTAAGACTCAAGTAGACCTGGGGACGAGGCAAGAAAACATGTTTGTGCTTCATCCCTGATGGACCGAATGTGTGATAGTTCCTCTGCAGAACAACATCTTCAGTTTTAGTTACTGACACTGGCTCATGTGGACTGATGGTCTGCAGCTCCTTGTTCACGAACTAGCTCAGTGGCCTAGTGGTATGCTCAGTCCCTGGGACGGGAATATTGGGGTTCAAATCCCGGTTGAGGCATTGAAAAAAAGGGACCCAATTCCTCCTCGCTTGACGCTCAGAATTAAGGGGTTGAACTGGGGGATTAAACCACCAAATGGTTCCTGAGCACAGCTGTGTCTGCAGCTCACCACTCCTCCAGGGGATGGGTCAAATGCGGAGAATACATTTCACACACATCTGTGTGTATGACAACTACTGGAGCTTTACTGTACTTCTCCAGCTGGGCGAGGAACTGAGGCTTCCTTGGAGGGCGTGCATGCATTTAACTGCTTCCAGTCCACTGCAGCTATAGTTTCTTAAACACAAACTCTTATGGGCCATTCCCATCTGTACCGGGTCGGCCCGGGCCGGGTAGCCCCAGTCGGCCCCAGCCTGGCCCGGTTGATTCCACACATCCTTGCCTTAAGCCCATGTGGGCTGATTCTGCCCACCAATCAGAGGCTTGCTCTAATGGAAGGTGTGAATTTGCTGTCAGCAGTGGGTGTGTTGGCCCTGGTCGGCCTGAAGCAGACCCCCTCGAGAAGAGGGCTGAGAATGAGCCTTGGTTGGCCCGGAAAAATACCAGGCCACCCAGATATGTAAACAACCTACGCTACCCGGCCCGGCCCGACCCGGTACAGATGGCCCATTAAACTGCTGTGATCTAAGCTCAGCCGTCACAGCAAAGGGGAGACAGGATCTTTTGCAGGTGTTTCCCTGCTGAGGAAGTGTCACGGAAACACAAATCAGATGAATCACTAATGTTTCCTCCAAATCATTTCTTTAGGCGTTTCAAATAAACTAAAGAGATGAACCAGTGTTGTGTCAGCACAATTAGCTTTTTTTTTGTATTAATCTAATTCCTGCATGCTAATGCACTTGTTGTCTTTTGCTTACCTTCCTACCTAACAGGTTTGAAGAGAAACAGAATGTTGCAGCTGTTGCTGTTTGTCTCAGAAATCGGACGCTGCAGAGGACAATCAGTGCTTTGCCTCCTCCTCCTACCTGCACAGCTGCACTCACTTGGGCTGATCACCTCCTGAGCAACATAAAAAGCAGAGCTGCCAGGAGGAAGGGAGAGACAAAAGGGAAGACATCTATATAAAGTTAGGGACAGAGTGGGTAAAATGGAAAGCATTCCAATGTGTAATAGGAAACAAATGATAAATTCAAGACTTTGGGGCGTACGGATTTAAACAGTACACTCTTTATGATAGGAAAACATAATACAGGAATGTGTGGTTGTGGAAAAGAAAGGGAAACGGCAGAACATGTATTGTGTAAATGTGACAAGTGTATAAATAATAGGAAAATATTATCTAGCCAATTAAAGATGAAAGATAATGAAAAGTTGAATTTGAGGAATATATTAATTGGAGGATTATATGTTTATAAATAACTAATTTAATTTTTAAAGCTAGTAATTTAATAAATAGAATTTAATTTGAACGGTTTCTCCCTATTGCGACTCGCACTCCCACACAGAAGGTGGTGGAAATGCACCTAGAAGTTTGTTGCCACCCGCCAATAAACGAAGAAGGAAGGGAGAGGCTGGATCTGTGCCAGTTCTCTCATGCGCTCCATTTGTTTTTGTTTGTGTTTTAATGGCTTTTAAATGGGTTTTAGTTCTTTAAGCTTAGTGAAGCTTGAGAGCTTTTAGAGGTTTTTAACAGATGAGGGACCAGAGTGCTGGTTTCCTCTTGGCTCCCAGACTTATGTGTTAGTCAACACTTTGTGTGTGAATGTTTGGGAGCATCCGGATGTCTGTTTTAAACATAAACCCATGGACATTTAACAATGTTTTTAAGTACTTTTAGATTTGGAGCTTTTTGTTATTTTGAAATCCTTTTAATAAAATCAATGTTTACAATTTCCACACCTGAAACTCATGCCTCTGTGCTACTCCCTGTCCTTTTCCTTATCCACCAATAGAGGACGTAACACATCCTTGTCATTGGCCGTTTGAGGGCCTAAAAGAATCATCTGAATACAATAAAGGAATACAGGGTTCATATATGGATTAATATCGTTATCACCACGTGATTCATATGAGTACTTGCCTTTTTTCATTTATTTTTTGTTTTGATTTTTTGGGCCCTTTTATAAATGAAAATATTACATCTCTGCTCAGACATATTTTGCCTAAAAGCCAGATTATAACAGAACAACGTTTAAATCCTTTTCTAATTTGACATTCTTTCTTTACCTTTGCTTCACTCTGTTCATTCAAAGCTGACCACTGTTGCTCGGTTTCCATGGTGACGGATACACAACTGCGCATGAAGAAATCAATATGGTAGTCCGCAGCGCGCCTGGCTAAAATACAGAATTGTGAAGTAAAATTACTTTCTAAACAAAACATAATAATAATAATAATAATAATAATAATAATTATTATTATTATTATTATATGTTTCCATCTTTTGTGTAATTAAAAGAAGACGTTTCCGTAAAATATTTATTCCATCTTTAAAAATGTAAACGTAACCTTTTGAATAAAACCTTAAAAATCGTAGAGAGAAACATTTTAATGTAACAATTGTTTCTTGATGAACAGGCCCAGATGTTCATGTCATTTTCCGTTTGAAATAAATTTATTTTAAATATGATTTAGCTTAAACACGTGTTCAAGCTTCTGGAAACTCAGGTGAAGATAACAAGCTTACATATTTTCTTACAAAAACTGTCTTTTTCAGTCCCTTTAGTGAGAGCCCTGAACCACTGGAGCTGTGCAGCCTTTTCTAGATGTAGACACAATTGAACTACAGTGCCCACAATGCACCGCGGCAGCCTACAGTACACTCTGCTGCTTATTCGGGGATGTCACACCGCTGCTATTTTCTCCCCACAGTCCCTCGCTCTCTCAGCCCACAGCTTCAGCCGACTGACACGGGACTTTGAGCAGAACCCAACCATAAGGGCCGGAAAATGGCAGAGCTCGGTTCGGGAAGCCTGCCGTTAGGAGATCCTGCTTTTAACTACCAGGAGCAAGAACTGAACGAACGGCTGAAATGGCTCTACCCGGCTGTAAACGAGGAAGAGACCCCTTTACCCCGATCCTGGAGCCCCAAGGATAAATACAGCTACATTGGGCTGTCACAGAACAACCTCCGGGTCCATTACAAAGGTTAGAGGGACGGGTCTGACAGTCACAACAGCAGAGAGGTCTCGGCTCTAATCGGTCACTGTGTGTGTTGTTGTTGCGGAGGGGGCTCACACACTCATACTTACTTACAAAAACACAGTGTGCGATTATGTTGACGTGTGTGTGTGTGCGTGCGTGTGCGTGTGTGTGTGTGTGTCTTTCTGGTAAATCTAGCCTGAGCTGCCTCTCCTGTCCTTGCTTTGTTTCACAAATGAGCAGAGGAATGTCCAAATGGGTGACAGCGAACTCGCTAACCCCTGACAGAGTTGGTCTTATTACCGACCAACCGACTGTCGCCCTAATAACGCGTTAATAACGGTGTTTTAACCGTTTCTGTGGTTGTTTGTTTGATGTAAACGGACTGACGTTTATCACAGCGGAAGGGACCGCGGCACGCAAACACAACAAACGGCAGCTTGCTAACATAAAGCAGCAAACACAGCAGTACTTTACTAGCCTAGTGTGGCTAGCACAAGCTAGCTGCTCCTTCTGGCTGTTATTGAAAACAGAAGGCTACAAGATGGACTCGAGCCAAACTTGTTGTCAGCCTTGAACAATTCAGGCCCTGGTGTTGGTGTTGATGCTGCTGTTTTCCGAACAGGTGAAAACAAAATCAGATTGTTTTGCTGTGCTTTCTCTCGCGTGGATTTGGGGCCAGTGTTCTGGAAGTGGTTTCCAGAAATCATTTTATTTCTCTGGCCCAGAATCAGGCGGCCCAGCTCCATCCAGCAGCAGCTACAGGTCCGTGTTCCGGCGGTGAGACAGGAGGCCTCTGCGCGTTCACATCCAGCCAAAAGCACCGATCGGTGCGATAGGCAGAAATAAATCAGCCGGGCGTTTTAACAACAGCTCCTACGAGCCGCAGTCCGAGGCTGCTAGCTGTCAGCAAGACTGTGTCTACTCTGGACCAAAACAAGCTGATGTTTGTGTTCCTCAGGTCTCCCAGTCATCCTGAGTCTGAGCCCACGCCTAAGGCCCACTTTGGCCCAGGTTTCTTTTATTTACTAAATGAAACTGTTCTTCTAGAAGACTTTAGTGAAAACTCATCTATTCATTAATCAAAGAGCACTGGGAAACATTGGGTTATGTTGTTTTATGATTCAGATATTCAGATAAATATTTCAAACCTCTTAACTTTTCCTATAGAGGTAGACCGATATACTGGGCCGATATTTTCCATTTCTTATATATCGGCATTGATCGAAATACTTCCTAAAGCCGATTTAAAGTCAGGCACATCCCGAGACAGCCCAGTGCTGCTGCAGATTTTATTTAAAGAGCAAGTCACCCCCTGCCAGATTCTTACTCCCACTTCCTGTTTGAAAAATGCAACAACTGCTGTTGCCTAGCAGACCGAGAGGGCAGAGCCTGTAACAAATACACACACACACGACATTGTGACATCATAATGTACCATCTAGCATCATAGTGTACTCCTTAGCCAATAGCGATGGCAGATTTAAATTCAAATGCAGTGCTGAGTTTTTGCCTGACGACGGTGCATCGCTGACAGTCTTAGGCAGAATATTTTAATTTTAACTAAGATGCACTAAAGTGCTGAATTATTGACTACATTTCTCTACAGCACAATTGGACACTCATTTATATAGTTTATCAGCAAAAAAATGGTGATTTGGAGTGACTTGCTCTTTAACGACCAAGTCACCCCCTACCAGATTCTTACTCAACTCCCACTTCCTGTTTGAAAAATGCAACAAATGCTGTTGCCTAGCAGACAGAGAGGGCGGAGCCGCAAACAAATACACACACACAGGCTCACAACGACAATGTGACATCATATGGTACCAGCTAACGTTCTAGGGTACCTCTTAGCCATTAGCGATGTCAAATGCAGTGCAGAGTTTTTACCTGACAATGGCACAACACTGACAGTTTTAAGCATAAAATTTAAATTTGAACTAAAGTGCAAAACTATTGACTACAGGTGTCTGCAGCACGATTAGACACACATTTATATAGTTTATCAGAAAAACTAAGTTGATTTGGGGGTGACTTGCTCCTTAAATGTATTTTTATGTTCCTGAATAACATCTGATTAATAAATGCTCAAAAATAAATGTAAACAAATTTTTTTTAACCAGTTCTGAATATTTAATATTAGGGCTGCACGATATTAGGAAAAGCTGCGATATTCGATAACAGTCATTAATATTGCAATGACGATATTACTTGCGATAAATAAAATTTAACTCGGGAACAAAAATAATCAAAAACAAAGAAATAAAAATTATAAAAAGGAGAAAAGCTAAAGATGTGAGGAAAGGGAAAAAGAAAATGATCAAGAAAAGGCGATCAGTGGATCCCGGAAAAGCAGAATCAGCAGAAAGAGCAGAACAAAGCTAACTCAGGTGTTTGTTAACCATCAAAATTAAGTGTCTGGGGCGGGCACCGAACCTATGAGAACCCACCCAGTTGGCTAAAAGGGTGAAGCGCTCTGATTTGTTAAAAAAAGTCATGCTTCCGTTTGATTGACAGAAACATTTGAGCTGACTGTTCGTTGCGATATTTATCTGTTCTTTGCGATATTCATATTGTGCATGCTGATATCGCGATAACGATATATTTCCGATATATTGTGCAACCCTATTTAATATTTTTTCAGTTTACTAATTTGTTTGATTAACTTTAGTTAGACGTCTGATTTAATAGTTGGTTAAACTCTTCTAAAAGCAGAAGTTATGTGAATCAGCTGATGCTATTAGTGATATTTTATCATGAAAATTAGGTGGAAAACGTCTAGATATCAACCATGAAAACTGGTCAGTACAAATCAGCCATTGGCTGACCGAGACCTCTTCCAATCAGCATCGGTGTCTGCAATAGAAAAACCAGGTCGACCTGTATTTTCTGAAAAAGTTTCTATTTCAGATGCTGCAGAGTAAATGTGTTGTATTCTTCCTGCCGGGTCGTGGCGTCGCTGCAGAGGTTGGGAGAATACAGACAGGATGTCAAACCTATTCTGAAACGCTTATCTGATAAATTTCCGCTCAACAGGCAAAACCGACTGTTTAAAACAAGAATTTCTCAAGCAGATGGCCTGAAAGAACCCACTGATCATTTCATGAATAATTGATCACCCCACTGCTGACTGAATATTAGCCAACTTTCATTTATTAGGGGGTGAATAGTATTTAATAATTATTTTATTTATGTTCATAACGTAAGATAAATCTTGTCACCATGTTGATGTTATGTAGGACACAGAGTCTTTTTGTCCATGAAGAGAGTTGGGATTAGGTGACACTGCACATTTGTTAGGAGACGACACATAAATAGATCTATTCTGGATCAAGCAGGATATATTTTCTGCGCCTGGTTCCTCCAGCTCCTGCTCTGTTACCTCACCCTCGTGGTTTGGATGCTATTTTGACCGGTGTGCCAATTTTCTGTGTTCAAGGCCACACAGACTCCACCTAGACCTGTCTCAGCAGCAGCAGCAACATGCAGTTAGAAAAGTAAAATTAATGCAAATAAAATCTTCATTTCTCTACTCATGAATAAAAAAAACCATCAGATCAAACAGGTCTAAAAAAGAGCCGTTTGTGTAAAAGTAATCACCAAACACCACAGCCAGGTGCTGGTAATCAAATCCATTGATTAGCTGAAGTGTGAGTTTTGCTGCTCTGGAGCCTACAGGTGTGTGTTAACCAAGCCCCCACGATGCGGGTGAAAAATAGTCGCCAACGCAGAAATGACAAAAATTGCAGTTCCACACTCATCCACTAGGGGCTGATGTCAGAAGCGAGCAAATCCTCATTGACTCCCATGTTAAAAATACCAATTTCACAGCAGAAATAAACATGTTTACAGCCTGGTACCAAAACATGTTTTTTGTTTAAATGATCTAGTTTACACTCATGACAATTCTGAGGGGGGTGAATTTTTTTCTCACTATTCTCTTTTAGTGTATTAAAAGCCTAAAATTCTGTATAATTAATGAGCATCAGACCCACGTGACCACAGAGCTAGCTCAGTGGAAAGGCCTCAGCCTGAGCCTCGGTCTGGTTTGGAAACTGTTCCGGGATTTTGAGTCTCTGTGTTTGTGTATTCTGTTTTGGATATTATTTGTGCAATTGTTGGACAAAATGACTTGCTGTGGCATTAATTGCACTAATAGGGCGTCCAAGGAGTCTCCACTTCATTTTTTTCAGTAAGTAAAATTATATTTATGTATTTTAGGTCACTGCCGAGCTGAGCTTAGATGTTAACATGTACTGTTTAACCATGAAATTTAAATGTAATAGGGTGAAACCCAATGCATTTAACATAATGCTGCACTTTAGAAAATGGGTTGAAATATAACATGTTGGTGGAGCTGGGTTCCCACTATCGGCTTGTGGAGCTCTCGGGAGACCGATGTTTTCCACCCGGTTCTCCCCTTCCCGCAGCTCGGCACATCTCTGTCTGATCGCGGCTTCTGTGTGCTGCGCGGCTGCCGGCTGATGGAGACCTCACTGTTCCACCCGGTTCTACCCAGCGGTCAGCCCGGCGTATCTCTGACTCAGAAGCTCTGGTGTTGTGCACAGTTAACTCCGGTTGTAGCTAGGTTGCTACCTCCGTTAGCTTAGCTCCCACCTCCGCGTTAGCTTTGGGTTAGCTTCAGGTTAGCTTGCAGCTAGTTCGACCGGGTGTCATCAGTTGATCCCAGCCTTACAGCCCCACCCTCAGCTCCACCTCTCTTCCCTTTTGTGGAATTGTCTGGGCTTGACGGAACCTGTGACACGGTCAAAATGGCGGTGGTGACCACCTCCCATTTATCTTCAAAAACGTGTTATTGGAGCCTATGGAAATGAATTGTCCAGTATACATGTCGATGGTGTTAACACAGTACTGAGAAAGGATTACATCATTATTGATCTTAAAAGAAGCAACTGCTGGTGTCCACCAATTTAGGAAGGGTTAAAGGTCATTTCCCAAAAAAATGTCATTGTTCTACACAGATCATTCACAAGTGGAAAACTTTTAAGGTAGCTGTAACTTCATACCAAAGGTTTTTTTCACTGTTTTATTTAATCATTCCCCACTTACTAATGGTGACGATGCGGTTCCCTGTCCCGCTACGGATGGTGCTGAGGGCGACGAGTCGCTGTGCTCTTTGTTGTATTTTCTCTTATTGATCTGATAGATTTTGCACTTTCGCCCTGCTAGTGGCTAAAGCTGGGGTCCGGATCTCCGACACTCAGCATTAACGTTGGTTAGGAGGAGCTGGAGATTGACCTTTAGATCTTTGACTCCTGCTGGTTAAGTGAGCTGTCGCGCTCGCTGACACTTCCTGTGCCTTTTACCCTAAATAGTCCCAAAACTAAGCTGCTGGGAGCTGGATGAAATCGGGAGCTGCTCACGTGAACTCCCGTTTACACCTGCAGCTGTGAGATCTAACTTTGACATTTCATTTATTCTAAGCTGCAATAAAGAGACTTTCTAAAAATAGACCGCATGAATATTGCTACAAATGTAGGGATCAGACCATCAGCAGGCTCATGTCTGGGCATGCCCGGTACACGCTCAGACATGTGGGGACACAGCTTTGCATGTTTGTGATCATCGAACATCAAGGAGGTGTAATAAATCTCAGCAAACAGCTGATTCTGATCAGCAGCCTCTCCCGGCCGTTTGTTTAGCAGCATAGAAGTGAGCTCAGTTTGAGGCCATGTTAGTTCCCGTGTGACTGGTGCCGGGGCGCTGCCGTGTTCATGGTAGACGTCCTGAAGGTGTCTGCTGACAGCCAGCTGCTTCGGTTAAGGTTACCGCCTATCTGCATTTCCTACGAGTCCACGGCCACTTGTTATGTATCATGACAGGTGAGCGTGAGTGCACGTAGCAGAAAGAGGTGCACATGCTTACTGTAGAGGCGAGCTGGCGGTTATACAACAGAACCCACCCGAGGGATTGCATAAGCACCCGTCTGAATATGGAGTGACAGACACAACACAGGAGCCTGCTGCTGCTCCAGCCTGTATGTTTACTTTTATAATCTCACCGTAGGGGCTTGGGTCTGTGCTGAAGGCCTCGTCGCGTACGGTCAGAGACGTGTCTGTCATGGCTGACCTCTCATGGAAGTTTTTCTTTTTTCTGCAGGTCATGGAAAGAACCACAAGGACGCGGCGTCAGTGCGAGCCATGCATCCCATCCCTGCTGCTTGTGGGATCTACTACTTTGAAGTGAAGATTGTCAGTAAAGGTCGAGACGGGTAAGCAGTCCTGCTTCCCCCTCATGCTGTTTAAAACAGTTCTAAACCTAAAGCCACTGCTCCACAGTGTCGAGTCTATAGATGGTTTAGTTCTGCTGGGTTCAGAACGTTTTAGTTTCAGGTTGTTTTTGGTCTGCGGGACCGCAACCACACATGCAAAAGCACTCTGTTTATTTGCATTTATGTGCAAAAAAAAAATCGGAATCTTATCTGCAATGTTTCACGGTAAGGAGGTGAACCCAGATGCAGGAAGCAGGTAGAAACGAAAACGGAAGCAAGGACACTGCAGAGCTGCAGGAGCTGGACACTAGGGCTGGGCGATATGGCAAAAATAGAATATCACGATTTTTCCAATATTTTATCACGATTTCGATTTTATCACGAATTTTTATCCATGAATAGCATAACTTCAATTGCATATTAAAGAAGAGAAACATTGAATAAATAGACATTTATTCATATTAGGGATAATCAGCACAGTGCTAACACACTTATATTTTAAACTCACACCAGAGATGATAAAAGCCCTGAGAGAAACAATCACAAAAATCAGTTTTTCTCGTGTTTCAAGTAACTTAACATAAATTAAAATCGTAAACATATTTAAAGTGCAAACATGTCAATTGCAAACGTATTGTGCAAACATTAACTTGTTCAAAATACTATGTAGCTCCCAGTTGCTCATGTAGTGGATAGTTAAGCTCAAATACGGCTCTGATGTGCGGCTGGGCCAGAGATCGCTTGTGGTAGCAAATAACTGCGCATTCTGAATATTTTCTGCAACTCTCACTTTGCATTCAGCCTACATGCGTGGAATGGCGGTGTTCGAAAAATACTTGCGGCTGGAAAACTCGTAGCGCGGTTTCAATGTTTTTATCATTTTCTTAAATCCCGCTCCTACTGTTTGCACGGGACACAAATCTTTAACCAAGTGGTACGTCACTGCATCTGTCACGCTGTTCCATCGTCTGCTGTCTCTGTCGTAAGGAGTGAGTTTTGTGAGTGTTTCTGTTAGCGTTTGCTGCCTGGAAGAAGCACTAGCCGCTGTCGCTGCAGCCGCAGGCTTTTTAGCTTTAGCTGCCAGCTGGCTCTCGTTGTATTGTTTGGGATGCCTTCTTTTCAAGTGATTAAACAAGTTTGTGGTGTTGCCATCACTTGCCTTGATGCTCTCCTTGCGAACTTTGCAAATGACTTTTCGCTGCTCTTTGTCGTCTGGTGAAAAACCAAACCAGTTCCATTTAACGGACAAGGCGTTCCTCTTCGGAACGAAAACCTCGTTGTCGCTCTCAGCCGCGCCCGAAGCCATGTTTGTTCACACACAGGTGAAAACAAGCGGGGCACTAATATATTACCATGACTCACTCTGATCGGTTAAGGGTCAAACAAAGGCGTGTCATTCGCCTGGGGGTAAGTTCCCTTTTCATTCAGAGGCAGAAATTCAACAGCAGAGCTGTGAATCGTGATAAAAAGGTCTCTCAGAAATGACAGACCGTCAGATGTGTAGATCGTAAAACGGTCTAAAATCGTCATATCGCCCAGCCCTACTGGACACCAAACTGGGTTTGCAGGAAAGACGGAGAAATAATGAGGAATCGGATACACAAAGAAGCAGCTGAGCGTTAAGCCCAACAAGTCTTTTATATGAGACGGGTTTGACGTCTAAGGGGTATCCTCAGGTGAGCCGGCCTAACTAACCCTAATGCTCACTGGCACCCCAGCACCGGTTTTCCTGGGGTTAGAATTGGAGGACCATCCACAGTCCTGGATCGGGAAGAAAAGCCTAAATCTTTTCCAAATCACCTCTTCTTCCGGCACTCACAGAGTACAAACGCTTCTGCTTTCGCTCCCTTTTTTTCCCAAGGCTCTCTGTCCTGTCTGCCCACAGAGCGCTTCTCTGCATTTCTTCTGAAAATCCCTATTTTTTAGAATGGATTTAATTAATTGGTCATTCAACGCGATTGACAAGATTTTTTTTTACGATGAGAACGGAGGAGGGGGCTCCCACTTGCCCGCAAGGGACACACACAGCGGGATATATGCTCGATTCCTGGAGGGAGTGGAAGATCGTATGCCTCTCCCAGCTGTCCATTGAGGATGTCGAAGATGTGTGGATATTTGGCCTGATGTTCACTGGATTTCTTCTGATTGGAGTGGGAGGATATCTGGTTTTCTGGAAATTTGGGAAGACAGGAGCGATTGGAGGGCAACCCGCACCCACGGAAAGCGCCGTCCGTGTGGAGACCTCACAGACTGGGACGTTACTTGAGGTGAATCGTAAGGTGGACAATGTTCTAGCTGCGATACCGGTATTAGTGCGCAAAATGGATGTCATCTTGGAGAGGGTCACTGGACGGTGTGGAGATGTTTAAAATCTGAATTGGCTTCACTGGAGGACCTGAATGATCAGTTACAGACTTGAAGGCAGAGAGGAAAATTATCTCCGCCTGACCCAAACAAAGTCTTGTTATCCGAATCTGACGCCATGGCAGCCTTGTGAATGCCAACAACAAACCCCCACGAAGGAATGCAGACAGATGCTGTGAAAACCCGACCTACCCCCCCGCCTTCGGATTGGTGGAATTCAGCCTGACGAGGTCATCAACCTGCAGGCATCAATGTGCTCTGCGCTCCTCCCAAGATCTCCCTCCCACCTGTGGCTACATTGGCTGAGCGCCATAGGGCTGCTCTCGCTGGGGAAACAGCATCCCAGCCCCCCCACCTTCCTCTCGGTGTCTCGTGTTGTGAATTGTTGATGTTCGTGCTTATATGTTTGAGGCGGGGTTTTTTTTTGCATAGTAAAGCTACGCCCTGCCGGGAGTAACTCTGGTATGCCTTTTTTTCCCTCCCCCAATTAATCCTCATGTGATCCCCTTTTCATCTAATTAACGGTAGCGCGACTCTTGTCGCGAATGACCACAGTACCAATTCTTCTGTACTGAAACAATTGTCCCTCGGGGATGATTAAAGTTTTTTTGAATTTGAATTTGAATTAAATCTGAAATGTAAAATAAAGATTCAGTTTGAGTATTTCAGATATAACCCGTGTTAAATAAAACAAGATACTATTCCTTTTATTCAGTCAGAATTATCATAAATGATAAATGACCCGCACTTGTATAGCGCTTCTCAGAGTAAGGACTCCAAAGCGCTTTACACTACAGTGTATCATTCATCCATTCACACACACACATTCACACACTGATGGTGATGAGCTACGATGTAGCCACAGCTGCCCTGGGGCGCACTGACAGAGGCGAGGCTGCCGAGCACAGGCGCCACCGGTCCCTCCGACCACCACCAGGTGGGTTAAGTGTCACGCCCAAGGACACAACAGCAGAATTCTCTGTCCGGAGCCGGGATCGAACCTGCAACCTTCCGATTACTGGACAACTCGCTCAACCTTTTGAGCTACTGCTGCCCAATAATAAAAATCTGAGGTCATTTTTAATCAATAAGTTTCTAAATGATTAAAAAGGTTGGAGCCTGAGACAGCTGTTAACCGTCTCTCCTACAAAAATATAACCTACATAAATCCTAAATCTAACTGTGAACCTGTCTATGAGACGTTTATGTTCCAATGAGACGCTTTTCTTTTTCATTTTAAGAGCTGGGTCGGGGGTCGGGATGGAGGGGATGATATTTGTTGTGGGCGGCTCCCCACTCATTCCCTAGAAGCACGGGCCTTTCCTTCTAAGTTTAGCTGACTTTAGTCTTTTTCTGATATGATCCCGAGCTCTAGAGGCCCAGCGGCAGCAGCTGTGTTGGTCTGCTTTATGAGTAACGATTAAAAAAAAATCAACACCAACCGGTAATCTTTGACCATCGACAGGAAGAAAACTGCACATCATCATTTCCATATCTTCGCTTTTAAACTCTCTGATTGGTTAAAAAGGTGCTGCTCTCACATGAGTCGATGTCCTTTCTGGAAACATAACCTGCTCTGAAACAGGTTAGGTTTCCCGGCCGAGTTACCATGGCAACATACCCAAATCACCACATGCAGAATGGGTTCATCCTTAAAGAACTTGATATTAAAAATGTATGAATAGTTTTTCTGCCTGGAACGTGGTGGGCTCACTGACAGCAGATCTGGGATCAGATATAGTTATTGAAGACACAATTATAGAGTTTGTTGTTGTTGATCTGCTCGGTTCTGTGTATGAAAACCATCCTGGTCCAGTCAGGTTTTCTGTCCCCCACACGGGTTTCTGGTGGTGGTGGTGGGGGGGGGGTGTTACGGCCAGCAGCTGCCGTAACCCTTTCTGTGAATAGGTCAGCGTAACCAGCAGACACCAGCTGTCTCCCTCTGTTTGGACTGAGATAAGAAACAGTGAGGTTCGGCATGGCACGGAGAATATGGCCTTATCCCACTCGGTCACATTAAAAGAAAAAAAACAATTGAATTTACTACTAAAAAGCCGAATCACTCAGTAAGCTAAATGACATTCCTCAGCTAAATCCTATTGATAGAAAAATTTAGAATGTTTTATGAAATCCAAGTTATGAAAGCAGGTAATTTCATACCGTCTGTCCTTAAAAAAAGAAATGTTTGGTCATCGACTAAATTTACTCTAGTCAAATTTAAATAAATCTATTTGATGTGTTCAGCAATAAATGTGTTCATTAAGTTGTTTAAAATCTACCACATTTAAATGTTTCAGTCTGAAACTGCAGAAGTTATTTCTCCCAATTTTAAAGTGAGCAAGGTCGGCCGAGCAGGCTGTTGTCAGCAGTATCCGCCTCTTATCTCTACTGGCTCTGAAAGCATGAGCCGATGTCGATGTTTACATTACAAAGAGGACAGAGAACGTCAACTCAACTGTCCAACTGCTTCACACTAAGTTTCAAGTGTGCAAACTCTGTTTTTAATTTAAAGCATTAACTTTTTTGTTTTTGTTTTATATTTTCATTCAGCAGTTATTTCCCAAAACCTTTCTGATTTCTGCTTCGGCCTCTTGGCTGATAGAATATTGTCTTACTTGAGACCAAGGTCTGTTATAATATGTATGATTCCTGATCCAGACACAGAGGAACGTGAAATTCTGTGTCAAAAGCATTTAAAAGTTCCCAAGCTGGGAATACATGAAGAATTAAACCAATTTAAACTTTTTAAATGTAAATTCCCTACAGCAGCTTTAATCTGCCATCTCATTTAATTTTACTTCCAGACTGTTTCTCCCCATGTTTTGATCACAAAGTCCGCTAATCGGAGATCTGAACAATTTCCTACATCGGACAGACGCCAGAAAGATTCAATTGATGACAGACAATGTTTTTAAAGTGTTCAAAATGCAGTTTTTGGATTCAACAGGTACTGCACACCAGTTTATGTTCACCCGGGTGCGCTTGTCATCCGCTGAACTCCCTTGACTTGGTTTTAAGCGTCAGAAACAAAGATTTAAAAAAAATTGAAAATAAACAACAAAATAAGGAGATCAAATGCAACTTGACAATAGTCATTAGTTTTAGTTGGTCTGGGATTACTGTTTTGACCAAAATATGCACTCTTAGCATTCATTCATTTTACTACCAAGTACTGATAGACAGTAAATGTCTCAAATTGAGGGGTTCCACTTAAACCCCTTTCCCTTTCAGCCACTTAAAGTGACACAGTTTATAGTTCAATTGCTTTAATCACCAGAATACCAGAAATGAAATATTTGGTTAGTGCTTAACCTTTTGATGCCTGAATCATAAAATCTTCAACCATGATTATTTAACAATGTCTTTCATGTGAATGAAACAAATTTCAACAAATATTGTTTGTAACATTTAATAATTGGCATATAATTTTACTGTATGTCCACCTCTGTGGACAGTGTGCATTCTGAACATGGAATATATTGACTGGACTTACTGAAGTCCACGCGGAGGGTCTCAAATGCAATAAAGTACTCAACAGCTGTGCTAAGTAGCAAAAACAAATAAGTAAATCTCAATTTTGGGAACCTGTTCAAATTATATTTTTCATCTTTATTTCCTAGTTATAACCATCAGGCAGCAATTAACCTCGGTGGCTTTGACTCAGAGAACACCTGCAGTTGTTTTGATTTCTTAGGCAGGCCTTGCCTCCTCTCTGTTTCACATTTTCAACACTTTTTTCTCTCCACCGCCCTGTGCTTCCTTGTAAGCATAATACATTTGTGACTCAAAAGGTATTTTGTGAGTTCTCCCCCCCCCCCATATAGATACCACACCGTCTCTTCTTCGGCATGAGGTCAGATTCAGGCTTAAGCTGGGTGTACACTGTGCGACTTTTTCAGTCGTAGCACTCAGCTTCAGCTCAAACTGTACGACTTCCTCGCAGGGCAGATCTCACGAGTCATGCGCTCACACTGTACGTCTGATAGCAACACATTGGCCCTAAAAAAATGCTAAAAATAGCAGTTTTTACACAACACATCAGATTTTTTTGTCTTGTTTGGCCTGTTGTCCTTCGGGAGTGCTGCAGGAGGACACACAGGAATTTATGGGGGTTGGATGAGGAAAACGAAATAAAGAAAGTAAATCTGTGTTTTGTGATCACTTTAATTTGACACGAACACGACAAACACGCTTTCTTGAATATCTTTGTGAGTAAAAAAACGTGTAGAAACAAAAACGAACAACGTGTGTTATTAGGAAATAGCGGGCGAGCGGTGTTGATGCAGGATTGCGCATGCGCCGTGAGCGGTTCTGATACATTTTGGGTCGCAGCTGCTCGCAGCGCCGCTTCAACAGTGCAATACCCTCACGAGGGACGAGCAAAATATTAAACATGCCAGAAGTCCGTGCGAGCTCACGATTGCTGATCGGCAGCTGGTCACGTGGTGTTAATCGCCTCTCGTAACCCCCTGTACACTACACCACGCTCAGCGCAAAACTCGCCTCGATCTCGTGGAATCTCGCACGAGTGGAAAATCGGCTCAAAAAAGTGAAAAAGTCGCACAGTGTACGCCCGGCTTTACGGATCCACCCTCCAACAGTGTATCTACCCACAGCGGGGCTCGCTTAACAGCCAACCAGTTTAAAAGTCTGACCACCAACTTGAAACGTGTGTAAATGATTTGCCATATCCTTCTTTCTACACGAATAAGCAAGTCCAGACACTCTCTCATCCATTCGAACACAATTAAAGCAGACAACATCTAAGACAACAAACAACAACAACAAGATAACTAGAGCAACGTCTCTATTTCTCTGGCAAAACGCTCAAAAAACCCAAGCCAAATCAGATCTGCGTTTATACTTCCGGCAAAAACGCTCAAAAACCAGTTTTAACCCTTGGTCACCTAGGATTTCTCTCGGTACCACAAAACAAAGTGACAAACAACAAACTTGCCTCACCGAATCTCTCCACTCGGACTTGAGTAGTTCGTGGATCCGCGCAACCCCCACCCCCACCCCCCCCAAGCGACGTCAAGATCCTCACATTGGCCCCCAGTGAAAGCACAGCGCCGGAGGAGATGTAGGTTGTCGACACTTTTCCTGCGTCAGCTCCTTGCGCCCGCAAAGCGATGGGACCCCCGGCTTTCAAAGGACCAAATATTGTCATGGATTTTTCAATATGTTTATCAATCCAATCCAATCCAATTTTATTTATACAGCGCATTTAAAAACAGCATGTCAGCTGACCAAAGCACTGCACAGAGTTAAACCTAAAAAGCCATCCAAATTCACATACATATACATAAAATACAAATTAAAAACGGTCATAAAAGAGAAACACCAAAAATCAAACAAAAGTTAAAACAGCCAATAAAAACAGAAGTCAATGAAAACAGAAGTCAGTAAAAACAGAAGAGAGGCACAGCATAAAAGAACGATCATTGGCCAAAAGCTAAATTAAAGAAATGTGTCTTTAGGCTGGATTTAAACTGTGCCAGTGAGGAAGCCTGGTGAACCACCAGAGGGAGTGCGTTCCAGAGTCTGGGAGCAGCAAAGGCGAACGCACGCTCCCCACGAGCGGACCTTAGTGACCCATTTCCCTATAGTGAAGAGAGAATGAGACAACGATCAGCAAGTCGAACAGTTATAACTGTGGCAAGATGCTCGAGGCAAAATGCACCGAACATCCGGTCACAGACTTTATTTATAGAGAGATGGGAGTGGAGGAATAGAGAGAGAGAGAGAGAGAGAGAGAGAGAGAGAGAGAGAGAGAGAGAGAGAGAGAGAGAGAGCGAGAGAGAGCGAGAGCGAGCGAGAGAGAGAGAGAGAGAGAGAGAGAGAGAGAGAGAGAGAGAGAGAGAGAGAGAGAGAGAGAGAGAGAGAGAGAGACACTCTGTGTGTGGGAAATCAAGAATGTGTGTGTGTGTGAATGAGTGAGCATGCAGAGAGGCATAGAGCAATACATTTACATTCAGCTGATTGATCAAGAATTAATAAACATAAATTTTTCCATAACATATATTTTCATCTTCCAGGGCAGTAGGAGCTCTGAATGTTGTTTAAATCTGTTTATGAAACAACCATGAGGCCATAATGAGAGTTGATTTCTTTTGATGAGGAGGAGCAGCGGTTCTGGATGAAGGAGCTCCATGTCGTTAGATCTCCTGATCATGGATGAAACCTTCATACTGAAAAAAACCTGCTAACTTTGTGACTTTTACGTCCACATCTTCACACACCGACTCAGATCCAGACTCGATGTTTCCTGAATTGTTCTGAGTAAAAATGCTTAGTGTTGTTTTATCTGTGAGAGCGGCGTCGGCTCATCCCTCTGTGACCTCCGAGTTTCTGTAACTGCTAATGTTTGATGCTGACGCTCTCCCTTGGAGGCAGCTTGCTCAGCAGCAATTGAGTTCAAAGACGTCACGTTCAAAGTTATTTCTGCCTCACGTTCATCAAAATTCTTTATCTGAGTGTTTTCCTTTGGTGAAACGCAGCCGGGAGGAGCTGATCTGAATGTTTAAGTGTGGTTTGATCAGAAGTCTTCTCCTCTTGCTGTTTGCAGGTACATGGGCATCGGACTGTCTGCTCAGGGAGTCAACATGAACAGACTTCCTGGTGAGTAACCGGGGAATTCTGTTGCTGTCAAACAAGCATTTTGAGATGTTTTTTGTCTGGATCTGAAGTTAATTTTAGTGGCTAAAGGAAAAGAAGAGCAGTAAAGTAAAGGTATTTCCTGGTGATGTCATTGCCCCATACTGTCTTTCTGGGTCGGAGCCAGAGCTGGCGAGGAAAACATCCTCCCCTTTTGTTCTGTTCTGGCAGCACACGGGTTAGCGGTTCAGTTAAAGGGGCATTATGGAAGTTTGACAGCTAAAACATGTATAGAAATAATACACTTCTTCTTCATACATTCTCCTGCAATGCCCTGGTCCTGTAGAATGAGCCCTGGCATTTTTTACTGTGATTGCCTGTTTTTCTGTAAAATCACAGAAAAAGAGAGATGCTCGGGTCGAGCAGGCTGCTTCATGCGCGTTCACGCTCAGGCATCGCCCGTAGCATCTGCTATCAGTAGCTTTAGCAGCAGAGAGAGAGGCAGTGCCACTTTGTCGCTGTTCCTAACGCCTAGTGACAAAGCTAGCTACATTTCTGAGGACCCTTAGCTACTTTCTGGAGAACTTTCTTCTAGATATTTCCTGCAAATTAGCAACAAAATAGCCATTTTCACTCCGAACCGTTCTTTGGTTTGACGTTGTTTCAGCTGTCATCAAGGATATAAATGTTACAGATACTATGAATGTTACAAGGTGAGCTACACTCTAGTAAGATGTCTGACTCTTGTGCAGAAGTCCAGGGTTTGATTCTGGATGTGAACATAGTTCATTTAGAGTTTCTTTTTTACATTAATGGTATATTTTTTTACAGTAAGATGCCCAAATTTGTTTTTGAGACTCGCCGAACGGCATTGAATTCACAGATAAAAAGATGTGGGTTCAACTTTCATTTTGGAACAATTTTTCAAGCAAGGGAAGGGAATGATCTGAGCATGCAGGAGGACTGACCCATCATAAACCTTTGTCGGCTGTGCTGAAGAGAAAGGTACAGAACCAAATTATTTAATTAGCTGCGCGTTCTCCTGTCCTCTGTCCTCCGGGCCACACACACACACACACCCACACCCACACCCACACCCACACACACACCCACACCCACACACACACACACACACACACACACACACACACACACACACACACACACACACACACACACACACACACACACACACACACACACACACGGGACTGTCTCAGCTGTTATTTTCATTAAGGAGTGTGCACGTACAGCATGCGCGCCTCGTGCACAAGCCTACTATTGAAGCTGCCGTTACGCTTTTGGCCTGAGGGGGCGATCGCGAGCATAAAAATTCAAAAGTCCGTAAAGTCCCTATAAGAAGAGGGAAGCGAAACACCAATCCTGAAATCTTCTAATTACCAACCAAATCACCCCACTGACCCACCTGGGAGGCTTCTCACCATGCAGCGTTTCAGGGTTTTCTCCTCAACAAAGGCTTGAATATCAGCTGTTTTCATCCCAGGTGTTTTCAGAGCCGCTGTGCCAGAGGAGCTGTTGTTAAAGACAGGGGAGGAGTGACTGATTAGTGGATGAATAAACAAACTTGCCAACAGTGATTTCTTTAGTAATTAGACACATTGGTGGATTAGCAGCAGCATGTTTATGTGATATAATATGTAATATGTATTTAATATACGTTTTTTTTTCTAGGTGAGTGGTTTTTGAGTTCAGATCTTAAATATAAATTATTGTCGTGGAAGGAGATAGAAGTGGAAACTTTTTAATTTCCATTAAAGCCTGAAATAATCATTAAATCTGTTGTTAAAACCAAACTAATTATTGTCTTAACGTTAAAATAATTTTATAAACGTATGTTTTATTTAATATGTAATTATATAACCATATAACAACACTGTAATTAAAATAAGGTCCTTGCCACCCATAGATCCTCCACCAGGGGGCAGTATATCAAATCTTCCCTTTCTTTCAAAAATCCTAGAAAAAATAATCTCTGTTCAACTCCATGCTCATCTCACCCTCAATAGCCTCTATGCGCCCTTCCAGTCTGGTTTTCGACCTGGCCACAGTACAGAAACTGCACTCATAAAAATCACTAACGACCTCCTCACTGCTGCCGATACTGGACTGTTCTCCATCCTCATCCTCCTCGACTTGAGTTCGGCCTTTGATACCATCTCTCACACCATCCTCCTCCATAGATTGTCTTCCCTTGGCTTTTCTCATACCCCGCTTGATTGGTTCCGTTCGTATCCCTCTGGCCGTACTCGGTTTATTCAACTCAAATCCTTCACTTCCCGTCCCTTCCCTGTCACTACTGGCGCCCCCCAAGGCTCTGTTCTCGGTCCACTCCTTTTCATCACTTACCTTCTTCCCCTGGGAAATATTTTCTGTAAATTTGACATCTATTTTCATTTTTACGTGGATGACATCCAGCTCTATGTATCCTCCAAACCCCCCTCTTCACTCCCCCCTTCCTCCCTCACCAATTGTTTATCTGAAATCAAAGACTGGTTCACATCAAACTGTCTCAAACTTAACAGTGATAAAACAGAAATGTTACTTGTCGGCACTAAATCTTTACTATCCAAAATCCACAGCTTTACACTTCCTGTCGACAACTCCTTAGTTTCCTCCTCCCCTCAGGTCAACAGTCTGGGTATCATCCTCGACTCCTCACTATCCTTCCAGTCCCACATAAACAATATTACCCGGTCTGCCTACTTCATCTACGTAGCATTAACCGCCTACGCCCCTCCCTCACTACTCACTTGGTCGCCATCCTTGTCCACAGCCTCATCACTTCCCGTATTGACTACTGCAACTCTCTTCTCTTCGGTCTTCCTCACAAATCCCTCCATAAACTCCAACTTCTCCAGAACTCGGCAGCCCGCATCATTACCAGAACTCCCTCCTTCCACCACATCACCCCTGTTCTTCAGCAGCTCCACTGGCTCCCAGTCACTTCCAGAATCCAATTCAAAATTCTGCTATATACATTCAAAGCCATCCATAACCTAGCCCCCCCGTACCTCTCAGACCTCCTTCAACCTCCACCCGTTCCCTCAGGTCCTCCTCCTCCATCCACCTCTCTGTCCCACCTTTCCGTCTGGTCACTATGGGGAGCAGGGCCTTCAGTCGCTCTGCTCCCCAACTCTGGGACTCACTCCCTCCTGACCTCCGTAACATTGACTCCCTCACTCTCTTTAAAACCAGACTCAAAACCCACCTGTTCCGTCTAGCATTCCAATAATTACGCTCTTTGCTCCATTCTGTCTGTTTGTTTTTATGCTGTTCTATCTTTTATTGTTGTGTATTTTATCTCTGTCTGTAAAGTGTCCTTGAGTGTTTAGAAAGGCGCTGTTGAAATAAAATGCATTATTATTATTATTATTATACATGTATGTGACGGTTTTCTGATAAAGGTACTAATCCTGATGCCCTACCTGAGTGCTTTAAAGGTGTAGTTGACTGAAAAACAATTTTTAATGATTATTTCTGATTATGATTGGTCACTCTGAGTTTTTCATGTGTAATGATCTGATTTTGTATATTTATACGCTGTAATTAGATCTAAGTATTATAATCAGAAGTGGGTTTTTTGTATCATCAGGGAGTTTACTTAAACACTCTGTATTGACTGAGAGACAAGAAAAGAGAGAGAGTAGTAGTAGCAGATCTCGGCGGGTTCAGCTCTTATTTTGAAGGAACCGTCGTCTTGTTGTTCAAACGACAGAAATTTCCAGCTCGACAGTTCTCAGCTTAAAATAGAAAGTACAGCTGGCCAGCCTGTACTTCTCTTTTGGCGGTGATGGATTGAGAGCTGGTTGAAAACAATGTTGAGAGTATGATGTAACTCCTTTGGAGCTCGGATCGAACAGAGCTGATGTTAACGTGGAACTGAATATAAAATGGCGTTGCCTTCTTTTATATCTACTAACTGTTTACAAATCTCAGTAAACCGGATTGGACGACTTTCATAAAACAATCCAGATTCTGCCCTACCACAGACAAAAGTTCTGATTGGTTGAAAACAATGTGTCATGCGTTTCCATGGTAATGTATATCAGTCTGTCTGGTGCAGCCCTGTTTATTCATTTAACACATAACTCATGACATCTTTATTTCACAGATCATTCACCTGATTATTAATGATCAACATATGCTTTGATTAGCTTATCACAAATAAAGTACTTTGATTAATCAATGAAAAGCGCTCTTCTTCTCTTCTTCTGTCTCTTCTCCTGGAATGTAAACATACTGAACCAAGCGTCCGACCTTGGTGATGTTACTATGTGAAGGGGCAGCTGTTAAGGGCAGACCATTATAAGATTCATAACGCTACACATGCAAGCTGAACATGAAAATGGTCTCCTACACCTATCTCCTGCATTAGCTTCTGATAGAAACTGCAGGATTAGAAAATCCTCACATCTCACAATGTGAATTTGCATTCACAACCTCGCCCATCTTGGCTCGCGCCTGCCCACAGGACGGCTTTTTAAAACAGTTTTTGCAGCAAGGAGAGAGGTCAAAGAGTGTCTTTGTGATTAATGACTTTGCAACATGGCTGAAAACGTTCTGTTAGCCAATCAGAAGCAAGGTGTGTGCATATCATTAATAAAAATGAGCAATCCTGCTGTTTTCATTACACCTCTGCATCAGCAAACTTCTGCAGCTCTGAACAGAAGCATCATAACTTTTTTATGGATCTTACACATCAGCGTCGGCACAGTCGGGGTTTGATACGCGCGGGAAAGTCCGCGGTGTCCTCCATTATGAGGTAAACAAAGGCGGACATGAGCTGTGCTGCTTTTGGAAACTGAACCACATTATTTTATTAATTTGCTGTGTGTGTCCTCATGATCTTGTGCCACACGCACACACACACACGCACGCACGCACGCACGCACGCACGCACACACGCACGCACGCACACACACACACACACACACACACACACACACACACACAGGCCATGAAAATGATTCACAGTTGCAGATTTTCACTCTGGTTTTAGCGCCTTGCTTCACCTCCAAAGACATCATTCTCAGACTTTTACTTCCAGCCATGACGCCGACAACAAAGCAAACTTCTTTATTTTTCAACTTCTTGTGTTTTTATTGACGTTCAGCAAACTGCTAGCGTTTCGTTAGCTACCAGCACAGAAAATAGCTAACAGCTGTTAAAAAGGCAAAGAGCACCCCCTAGGACGCTGCTGCTGCTGTAGGAAAGGTCCGGGGGTGGGTGGGTGAGAGGGGGCTCTGGTCCAGTCTGGGGTGTGTGTGTGTGTGTGAGGGCCAGAAAGAGGAGGCCCGTGGACCCCCTATTGAGTACCACTGTTATAGATCAACACAAATTTCAATCCTCTCTTCTTGATTCCCAAAAGTCCCACAGCGTTGAGAAGCGGCACGCAGACGTTTCCCAGACCTGGTCAGACATTAGTTATGAAAATAGTTTTAGCTGCCTGCTCTCCACCACAGATGGCCCGCATCCCTGGTAGGCAGATTATCGTTCATTACCCCAACTCTGAATAACTCGGTGTGGTGGTGTGCCAGCGTGTGTTTGTCCCAAACTCTGTGGATTTATGTGTGTGTCCTGGACCGACTGATTGCATTTCCGAGTGTGTCCCTGTCATCTGTGCATCGGTGTGTGTGTGTGTACTTTCACTGCAGCATGCTTGTGAAGGCTCTAATCTTCTGTGTCTCTACCATGAATTTAGAAGCCCCAGTTCATGGTGTGTTATGCAAAGATGGACGTTTCAAATTTTCTCAGAGAAAACTTAAGAAATACTAAACTTTCTGAATAAATAATATCAAGATTGTTAAATAGTAGTAATGAACTGGACCCGCTTTACCTTCAGAGCCACCTTAATTCTTGGTGTCGTGGCTCCATCAAGTTGTTCCTCAGAGGTTCTAGTCCATCCTCACGTGACAGCGCCAGCTCCATCTGCAAGAAGCTCCTACTCCACTGCATCCCAGAGGTTCTGGACTGGACAGAGATCCGGTGAATGTGGCGGCCGCTGGATTCCAGTGAACTCATGGTCATGTTCTAGAAACCAGTTAGAGATGATCTGAGCTTTGGGACATGGTGCGTGATCCTGCTGGACGTAGCATCAGAAGATGGGTCCATGTGGTCACAGAGGGATGTAGATGGTCAGCGGCAATACTCGGGTGTGCTGTGGTGTTTAAACCAGGCTCAGGTGGTACTGAGGGGTCCACAGTGGAACCAGATCATCTCGCCCACATCACCACCAGCAGCAGGAAGGATCCATGTTTTGATGTTGGTGACACCAAATTCTGACCAGACAGCTGAAATCCAGACTCATCAGACCAGGAAAGGTTTTAGTCTCTTCTGGTCTAGTTCTGGGGATCCTGTAGGAATTGTAGCCTCGGTTTCCTGATCTTCGCTGACAGGAGGGACCGGTGTGGTCTTCTGCTGCTACCAGAGTCCATTTGGAGCTGCTGGTGTGCTTTTGCAGACCTTGGTAGGAACCAGAGCCAGTCTGACCTCTGAGCCTAGAGTTCTTCATTCTGATGCTCAGTTTGAACTTCAGCACTACATCTAAATGCATCAAGCTGCTTCCATCTGACTGGTGTCAGGTGAGGGAAAAGGTGCGGGACGAGTGAACGTGAGTCCGGTGACCCCGTTTTCCACCGCTGACCTCTCTGTCCGATCCTGCTGTGGAGGCTCGCCTATTTCATTAGGATGTTGGAGCAGTGAGCCTGGCTTTAGAGGCAATATCCCTGTCAGCAGATTAATCTAATACCACACACACGCACGCACGCACGCACGCACACACACACAGGAAGCCATGGAGGACATGTGATCAGGTTGACAGAAATGCACCGATGCTCCCAGGACAGAAACACAAAAACGCTCTTTTCGGGTTAGATTAATAGTCCGCTACGAGCTCACACAGCGACACATTTGCGCATAAAAAAGTGCACGTCTAAACTCCCTGACCTAGTTTCTAACCCCGCTTTGGTTTTAGCCTACACCACGCACGCTGCAGCAGAGGGTGAGCTCTGGCACGCCAGGTCTCCTCCAACCCAGACGACCCGGCCGGAAGGAGGAATTCCTGCAGAACGGGATGTAGGAGAGAAGCTTAGAGTAATGCTGAGATTAATCGTATCAAATTATGTTATTGATTGGAAGCCAAATTAGGTAATGATATTGAATTCGTAAGAATGGGTAGATTTGTAAATTCTTTATTTAATTCAAAGTTATGATTTCTTTTTTTTTCCATTTGCATATTTTGATTTTTATGTGTTTTGTTCTTTTTCTTTGTTTTTACGTGTTCCAAATAAAATGTTCAGTTCCATTCAAATGTAAGTTCAAGCTTCAGTAAAATGAGGATTAGAAGGTCTGATGTTTGGATGATTGGATTTATTTTGTGATTGAGTCTGAAGGATTTCTTTGAGCTGCTTTGGATTTAAGTCTCATTTTTGTAGATGTGACGCAGAAAGGTGTCTGGATCAGCTGCTGGGTTGTTGGACCTGCACAGAACTAAGGGATGGGATTACAACCTCTTTAAGAGCCGTGTCAAAATGTAAAGGTTGTTTTAGGTCAGGTTGTGCTTTTAGGTCACACGCATCACTATCAGCAGGGTGAACACGTTAGTTAATGTAATCATCTCCATGACCTCCTGCTCCTCCTGGTGATCTTTACTCTCCTGCTTCAGCCTCCTGAGCTGCTCTTCCTGTTAGCGGTGACTCACCAGTTTCCTTACCGAGACAAAGTCCTCCTTCTGTTTGCCCTGGACGCTGCACCGAAAGCCAAACACATGGAAAGTGTGTGTGTGTGCATGTGAGAGTGCATTTTCATAACTCATCCAGCAGCAGGGCTGATGGGAAACGCTGAGTCGATGAGGAACCATCTCCTCTGACCACCACTGTACTCCCGGCTGCTTCCGGTCTGCTACAAATGTTTGTTTGACTTCACCTTTTAAAGCTGAAAACCAAAATCTGATCCTCATCCTCCTTCAGGATGGGACAAACATTCATACGGTTACCATGGAGACGACGGCCACTCCTTCTGCTCCTCCGGGACCGGCCAGCCGTACGGCCCGACGTTCACCACGGGCGACGTGATTGGCTGCTGCGTGAATCTCATCAACAACACCTGCTTTTACACCAAAAACGGCATCAGTTTAGGTTCGTTTTCATCAGCCAAAGATGTGTTCATTGTTATAATTTCATGGCTTTAACTCGAAATGTTCTTTATTCCTTTAGGTGTTGCCTTCACAGACCTCCCTGTGAGTATCCATAAGACCATGCACCAAAACATGCCTTAATATAAAACTAACGTAGTTTAGGTTTCTGCAGTGACGGTGTCGGTGCAGGAACGGCTCGGGGTCCTTCGACTGCCGATGACGTCAAAGTAGTTGATTGGCTGAACATGAAGCTTACGGAAGTGACGTCATGACGTTATGATTTTGATTGGTCAGAACAAATTTGCGGTCGTAGTCTTAGCAGTTGTAGTCCTGTTGTCCAAAAATCAACAGTTTTTGGAGAAAATATGTTTGAATTTCTAAAGCAGGGTTTCTCAACCTTTTTCAGCTAAATGCCCCCCCCCAAGTCATGCTGAAATCCCTTACTGGCCACCAATGTCCCATGCAGAGAAACAGAAAGTTTTTGATACAGAAATCATAATTAAAAAAAAAATATATATATATACAATTCAGCCTTGAGTTTGAAACAGTTTCATACAAATATGTCATTAAAAAAAGTATCATAAAAAGTGGTTTTAGCTATTAGCAACGAGATATTGTAGGAAGCGATAATCCTCGGTCCAGTAAAATCATGCTTCGAGCAAACATACCGCTAATGCTACCTCTCAGAGTGTCTCTCTTTAATTACCTGAAAATAGTTCAGTTCCTTTGAAGCTTTGTCTGGATGCATTTTGGACAAGTGCTCCTTAAGCCGGGAGGGTTTCATTGCTTCGTTTCAAAAACTTGTTCACAAAGCAGGCGCATGGGGAGTTGTGGATTCGTGGGTGAAGGAATAAATCCATACCGAAGGTAGTCCACATTGTACTGTCAGCACTTCTTTTTATTCTTAGCCATTGTCTGTTATGAATGTCCTGTATCGCTAGCGCCCACCATTAGCATCTCAGCGCCCCCTTCGGTGGCAAAAAACTTTCAACGCCCCCTTATATAGTCTGAATGCCCACTGGGGGGCGCTACAGCCCCATTGAGAAACCCTGTAAGCAAACGATAAACGGTGACCATCAAAAGCTCTTGATGTCGATGAAATGGGGCAAAATAAAATATAAGAACTTTACTGAAAGACACCAAGTAATATTTTGAGTCAAAGAATGTATTTAGATACCAACTAAGGAAATATACAGACGAACTCCACATTAATACAAACAGATGTGGCTTCACATATAAGAACTGTTCTATTTTGTGTCTGTCTGATGTTGGTTTTATGCAGTTTCACATTCTTTACAAAACAAAGATAATATGGTGTTTTATTAGCAAATTACAATTATAAAGAAAACATTTAGGTGTTAACAAACAATAATTTATTAACAAAACTGCTGATGTCTTTCCAAAACGTATGTGTGAAAAGCCGAGTAGAGTTGCAGTATTTTGACTCCATGCTGTAGTTCTTTTTTAAAACACAGAGCAGTTTTGTTTATCTGTTTTCCTGCTATGTTTCATTTGTGGCTGCAAACGAAACATAGCAAAACTACTCTGTTTTAAAAAAGTACTACAGCATGGAATTAGAGATACGACACAGCAAGAACACACCTAAGAAGTAATGTGACGTCATCTGCAGTCGAAGGACCCCGAGCCGATCCTGCACCGACACCGGTTGTCTTTTAGGATCATTTAGAGTAAACTCTGAGAAAAGGTTTTTTATCATCTCATTAAAAATAGGATCGTTTTCTGTATTTTTTTATTTAAAAAACACTAAAATAAAAGGTTATGATTAGTTTTGTGCTCATGATGGTATGGCAGCATCAGGTCAGGCACCCTTTTGAATGGAAACCCACTCCTGCCACTCTGATAAAAAAGGTCTCATTACTATGAGTTAGCTAAGTCAAAATTATGAGATTTTTAAAAATCAGAGTGCGCCTTCGGGTCGGGGAACGGGTCCTGACTGTTGTTTATGCTTATGGGCCAAATGTCAGTTCAGAGTACCCACCCTTTTTGGAGTCCCTGGGACAAGTGCTAGATAGTGCTCCATCAGGGGACTCCATTGTCCTGCTGGGGGACTTCAGTGCTCACGTGGGCAATGACAGCTTGACCTGGAGGGGTGTGATTGGGAGGAACGGCCCGCCTGATCTGAACTCGAGTGGTGTTTCGTTATTGGACTTCTGTGCAAGCCGCAGCTTGGCCATAATGAACACCATGTTCGAACACAAGGATACCCATCGGTACACTTGGTACCAGGGCAGCCTAGGTCGCAGGTCGATGATAGATTTTGTAGTCGTATCATGTGACCTGCGGCCGTATGTTTTGGACACCCGAGTGAAGAGAGGAGCGGAGCTGTCGACTGATCACCACCTGGTGGTGAGTTGGATCAGATGGCAGGGGAAGATGCCGCGTAGACCTGGCAGACCCAAATGCATAGTGAGTGTCTGCTGGGAATACCTGGCAGAAGAACCTGTTAAGACGGTCTTCAACTCCCACCTCCGGCAGAGCTTTGACCGCGTCCCGAGAGCAGTGAGGGACATTGACTCTGAGTGGGCCTTGTTCCACTCTGCGATTGTCGAGGCAGCTGTTGTTAGCTGTGGTCACACGGTGGCCGGTGCCAGTCGTGGTGGCAACCCCCGCACCCGCTGGTGGACACCAGAGGTTTGGGGAGCCGTCAGGCTGAAGAAGGAGGCCTACAGGGCGTGGCTGGTCTGTGGGTCTCCGGAGGCAGCAGACAGGTACCGGATAGCCAAGCGAGGTGCAGCAGTGGCAGTTGCCGAGGCAAAATCTCGGGCGTGGGAGGAGTTTGGTGAGGCCATGGAGAAAGACTATCAATCAGCTCCAAAGAGGTTCTGGCAAACTGTCCGGTGCCTCAGGTGAGGAAGGCAGCAACTCTCTCACACTGTTTACAGTGGGGATGGGGAGCTGCTGACGTCAACTGAGGCTATAGTCGGACGGTGGAAGGAATACTTTGAGGATCTCCTCAATCCCACCTATGCACATTCCGAGGAGAAACCAGAGCCGGGGGACCTGGGGATGGACTGTCCAATCTCGGTGGCAGAAGTTGCTGAGGTAGTTAAACAACTACACAGCGGCGGAGCCCCGGGGGCGGATGAGGTTCGTCCTGGGTATCTCAAGGCTATGGATGTTGTAGGGCTGTCATGGTTGACACGTCTCTGCAACATTGCGTGGTCATCGGGGCAGTTCCTGTGGAGTGGCAGACCGGGGTGGTGGTCCCCATCTTTAAGAAGGGTGACCTGAGGGCGTGTTCCAACTATAGGGGGATCACACTCCTCAGCCTCCCTGGAAAGGTCTACTCCAAGGTACTGGAGAGGAGGGTCTGATCGATAGTTGAATCTCAGATTGAGGAGGAGCGTCCTGGCCGTGGAACTGTGGACCAGCTCTAGACCCTTGCAAGGGTGATGGAGGGGGCACGGGAGTTTGCCCAACCAATCCACATGTGTTTTGTGGATTTGGAGAAGGCTTATGACCGTGTCCACAGGGGCACCCTGTGGGGGACGCTCCAGGAGTATGGGGTGGGTGGCTTTCTGTTAAGGGCCATTCAGTCCCTTTACCAGAGGAGCGTGAGTTTGGTCCGCACAGCCGGTAGTAAGTCGGACCTGTTCCCGGTGAGGGTTGGACTCCGCCAGGGCTGCCCTTTGTCACCGGTTCTGTTCATCACCTTTATGGACAGAATTTCTAGGCGCAGCCGTGGTGTGGAGTGTGTCGAGTTTGGTGGCAGGAGAATCTCGTCTCTGCTTTTTGCGGATGATGTGGTCCTCTTAGCTTCATCCAGCTCTGACCTTCAGCTCTTGCTGGGTAGGTTCGTGGCCGAGTGTGAATCAGCTGGGATGAGGATCAGCACCTCCAAATCTGAGACCATGGTTCTTGACCAGAAAAGGGTGGCTTGCCAACTCCGGGTCGGGGGAGAGGTCCTACCTCAAGTGGAGGAGTTTAAGTATCTCGGGGTCTTGTTCACAAGTGAGGGTAGGAGGGATCGGGAGATTGACAGGCAGATCGGTTCGGTGTCTGCAGTGATGCGGACGCTGAGCCGATCTGCCGTGGTGAAGAGGGAACTGAGCCAGAAAGCCAGGCTCTCGATTTACCGGTCGAGCTACGTCCCAATCCTCACCTATGGTCATGAGCTTTGGGTAATGACCGAAAGAACGAGATTGCGGATACAAGCAGCCGAAATGAGTTTCCTCCGTAGGGTGGCCGGGCTCAGCCTTAGAGATAGGGTGAGGAGCTCGGACATTCGGGAGGGACTCGGAGTAGAACCGCTGCTCCTCCCGATTGAAAGGAGCCAGTTGAGGTGGTTTGGGCATCTGGTCAGGATGCCTCCTGGACGCCTCCCCGGGAAGGTGTTTCGGGCATGTCCTGCCGGCAGGAGGCCCCCGGGTCGACCCAGGACACGCTGGAGAGGTTACATCTCCAATCTGGTCCGGGAACGCCTTGGGGTTCTGCCGGAGGAGCTGGTGGAGGTGGCCGGGGAGAGGACGGTCTGGAGCTCCCTAGTTGGGATGCTGCCCCCGCGACCCGGACCCGGACGGTAAGCGGAGGAAGACGACGATGACGACGACGACAGAGTGGCAGGAGTGAACTTCCGTACTTTTGGCTTCTTTAATCTAATAAAACATAAATTATAGCCTCTGTGTAGAGGGCACTGTTTTTGTGGGGGTGCTGCATTTTTAAAGTACATCTGATTTCAAAGCTGTTGAGTGTCACCAGCTGGTCTTCACATTTACTTTGTGTGAAACACCAACATGTTGCTGAAAGCCCTTTAAAAGCTGATTTTTGCTGTTTAAATGAACGTGATGCACTTTAATCTGACTAATTATGATAAAAAAAAACTTCTCCAGCCCAACCTGTATCCCACCGTGGGGCTCCAGACGCCCGGTGAGATCGTAGACGCCAACTTCGGCCAGCAGCCGTTTGTCTTCGACATCGAGGACTACATGAGTGAATGGAGAGCAAAGATCCATGGAATGATCACAAACTTCCCGATTGGCGAGCGGCTGGGAGAGTGGCAGGCTGTCCTGCAGAAGTAAGCCCCAGAAGTTTTACTACACAAGTAAAAATAAAATCTGTTGTTTTTTGTGTGTTTTTTTACAATCAAAAACCTACAAACTGGGAAACTTTAAAGCATTTTATGTTGGATTAAGTCCAAATTTATCTTAATGTTTTGTCCCACAGGACTTTAAAAACACAATTTATCAACACTTCTCTATATTTTATTTTTCATTGGGAATCTTAAACTCAAGTGGTTTACATTTGATGTTGGTTTTGCTCAGTTGTTATGTATTGATTCAACTCTGGCTCATCCCCTTAGTTATGCACTCATTTAAATGACGTTTAGAGGAGGAAATCAGCCAAAGCCTGTTGATAAAACCTCAAAGATCTGATAAAAAAGACCAAATCTAAAATCTGGCCCTGTACCATCTGTTTTCAAACAAGCAGTTGTTGAACCGATCCTTACAAAAACAAGTTTGGACTCATCTCAGCCTCAAAATTACAGACCCATTTCTAAATAACCCTTTATCTCTAAAATATTGGAAAAGGTTGTGGCAGACCAACTGATTATTTTTCCGGAAATACGCAACAGTTTTGACAATTTCGAATCTGGTTTTCGTAAAAACCATTCAACAGAAACAGCTTTCCAGTGACATCATGATGGCTGCAGACAACGGAGAATTCACAGTGTTAGTATTGTTAGATCTTTCTGCAGCTTTTGACACTGTTGATCACAGCACCTCTCTGGACACCAGCAGTTTGAGTGGCCTTCAAGAGACATCGATTGGTCAAAAGCACCCAAATTCCTTAAGTTCGTCTTGATGGGAGAAGATAAATGACCAAGTTGTTGACTAATCAGGGGAACCGTGCTCTCAGGGGCAATGATCAGACTTCCAGTCTTTCCAGAGTTTAACTGAAGGAAGTTATCTTCTAGCCAGCTGGTGATCGCTGATAGACACTAGCAATTCAGAATCCTTAAAGGAGCAGTACAGCTGAATGTCATCTGCATATGGGTGAGAAGAGACATTATGAAAAGAATCAAGCATCTGTCCAAGAGGGAGTATGTACAGTAGAAACAACAGTGGACCCAAAACAGAGCCTTGGGGTACCCCACAGAACAGATCGGTAGAATCTAACAGTGGACCCAAAACAGAGCCTTGGGGTACCCCACACAACAGATTGGTAGAATCTAACAGTGGACCCAAAACAGAGCCTTGGGGTACGCCACAGAACAGGTCGGTAGAATCTAACAGTGGACCCAAAACAGAGCCTTGGGGTACCCCACAGAACAGATCAGTACAATCTAACATGATTTGGTTTATACAGACACTGTAACTTCTGTTAGAAAGATACGATCTAAACCAGTCCAGAACAGTTCCAGAGATCCCCACTGGTGTTTTTGTCCAATCAATGTCTCTTGAAGGCCCCTCAAAAACATTGGTCTGAAATAGTTTTATCATTTAAGAAATATCTCCAAACTGCGAAGGTTGGTGTAAAAACATGAACTTGAAATGGTTTCCCATGCCTTTATCTCCTCCTGTCTAGATTACTGTAACACACTCTTCACATGTTTTAACAAAAAAAGCCCTTGACCGCCTTCATTTGGTCCAGAACTCTGCAGCGAGGCTCCTAACTGGAGCAAACAGAAGAGCACACATTACTCCTATTCTGATGTCTCTGCACTGGTTACCCGTTAACTTTAGAGTTCATTTTAGAATCCTGACTATAACCTTCAGGACTCTACATGGTCAAGCTCCTCCCTATATTACTGTACTGTTAAAGCCTTATGCTCCAACCCGAGTCCTCAGGTCCACCCACCAGAATCTTCTAGAAGTTCCAAAGACCAGATATAAAAGTCGAAGTGATCGCTCCTTCCAGACTTTGGAATGATCTTCCTTTATCCTTACGTAGCATCGACAGTCTGGACACTTAAAAAACAGCTGAAGACCCTTTTATTTAAAGCTTCTTTTACCTAAATCTTTTGTTTTATTTTATTTTTTACTCAAATTCGTATCATCTTTCATTTGTTTTATGATATTTTACAAGTTAATGCAGATTAATTTTTTTTGTTCAGTTTAAGATGATTATGATTTTATGATTTGTTTGTTTTTAATCTATGTGAAAGATCTGGATCAGGACTTGTGCTGATTAAAGGACCAACATTT